AACGGACCAATTATTTTTCGACACAAAACTGACATTCACAGATCACATCGATGCGATTACAGCCAGTGAACATGCGGCAATGGGTTTCATCAAACGAACATTAAAAAATAAGTACACGATAGAATCTGCAAAAATATTATATTGTGCACTAGTTAGGTCAAAATTGGAATACGCGAGTATTGTATGGCTTCCATACCATCGTATCCACTCCGATAGAATAGAATCAATTCAAAAATATTTTGTCATTTGGTCGTTACGATATGTATATCAGAGAGATGAGAATTATGTATTGCCACCGTATCAGTTTAGATGTGATGTTTTGAATATTCAACCGCTTTGGAGATCTGCTTTTAAGTAAAATAGTGTCTAGCTCACTTAGAGATAAAATTATACAAGACTGCAATATAATGAGAACCAAAGAAATTTGAGAAGTACAGAACTGATTAGAGTTAGGGCATTTTCATCGGATTACGCACATAATCAGCCGTTTTACGTAGCTTGTAGAAACTTTAACTTGATAAGAGAAATATTTTTAGAATCGGCATCAAGACACATCTTTAGGAACAATATTGTCAAATTGGAAAATGTGATATTTGTTCGGTGAAATATTTAATTTTGAACTTTTATGTGTTATCAAGATCGATATCAGCTGCTCCGAAGTCGAGAAGGCTGGTGGCTGAGTATACGATCGGGTGGTGTTTCATTGTCAACGATATTGTAACAAAGACCGACTAAAAAAGTGCCCCTTGTTAATTTTTCAAAAACCCGATAGGCAGCGTAGATGTAGAAATATCCTAGATAATATCCCTTCACGATCATAGAAAATAAAGAGATTATTTTAAATTGTCGCACAAAAAAATCATCCAAAAATATTCTATTAATTTGCACAAAAAATATCTATTTTATTATTTGTGTTTAAAAATAACAATAATTGTAAATATTTAGGTTATTAAAATAATTATTAAGGCACAAAAAGACAAATGTTGAAGTAGTATGTTTCGTAATAATAACAATTTGTTTGTCCGCCATGACAGCATTTTCGTTTTGCTTCACTGTGATTGGTTGAAAAACAAAAATGCAAATAAAATAAAATCACTTATTTATTTATTGTTGTATTTTTATCAAAGATTCAATTTGTTGTATCAAGCTTTTTGTACTACTTTCGTTCAATAAAAATGACTTTATGTTCTAATAACTTGAAATTCCAATTATCTGGAATTTGCAATTTTAATTCATTTAAAATGCTGTAGCAATAATTTAAATATACTTTTTGCATATGTTTGCTTTCATTCAAAAATTTAACAATCGTTTCTACTTGAGTGTGGCATGCGCAATCGAAACTAGCTTCAACCAAATTTCTTGCTATTTTAATAAGCAATGAAATATATTCATCTTCCACTCCCTCTCTGGTTTCGACTATAAGCTTTTTTAAATTGGGATTTTTTTCTACTGTATCAATCCACTTGCGAAAAAAAAACTGAATTGCATTTAAGCTCTTCCAACTGTTCAAACGTGATATTTAGGTGCCCTCCTGTGATCTTATTAATTTCGAAATGTTTAACGTTTTTAAAATGAATCTCATCTTCGTAATCAATTTTTGTATTATAAGGTAATTGCAATGTTTCCAGAATTGGTAAATGTTCACTTTTCACGTAAAAAAAACCGGTTGCCCTAGAATGTACAAATCTATACTACTCAGAACATAATTTTGATGGTTCGATACACACTTCGAAAAATTTAAGACAATGGTCCATCCAGTGTACCGTAAATGTCTTTTCGGATTGTCCATGAATAAAGCTAAATACCACTGAGAGAAATTATCAAAATGCTTCTTTGGTGTTTATTGCTAATTTGTGACAAAACTTATGATACACGTGTTATAATGCAAAATTCTCTGTGTTTGCCTTAAATTGTACAGTTTTCTGCCACGTATTTATCGCTTTCATAGAACGTTCTTTGGAATATTTGTTAAATAAAATGGCAATGATAAAGAATTTTTTTATTCATATCGTTTCTTTCTCTTTTTTAGCGTTGTATAATTCATTGTGCAATTTACTTGTCCTTTTAATGTTTATTCAGTTTGTTGGACGACGACTCTGTCTGTTGCTTCCTCAACCGTTTTACCAATAAATTTCATGTATTGAAATGGTCTTTTTTCTTTCCGTTCAATTGCAAGTGAAGAGAGAAAAATTGAATACACACACTAAAATGAAAATTTACCACAAACTCGGTGAAACGTTGAAATACATGTTGACGATGACGGTGAAAGCAACGGTAGAGCAGCAGGAATGGAAACTATGAAATCAAAGATGGTAAGCGAGGATAGAAGCAACATGACTAGTACTCACAAACAAATTTATGGCTCTTTATATTGATTTTGAAGTATGAACATATGCCGGAGCTATTTTTTACAACAAATGTAAATGTAAATAATGTGTGATTTAACATAAATGACACATTACCGACTGATTTTTCTATAGTCTCGTTGGAAATGGTTAATTTACAAATAAAATTGAACAAAATACTGCCAAACAACAATGTTCGAACGCAGAATATTATTAAAGAAAGAAACGGTAAAAAAAAAACAAACAAAAAATCGATCCATATAAATCGTTAAAAACATCTCGTTCAAAAATCGAAACAAAATGGTCCGTCTTACTAAGCGAAAAAATATGTGTTTTTAGTCGAAAATAAGTATGAGAATGCGAACTGCACATATTTTGTGAGTATTACGAACTATTGCAGTAGCATTTATAAAGTCGGCATTTTCGATATATGAATACAGTTAGCCTTTTGAATAAATTATCAGATAATCGAGCTCCGAACTGCTTTCTATTTCAGACACTTGGAAATAATTTATTTCGCATTGTCCATATACTTTGATCTCATTTATTGCCGCCATGAAAGAGCTAGTGCTACCCTTTAATCAATTTTATTCAGGCAATCGAAAAAATATTTCCGCTCTGTGTTTCCATCCCCCTCTATGTATTTCTCTTCTTCATCCCCCAATCACCATTTGGGAGGAGGACGAGAAAAATGCCTTTCAGCAACCAAATTGAAAGCAGAATACATCAAAACTTCGTGCTCATTTAAATTATTCAATCAGTTTTTGGTTTATGGTTTTGTGGCAAAACAAAAATATTTACAGTTTTGCAATGGTTTATTTAATCATTTTCATTTAGCGCATTTTCCTTTTTCGCTCTCTCTCTCTCTCTCTCTCTCTCTCTCTCTCTATCCCGCACCACTTTTTGTGGTTCATTCTTCAGTGGCTAAATAAATGTGACACTTATTCTTCTATTCTATTTAGCCACTTATTACCTATTCTGATTATTTTCGGTTCTAGCTCGATGAATTATTTTGCTATAATTATAAATTCGAATATAAACAGTTCAACTGTCTAAAAGACGTAAGCACAAATATGTTTGTAATTAAATTAGAACAAAAAGAAGAGCACTAATAAGCAAAATGAAAAAAAAATCTACACAAATTCATCCATTAGTTGTGTTAATTCATTCAAGCTAAACATAAAAATATTATCACACTTAAAAAAATCATCTTCAATTCTCTATTATTATGCATCGGATAAATAGTAAACTTGACGTAAACAGAATAATTATCGAAAATATTCGTTATAACGAATCGAAGTGAAAATTGACAGATTTTTTTTCTTCCCAAATGAAAATCAACGAATTTCAATACAACGAATTATTGAACGATAGATATTGTGTATGATAAAAAATGCATTCATATTTATATTGTTTGGTGATGCTATACTTAATATGTTTACCGATTGACATCACACCAGCAAAATATCATAAATAACCAAAATGTTTGCTGTGTAATTCAAACTAAAAAGTGAACATCATCAGTCATCGCACCGTAATGTTGTTGTCGTTGAAAATAGGAAATAATTTCATCAGTTGCATCGAAAACTTGAATCATTGTATTGATTGAATTTGGTTTCTTGAGATATTTATTTGTGAAATCTGATTAAATATGCAAGAGTGAATTTCCTTTGAATATTCAACCGTTGAAGAATGAACATTTCAGCTTTAATACGTTTCATTCAAGCATTAACCGTCCAATGAACAGAATATCGCATACACACAATATTGGTTCTTTTTATTTGTTGGCATCATGGCAAATGTGAAACGTATTATTCACAGGAGAGATGGTATCGTCGGTAAATTTTCTTTTTGATTTGTTAATTATACACACTAGAGCAGAATAATAATAATGGTTTGATTGTCACCGAATTGGTGTTGTACATACCTCAAATCGACATCGTTTACCATTGTTACAATTGGTATTGTGTCGATAATAGTGACGCTTTCATTGAAAATAAACAATAAATGATTATTTGAAGAGTGTGTGTGCGATTGATTGGTGAACACAACAAAAATGAAAACAATGCTAACTACGTTTTAATAACTTAAAACGAAGAAATTCAAAGGAAAAATTGTGGTGAAATATCCATAACCGCAGACGATTCAATATACAGTATCATACTTACTTTATTTGGTCATGGCATTCAATTTTCGTATGATTTTTTTTTTTTTTTCAATTTTGAGTCAATTTCATTTGATTTGGCTGCCGTTCACACAGCTATTGTTTAATAACATTGCAAGTGAAATACATATCAAACATTTGATTACACATCTCAAATTCAACATTGTCCACTAACATAACTCTGAAAGCATTGTTTTTGCTACGTTTTGTCTACAAACCGGCAACTATATTGTAATAAATGATTTTGTGAAATAGTACAACGTTCGAAACATTCGATTTTTTATCTTTTACCAAGTGAAAAGCACTTGAATTGAAAATTCCATCAAATGGTATCGGTACGTTGAATATTTGGCCAGATTGTATATCAATCACAAAATTCAATGCATTCTATGAAGATCTTCGGTCGATTGATCCAATCAATGGCTCGTTTTCAATTCGAATAGCTTAAATATTTATCGGAAAATTCATCATTTTTATTTTTAAATTCGGTATTTATTGTGTTGTCTATAATTCGTAACTTTATTTTGTTCTATGGATGAGAGGAGTTGAAATAATGTTAAGTTAACTTAAAAATTATGTATTTCAATTGTATTTTTCTGTTGTAGTAACTTTTAATTAAATATACTGTCGATTATATCTCTTAAATTTCGGTGTGGTTGTGTTGGATTTGGTGTTGGTTTCTGATATAATCTCGCATTAATCTCATACAAATGTGGTGATAGTTCACATCGAACATTGAACCACCAATCGCATACGAATACGGCTTGTGAGAATTGGGTTCCGTTTGGACAAAGGAATGTTGCTTGCCGACCATCGATGTCACAGTAATGCCAGGCTACATTAAAACAAATGGGCAATTAACAAAAAAAAAAAAATAATTATTCAAAATGTTAATGGTTATGGTTATTGGTTATGTAATAAACATGAAATTGACGTAATTGAAAATGCCTAGAAGAGAGCGAGATAAAAAACGAAAAAATTCAGATAAACAATCAACCTTGGCATCGGGTTTCTGTATCAGCAAAAAAACCTGGATACTTTTGTTCATCGCAATAAAAATTGGTGTAAGGAATTGCTGGCAAAATGGGATAGTCAGCACCTGGTCTTCCTGCGAATTAGAAAACAATGTTCAAACCATAGAAGTAGAAAACACGTGTTTTTCCTTTCTTAGGAACCGGAGTGTTGGTTAAATGTTCGCTTTTGAATTTCTTTTTTTAAGTTTTTCCCCCTTTGAATTATAAATTTGTTAAAAGCTAAAGTTATATTCGATATGTTGTTCAGTTTCAGTCAAGATTAGCAACTTTTATAATATAATCGTTATTTATAATCGTTGGTTGTGTATTTCTTCCAAAAAAAAAAAACGTGCCAAACTGACTACATTATTCATTATCGTGAAATATACGTGATTTCTTAACTCAAGGATACTACTATTATAGTAGTACTTTATATATAACTATATACAATCACACCTTGAAGCAAACGAGCATTTATTAAAACCATAAGATGCTTAAAATTAAACATTAATTATTGATGATAATTTATGAATGAAAAGAAAAATCAAACCTGGAATCGCTCTTCCTAGTTCCAAGTATTTACGCACTGATTCGCTTAGAAAGTTTGTTTGAATCTCTAATGGCATCGATTCAGCTTCAACAGCTTCCAAGTGTTGTTTAACGTCATTTTTTATTTTAAAGTCAGATGATCTTGGCACTTTACCACGCTTTGATCGAACTTTATCCAGCTGTTTTGATTCTAAATTGAAAGACAATGAATATTGATATTCAATTGTATAGTTCAATTTTTCACATCAACTTCAAAATATTTAATAGTGTATTTTTTTGTTGTTGTTTCAACTTTGGTACATGGACATCGAACGCATCGACGATATGATTTACTTTACGTTTGTTCTCAGTTTGAAACAAACAAAACTTAAACAAGAATTTAACGTATATGTGATTGCAGTAAGCCGGCTTCGAGAGAAAGACCGATAGAATGGAAGAATAATACGAAGCATAGAGTAAAAAAATAAATAAAAATATAAATAATATATGAATAAATGTTGAAAGCGAGCACAAGGTGCATGCAACACAATATCATGATGTGTACACTTTACAGTGTACATACATATATGCGTACCGCACAGTAACATGATGCTGTGGAATACTGGATGCGATTGCAATAAGTACACACATGTATCATAATTAATTGAATGTTGTCTGTACAATTTCATAAACATCAATCAAAAAGCCACAATGTATCAACGTTTCTAAGATGCTTGTACGTATTATATTTAGGTCGACAAAATAAACCACAATTGGCGACTAAATACACATAGTCACACCGATGTGGGATTCGTTTATCATGCGTATATAGATTTTCAAGTAAACCAACTTTATTGAAAGTCAACTGATGTTTAATGTGACATGGTAAGGCTGGCTTGGTTTTTCTTCTCTCTCACGTTCAAATTGTAAGTACTATAATGTAGCATTATGGCATGAATTTTTTTTTGTATATGAGAGATTTAAACTAAAGCATCTTTGCCAGCCCTATCATGTAATACGTCTTTTTTTGCTTGACAAAAAAAATGGTGGTTTGGAGTAAATGAAGCTTTTAACCGATAATTTTGTGGTTGATAAACATCGTTCTTTGTTTACGTAATATTGGAGGATCGACCAGCTGATCAAAATAATGGAATAAAGTAATTAAATGGTTATAGCAAGCATCCACTGGTTTACTTATTGTGTTAGCATTCAGTTTTACTTCACGCTCACTTGAGTCATTGTACACAGTCTCCAAATACCGGTTTTGATCTTTCACATATAACAAATATATAATATAATTCAAATAAGCTGCACAATCAAATATTGTTTAATTTTCGAATGCCAAAGTATTTTGTGTAAACCATTTTGGGGAGAAGAAAAAAAAAACTATAACAGAACATTGACAGAACTTTGGCTTTAATTCGAATGTTCGATATGGCGTTTACCATACCAGTAAATGGATTTTGTGAAAGCTATATCAGATCACTTCAATTGAAATATAAGCACCACATGAAACATAGAACGCATAACAGCATGATCTGCATCGAACATATTGTGGTGGAGTCATACCCGATTTTCTGGTTAAAAATCACAATTTGCGTATAGTTTACACCGTATACACATTAAATTCATTGTTTCATATTCGTCATTCACAATATTGTGAACTTGTATTGTATATTCATTTGACATTAATGTTAAAATTCAAAATCACCCACTGCCAAACTTGGTGTAATTTCAAAGAGGTCACCACTCCACTCAAAATCGATACGAATCTTTTTTGGTTGTTTTTTTTCTCGCCCGCGTAGCCAAAATACCTTCTTTTTTTTAAAATATGTTATTCAACTTTTGTTTCTGATTTTAAATATTTTGTCAGAGAAAAAAATGAAATGTTTCAAAATAAATTTTCTTTAAACAAATGTATAATCTAAATGTCTGCAAATATATGATTAATAATTTTAATTGAAGCAAACCTTTTGGCAAAAATATGAGCAAAAGAAGCATTAGAATAACAATCTTCATTTTGAATATGAACATTCCGCCGTCGCACTCCTCTTTTTGGTCCTGTCGTTCAAATGTGGTGTTTCACGATGAGTTTTAGTTGATTGTTAACGAAATTTAATGCAATAAAAAGGGTACATAAAAGATACACACACATAAACACATGCAGACAGACACACGCGCACGCAATCCGTATCACACAATTAAATTCTTCACAAATGTAATGGCCAATTAAAAGAAATCTGATCCATTTATTTCTGGGTAAATGGATGTTGAGAAGAAGCTTAAAACACGAATAAATTCGGTAAGAAAATACTAAAACTTCCAAATAAAACACCTTCACTTCACTGTCTTCCAATTACAAATATATCTATTCAACAGTTCTTTCTGTTACAGTAATTTGAAGTCATTTAATGTAGTTTTTCTTTGTTTTTTTTTTGTCTCTCTTGTCTTTTCTTGGCTTGTGTCTTGAATTTAGTACTATATATTTTGGGATTCGTATAGCACGTTTTCGTTTTCGTTTGTTTCACTTTCTGATACTCAAGGTGTGTACGCAGCGAGCACTACAAAAATAAGAGACAACAATTCAGCATATAATATTGAATGCTGTTATTGTATTAAGAGTTGAATGGCGTTTCGACGCAAACAACATTACTATACGTTCCATGGTATTGAACAATAAAATGAATACCATGCAGTCCAACATTAAATCGAAATGCATAAAACGAGGAAAAGAGACACAACAACACAAAAAAAAAGACTTCGAAACTGATCTCACACAACGTGTGAGATATTTGATCTTGCACAAGCATCACATACATAAATATGTACTCATAATATAAATTTATGTGTGTAGTTTTATGTGTGGCGTCCGAAAAGTAGCAGAAACAACAGCAACAACGCAACAACAACAACAAAAACAAAAAAAAAATATCGTGAATACATTAAACAAATAGTGTATGTAACGTCGATTTCATGCCATTTAAAGTGACTTGGAGGAAAAGCAAGAGGCAAATGCCATGATTTTTAGAAGTAACCATCCCCCTCCCTTCGGAAAATAATGACTAACCACATATATGATATATATTTTTTGTACGACAATTTGCAGACATTACGTATTTATTTGTCTTTCTCGCTCTTTTATCATCTCACTTTCTCTCTCTTCATACCATATTTGTTGTTGGTTTTGTTAGTGCTGCTGTATTTATTTTATTTTTTTAAAATACAAAACGTGTGCTATATGGCCAACGTTGGATGCCTGCCTACCGGTAGCTTATTTACCATTCCATTTCTTTTGCAGCAACTAGTAACCAAGCAATCGGACACAATTACGCATTAACCAAACCGCTGCTCGGCCAGTGATTTCCAAACAATTAATTCGGGCGCATTGAAAAACCCGCAAAAGCATACATTGATGAGATAATGAATCATGCATTGAATGTGCACACGTTTTGATGTGCATATGAATATACGGATTATGTACACAATCACAGGTTCAAAGGAAATACGCTTTTAACATGAAATTTACGATTTTTCGAGTAATTAACATATTACTGCTCAAACCCACGCAAACATAAATCCAACATTCATTTAATACGGAAATAAAGTGACAAACATTTTAACACTTTTCCACATGTGATGCACACACACACATATATATATGTAGAGAGAGAGAAACCGCTTTGATAAACTGACAACCAATTTTGATACATTTCATTTAGTTTTGATGAACTGATACCTATCATGGCTCCACTTTTTAATGAATTAATTGCAGAGTAAAAAATATTGCCTCGATCCATTAAACGGTTTCCGTGGCTCAACATTTTTACCATTTTTTGGTTCTTTGTCGAAATTGGCAGTTTATTTATTTTACTTTTTTTTGCATTAGAAAGCACTTCTGTTTGCTTCATTCATTAAAATAAAAATTATTTACAAGCCAGAATTTATTTGTCACATTGTGACGCAATAGTAAAATGAAAAGAAGAAAAAAAACATTAAAAATACAGATTAGATTGTGTTGATTGATCGATGGCTCATTAATGCAAACGTCTAATATTGAATCGGCAAGAAACGTGAAGACGGCAAGAAATAAATATTCCTTTCTATTGTGTTGTATAACGTTTAGCCTCTTGATCGTAATGTCGCGTTTAACTGTAATTTGGTTTACAAAATAATGTCTTTTTTTTATTGTAGTCCGAATAATGTAACGGAATCGAATTCTTTTAACTTGTGACTACTCTTTGTTATGCATGGAAACGGTTCAGATTTTATCATTGAAAAATTACGTGCAACATTGTTTGTTCGAATTCATTGAAATTGATATGAATTCAAGAAGAAAATGTATTCGTCGGTATTTCAGTCGTGCATTTGAAAAATAGCGGGCAAATGTCGGCAGCACAAAAACGTCATAAGCATTATTGACACTTTCGAATGCATGTTATCGAAATGTCAATTGCATTTTGGATCTTTATTTAGAAATATTGTATAAAAATTATGGAGAGAATCGAAAAAATTAAAATTTTAAGGTAATTTCAACGTTACTCTTATCTGAAATTGGGATACATTTTCCCGATCATTTAGAAATTGAAATCAGTTTTGTTGCAAGAAATCAATAAGGGCATAGAAAAAAACCGAAAAACTCATGTCAATCAAAGTAAAGGGAGATTTGTGATTTCAATTACAGATATATCGCCGGATGATATTACATTTTCGTGGAAATTTCATCTGGCACTCGTTGGACCAACAATTTCAAATGCGTGCCTAGCAGCAATTGATGTGAATGAAAATGGATGATTGCTATTGATTTTCCAAGGCGTGACAAGATCTTTAACTGCAATTGAAAACATTAAACGTTCGGAAGTGTCAGCAGATTTTGTGACATAAATGAGTAATACAAAAAGACTGGCAAAAAGATGATCGAATTAATTCGAAAATCAAGGAAAATTCAATTTCATGAAACAAAGTAGCTTACTGTAAATATCTAATGGTAAGCAATTTATTATTAGAATATTATTCTTATTTTAATTATAGTGAATTTCTTTATATTGAACTAAAATTTGTATATTTTAATAGGTATTCCCGTTTTTATGGACAATCTAACGGCTTGGTGAAATTTGCGTTGCTAAACAAAACGACGGCCTTTATTGTCGAACTGTAATCACAACCGTAAGCAAAAATAGCAAGACTGTTTGGTAATTAGAATGCTTATATTGAATCAATTTGTTCAAAAAATGATCTCCACATGATTTACGATTTGTTTAATTTTTGTCTTATTCAAGGTTCATTTTGTTCACCTAGCCTACGAAGGTTTCATTAAATTCAAGGATTTATCAAATATTCGAATTAGACGGTGCCATTTGCATAATGTAAAACTTTCACCAAACGATGACAAAGGCTATTGAAAGTTTAATGTTGATAAGATATTTGGTCAATTAACATTCATTCAAATCTGGATCCATTGAATTCCACTTCCTGTACCGTTCGGAACGCCATTTATTATTATTATTAAAAAGTTTGATGGATGAAAGTCTATTTACCAAGTTTTAAATTAAAAACATTCGACGACATTTAAAATAAAACCAAATCATCCAATGCAAGCATGTTGAAGACAATCGAACATCTTGTGCGAACACTGAAGTCCGCAGATTAAAGAAAAAACAGAATAATATGAACCGCACCCATGATCGAATCACCGAACATTTTAAATATTTTCGATTGTAATCCGATGATTTTGATTAATCCGGTCACAGTTTTATTGATTTCGATTATTACAAATGTCCCAGTTACTAATGCGGACAAAACAAAGCAAAAGAGAATCCCCTTTTGTCAGGTTTGACAAAAAAGAATATGAATTACTTTCCATTTTTTATGAAATGAAAGTTTTTGAATCTGTTCTGTTTAAATTAAATTTCTAAATAATATAGAGCAGAGCATGGAAAATAGCGTGTCATTTTGAAAAAATTCAATGAATATTCTGTTTTGTTTTAATTCGACAGAAAATTCACCATTTATTCTTCGACAATGTAGAAATGGAAAAAGATTTCGACAAATAAATATGAAATACTATTTGTCGATACTTTGGAAGTTAAAGAGATAAAGAGAATCTTTGTTCAAGCTTGTCTAGAGGAAGCGTGAGATCCAAGCAGTGAAAGCACGTCTGAATTTTTTAACACTTTCATTTCAACTATGTTATTTTGAGAAAAAGCACTTTGTTCGAATGATGGTGCCTGAAATCAATTGTACATGATGTAAAAAGAACAATTCACCCAGACTTAATTACGAGAAACATCTGTAAAATAATTAAATCTAATGTAACAATCTAATGTCAATACAGACAGACTAATTCACAAACATGAAGACATTGAGCGATAGAGGTTTTTTCCGTATAGAGTCGTTCACATTCAAACTTTTAACTTTCCTCTAAGATTTCATTTTTTTAAATTAAAAAATTCTTTAAATTTAAATAGTCAATGGATTTTCAAAAAGATTTTTAATGGTATTTTGATATTGAAACGGTTTTTTTCCTTCATAATAATGATAAAATTGCTGTCTATTATAAAAAGAATGATAATTAAATTCAAAGTCGTTCGGATTATATTTTTTGTAAATGCTCGATCATGTGAAATGATTATGATGTTAAAAAAATGTTTATTTTGATATTGGAAAAGAATGTAATAATATTATTATTGAGTACAAAATTTGGAACGTCATATAAATCGACCATTGCTGTCAAATGAGAACTGTGTATTTTGTGTATTTGGCTTTCGATAGGGACATCGAAAATAATCGTATTTAACAACCGATTCAGTACTTTAATAAATAAAATGTATGTACAATAACAATGTTGTTTTTTTTTTCTCTTCTGCATAATTTTTGAGTATTATATAAACTCAAACGAATGAATTTTAATTGTTATAAAGTTAAATAAATAACAAAATTCAATTAAATAATCCAAGTCAAGTAATGTATTTAAATTTAGTTTAACAATTCAAAGGCATAATTTTAACACAATCAGATTCTCATTCTATGGTTGTGAACAAAACAGTATGACATTAATTGCATACTCAACCGATTAAGTACAAGCTCTGTCTGTCTGCAGTGTATTAATGTTGTTATTTTCATCTGGAATGTCGTACATACACACATACACGTAGACACAAATACACAAACACGAATCGTGTATAAAATGAATAAAGGTTGTATACAATACCTACACAATACATTAGTCAAAATTGAAACGAATAATGGAAGTCAATGTGAACAAGGGTTTCAAACAATAGTGCAGAACTTCGAGGAACTGGTTTGTTCGGAATTTGCATGAAATTTACCAAAAAGGTGTTGAAATTTTTAAAATTTCGGTTGATTCGATTAAGGTTCGATTCAAATTTGATTGAAATTTTGTGTTGAAAAGTGTTGAATGTGACTCGATAAATGAAAGAATGTTGAGAAAAATACACTGAATTCGTATGACAGATGCCATCTTGTTCAATTTTTTCCGTAATATATTTAATTTGTATGTGGTCTTTTTTGGTCTTGTTTTTTTTTTGTATGAACTTTTATTCACTTTTATCGATCGATTTTGAGATCAATGGCAAAAAAGCATGCTGAAAACATTACAAAATGACTGAATAAAAGACGGCAATTGTATAAACGAATTCCAAAAAAATAACCAACAAAAGGAAAAAAAAGAGTGATATTACACACAAATGTAATTTGTTTATTGACACAATTTTTTTATTTTAATTTTAGATTACATATGATTTCCCACTGATGATCATTTGAAAAGCAATACAGAGGTACATTATCGATGTTACCTTCAAAAAAGTCACAGCTATAATTCAATGATTGCTATTTCTCTCTCTCTTCCTCTCTTTCATTCTATCTTTCTGCTAACTAATTGAAGACACTGAATACAGAAAAAAAAACAATGAAATTACTTGCAGTGTGTTGTATTAAAAGTTGCTGCTAAGGTGTAGGCTACGTCTGGCTGCAAAAGCACACTGTATTGTGCACAATATCTCACGGTTACTGGCTACTTTTCTCGTTGATTTATTGAAAATATTTTGGACTTTTTTATTTGGTCAATCAGTCGAAAATGGATTCGCAAATACAGTGTCCTGTTTGTACACTTTATCTCCATGTTGGAATGAATTTACAAGATCATCTGAACACCCATCCAAAAGATCAGGTCATCTCGGCATTAGTTAATATGACACTGTTGCAACAACGGGCCAATGATGAAAATTCCAACAATTTCGAATGCAGCCGATACGAACCATTGGCCAACACTGATGATCTCAATTCGTCTACGGACAAATCGCTTCCAAAGGCATTTCAAAATCAACAACAATCGATTACATATTTTGCTCCCATTTCACAACAAACGTCGCACCAATTGATGATTGTAAATGGTACTCAGGTTTTTCATGATCAACGGTAAGTGAATTTGAAAAAAAAAAGAAGAAACAAAAACAAACTGATAAAAGAGTGCAATTCATTTTTATATTATTCATAATTGATGCATGAATTTAAACACAATTTTCGTGGTTGGTGTTGTCTTTTTTTTTTTTTCGAAATCAAACAGTCATCGTCGCATTGGAGTTACATCACAGAGTTGTTCGACTCCAATTTCACATCGTACGGGAACAGTGCCACCACTGTCGATTCCGGCACGGACATTTCGACTGATTCCAGCTAAACAAGCAATACCGCCACCACCACCATATCATGCATCCGTTCGGAATGCGATTCATCGCAATGAAATCAATCAAATTACCACACAAATTCAACAAAGCTGTTCCACGAATGTTTTCAATGTGTCGGCGTCGAGCAGTAGCAGCAGTAGCACGCTTACCACCAATATAAATGCGATAAATGCATCGAATAGTTCACAATATGAAAACCAAAATTCAACTAAACGGCTCGAAAAAATTGGACCCAATGAAACCGGTGCAAGTGAAGAAGATCAATTGAATGGCGATGAGCTAGCCAATAGTAATGACTTTGAAAATGACAATGAACATATTGATGAAATCAGTTCAGATGTCGATGGTGATGAAAATGAGTTCATTAGTTGTAATGAGACACAAACAGAGAGACCAACGAAGAGCAGTGAATATCGAAAACAACGTTCAAAGCAACAGCATAAGGATAATAGTATGGAAAGTGGGTCTGATAGCAATAAAGAAACGCGTAGTTTCAAGGAAGAAACTACCGACGCATTGACCGGTGATGGTGAAACCATAAATGAAAAGAGAACACACGGTCTGAAAGTATTGAGCAACGTTCAAGTTTCGCCAAATGCTATACTTAATGTTTCGCTTAATTCAACAAATAAAGAAACGATCCCCTTGAATAATATGATAATTGTCAGTTCAATACCATCTACATCAACCGGAACTACCTCACAGGTGCTACCGACTCAACTAATAAGATCACAATCACTTCTAAAGACTTTGAATGAATCACGTTCACCATCGGATGCTAAAAATCCGAAACATACCAAAGCAAACATTGAAGTGAGTATTAAAAATAAAACGACTGAATTTTTTTTGTTTGGTTACTTTGCGATTTGAATGACTTAACGATTTCAACTTCATTTCAAATTGAAAGATTGCCTCAACAAGTTCAGCCGAACAACACAATAACGAAGATGACGATAATCAATTGGTTGATCCACTTGCTCTGGACGAAAGGAATACCAGGTAATATATGATATGAATTTCAATTTAAATCAAATTCTTATTTTTTTTTTAAATTTCTTGTCACAGCGACGAATGTTTCATAAAACCATGTTCAAGCAAAGCAACTAGCGTAATTCGTTTGGCATCTCAAAAATCGCCAAAACCATCGTCATCGACGACTGACACTGCAAGACCAACTAATCGTCAATCGGTTAAAAAATTGGTTGTTAAACTTAAGAAGCCATTTGTTCCAGTAATCGAAGAAGAAGCCAATTTGCATCCTCCTGGTGAGCAAATGAACATTTCATACGAATATTGAGTAATAATAATCTAATGAAGTAGAAATAAAATAATATTTATAATGTAACATTAAAAAAAAATCAATAATGTCGTACGACGCATTTACCTGAAAATAATCGTTGCCATTATTTTTACGTAGATGAACATTTTGATAATCGTACGGGGAACAATTCATTTGAAAGCACAAGTAAAAATGAGAATGAGGTTCTGCTTGAGTGTTCTGAAGATGTACCATTTAGTCCACTTCGACAATCATATACGCCGCTTCCAATGAATCAATCGAACGATAACGACGACGATGAGGATGATTTGATAATTCCCGATTGTGATCCATCGCCTCGAAATTATCCAAACGATTCACAGAACGAACTACATATGATTGATATCAAATTAAGTCAACAAATGCTTGATATTGCTGATCACGACCAACCATCCGATGCGAATGAAAATGTAAATATGTCAATTAGTAAAGAAGACGTCGTTCTTTTCACGATTAATGCTGCAAATGATGGTAAGAGCAATCAATAATAATTTGTTTAATTTATCATACATGTACATACAGTGAGCCAGAAGTATTGATTTTCTTCTATTTTTTTTTTTTCAATAGAAGAACATATGGACGAAACAGAAGAAATTCATATCACAGCAGCAAAGACGTATTTAGAAAAATCATCGACGACAACAACAAGTTCCGAGTGCACCTCATACGCATCATCATCGTCAGTGTCGAATCTGGGGCCAGGCTCTTCTCAAAACGAGTTTCATAGCATCGCTGGTACGAGCCGAATGAAATTTCTAGATTACAATGAACAACGTAACTTTTCGCTATTCTCAATCGAAATTCAATTCAAATATTCGTTGTTATTTGTCTTTTTTTTTTGTGTGCATCACATCTTAACTTAGATCGTTTTCAAATGTGAAATTTTGCAATTTTATTGTTATGTTTACAGGATTGCGTGTACGATTGTCTCCGATACCCTTTGTTGGCGACAACAATGCATGGAATCAAACGTTCAGTTCGTCTTATGCATCAGCCGGCGAAGAGAATTACAAGCATTGCATGGACATGGATAGTTGTAAAACGAATTCAGTTAGTGCACGTGCACCATCAACCGATAGTCTGAACATACGTACAGATGAAAAGATGCCAGCTAAAGGTGAAATATCGGAGCAAGAGAGCAATGGTGATGTTGAAGGTTTATGGAGCCATCAGGTGAGTTAGTTGTATTTTAATGCGTATGCGCTTCTGTTGCATTTAACGATGAACCAAAATGACTAATATATGTATGTGTACACATTTTGTACATGTTACTATCAAAAGGTGTATTCGACTGAAAACGATAACATGCCCAGATATACAAATTCATATGACACAACGGTGGCGCGTGAAAGTTGGAGTTTAAGTAATGAACAACATTTATCGCACGAAATGGAAAATATGTCAACAATTTTAATGAAATTGTAAGATTCTTTTTGATTCTATTCAGCATTCAAAGCAATTAAAATGTGATTGTTCTGTTTTGTTTCATTTTCAATTTTCATTTTTTTTTCTCTTCTTCTTTTTTTGAGTATAGCAGTTCGTTGGAACAAACGGATCGTAATATGGATATAAAGCCATTTGTTGGCAATAATATTTGCAATGAAAAGGATATGCTGAAGGCATCAAAATCATTGACAAAAACGCGAAAATATCGTTGTCCGATATGTGCGCAAATTTTTGCAACGCTTAAGGAGAAACGTGCACATTTGATTTGTGTGCATGATTATCAGCAGGGTGTGTCGGTGACAAAAACGACCGCAAAAGCAATGAAATTCACAAAAATAAAAAAACCCACCGAAACAATAACAAGTGCCAGTTGTTCAACGTTGGATACAACGGAAACGCCGGTGATCGAGTGTAAGAAAGAGCGTTCGGACACATTGAGACCATTCACTAGTCTCAATAATTATCTTTTAAGTTACAATTGGTCAACATTGAAATCACGACCAACTGATGGTACAAAGGATGAAAATAAGACGCTATTTGAAATTCTTGACAGCGGCGTGAATTATGTGTGTAAGGTGTGTGAAGAGCAATTCAACAGTATTCGAGCATATGATATGCACATGACAACCCATCCAGCCGAATGTTATACGTGCGGACGCACATTTAAGCGTTGGGTTAATTTCAGTATTCACTTAAAGCGGCACTTAAACATACGCGAACATCGTTGCATCCATTGTCCAAAGCGTTTCGTATTGAGACAGAGTATGATCGAACACATGAGAATTCATAGCAATGAGGCGCCATTAAAATGCAGTTTATGCATGAAACGCTTTAAGCGTTTTTCAAATTTGATACAGCATCGCAATCGACATCATTTAAAATTGCGGCCACAGGCCAAAGATTTTATATGTTCATGCGGTGAAGTGTTCCATTCACAGGCAAAAATTGCCTGGCATCGTGAAACGCACGACGTTAAGCCAAAGTGCTGTCCGTATTGTCGTGAACGATACATGCACAAAAATAGCTTAGTGAAACACATTCGATTATCGCATACCGAACGTTTTCATTTATTCAAACGTGATTCGGTCGAATGTCCGTATTGCAAAAAGAAATACATAAAATCTAGTCTTAAAATGCATATGGAACAGCATAAAACATCTCGAACCACATACGAATGTACGATTTGTAATAAGACGCTTACAACAAAATGGAATTTAAAGCAACATAAATGGATACATGCCAGCCGATCGTCGAAGCCATTCAAATGCAATATGTGCACGAAAGCATTTATACGTGAAAGTGAATACATTTCACACATGAACACGCACAAAGCAATTAAGCCGTACACTTGTGATCATTGCGGTTGTCAATTTGCACGAAAATACAATTGGCTACGACATACACGTGAACACGAAACACTCAAGAAATTCCGTTGTGATACATGCGGCAAGGACTTCCATCGTGCATACTATTTAAAGGAACATAAACGCATTCATACGGGCGAACGACCATTCGAATGTGTTATCTGTGGAAAAACGTCGACGACTAAAACCAATCACAATAAACACGTTAAAATTCATCATGCTCGCGATCCGCTCACCGCTGAAGCATGAAAACAAATTCATTATTATTGCGATGCATGCATACAATTTAACATTATAATCTCAACCGAAATACAATACTATATATAATTATACTATTCGCATAAAAAGCATTTTCAAATGGATTTTCCTCACACCATTTATAACAACTATTTGTATTATTTTTCGACTGCGAATTGAAGTGTTTTTTTTTGTGTCACAGATATAAAATAGAGTATATAATATGAGTGCAATTTGAAACAAACAAAAAAAAATTCGTGCGTATTTCATGTAAAAAATACATATATAATATACATTATAATAACTCTATACGAAACGATAACATTCACGATGTAATGAATGTTTTAACGATACAATACAATAAAATACAATTTATCATGCAATTGTACACACATAATTGAGATGAAGAGATCCTTTTTGTCGATGTGTTTTTGTTTTAAAAAATTTTTTTTATTCGAGCTTTGTGTTTTAAACGTTTGTTTCTTTTTTTATATATATCTTCAAAGACGAAACAACAAATTATGTTGAAAAACACATACCATCGTAGCAACAACGTTATGGTAGAGTCTTTATTTGAAAATTTTGCAATTTAAAAGAAATTAAAATCATATAAATCACACAAAATCCACTTCATTAATTTTACTTCCTAAATCTTGGACACACAGACACATACACATAAAAGTACACATTAAACTAATTTTATTATGTTATATTTGACAAATTTATGTTGTACATTAGGATTTTTGCTCAATGATGCAACCAAGAAAATTGAACACAATTTTAACATTATTAATAATAATTTTTTTTTACTTTAATTCTTTACAAAAAAAAATGTTCTTTTTCTGTGTGGTTGCTTATATTCATGGTTTCACGCAGCCTTTCATTTTTTATTATAATAATCGATGAAATCATTACAGCCGTTGATTCAGCGGCAAATTAAAGTTCAATTAGAGTTAGGAAGTGGCTAATTGTTAAAATCAAGATTACTATGTTTATTGCTAACATTAATTAATGAAACAAATTCGATGTTTTATGCTGATCTATAGTATAACAATAGATCCTATTTGTATTCAATGGTTGGACTATATTATCTAATGTAAAACGACATATTTAGCCAACTCTGAAAAAAAAAACACTCTTTGGCTATCGGAACTCTCTCTCCATATTTTACAAGCTTTAGCCGTTTCATTTTAAACTATTTTCGTTTCTTTGTTTTTCTCTCATTTCAATCTAATTGAATCAATATCTTCATACAAATAACAAATGATTGTCATTTGATATAATATAGTTCATTCATACAGTTCAGCAAAAAAAAAAACAAATACGATAATACGATTTCTTAAAATCGAATACATCGCATATTTATAATATTTATATCACAATCTGATCGTTTTATAGATTTTAAGATTAGGATCTAATGTGCAATAGGCTACTTTAATTTTAGGAGATGAAGAACAATGTTAATAAAGACAATTGACAAATTGAAATGATTAAGATTTAGTAAAATAAAACACACACATACACACACAAATCATAAATTTTCGAGCAATAAATTTCGAATGTTTCAAATGATTTCTATTGTTTTACTTTATTTCTTTTGTCATTTTTTTTAAAATGGTATCAAACACGCAAATAGGGCGGTTTTTGGGCGGTTATGATGATTGAATATAAATCTAAATAACAAAAAAGCTGCGAACAGCGAAACAAATAGGTGACTTCGTGTCCTTGTAAGTCTAAAAAAACCTTAAAATTGCATGGTGTCAAACACTGTCCACTATCTTGAAGTTTATATTATTGGGAGGATCCATTATCGAGACGTAATGAAGTTAATCAAGTGAGCCGATTCTCATGAGCGCCCCATAATTTAATTGACATAGTTTTGACAGAAAAGAAAGCAAAATTTTCATCATAATAAAATTTAAAACTTGTTTCGATCTCATCAATGGGTCTTTTGTTTTTCATCCAATTGTTACTCGTAACAAATTAATTTTCTCTCATTTTTTCACTCGAAGCTTACTTTCTGTAGAACATTTTAAAACTCCTTTATCTCCAAATAGACTTCGAAAAATATTTTGTAAGCACATTTTTACTACGTTTGACAAAGTTTTGACAAAGTTTTTATTATTTTATACAAACTCGATATTTCGTTGTGATAATTTTTTTCCTATTTATAACAAAAGCAACAGGTTAATTATGAAGTGGTATGTGTAATGTGATATTAAATTTCTGACTGAGTTCATAAAGCTGCAATAAACTGTTCAAATGGAATCAACAGTTGATTCAAACATTGATTATCATTGAAACGCATTGGAATGGAATTTTGTATATTGAAAAAATGATGACGTGAATAGCTGAACAAAAAAACACAAGCACATAAATCAATTTTATCGATAAAAATAAAAGATTAATGATTAAAAATGTTCATTACAAGCAATTTACATTTTTATCCATCGATTGCGTTATTAAATGGAATGAATTGCAATTTTGACAGGCTGAATATATAACGGGTGAGTTAAATAGACGAGAATGTAGTGTTATTGCTTAATTGTTGTAATCAAAGATTGAATCTATGTGAAGGAAAGATCAAAGAAAAGATATTTTTTCCCCTTTATCAACTTTAACATAACCATTTTTGAGTGCAATAAAGCTGTCATTACGGCTCCACTTAAACTACTTAAACTTTCGCTACTCTTGATCTCAATAAAAACGATTTATATAGAATATAGATGTAGATGTTTACCTAATGGATTTTATAAAATCCCTTTGATTAATTTAATTTTGTATTGAATTCGAGTAGAAGTTTTTTTGGCAATAAATTATATTTGATGCTTTGGCATAACATAGCTTAACTTTGCAAATTCGACTAAGTTCTGATGAATAATGACGGAAAGAAGAGCAATTGCATACATATCCTACGTGCCTCGAACGCAAATGTAAATTAACTTGCGTACTTCTTGCCTGTCATAGCAAAAACGAATCGCATATCTACTGAATACTATGAGCTAAACAGTGGCTTAACTTGGGTGGGGAGGATTGAGGTCAATTATATGAAAAATTGAGAATTAAAATGTCATAAAATCCTCATTCATGTGCAATGCTTCAAAATTTCAAGCCTAATAGTTCATTTAAAAAAAAGAGAAGAGCTTATATATACTGGATTAACAAATAGATATAATTGAATGTCCGAGAATGAAAGCGAGACTTCTATTCACAACTTATTGAAATGTAACACCGCCAAAGTGCTGACTGTCAGCATATTTTATATGGTGGTGTTACATTTCAATAAGTTGTGAATAGAAGTCTCGCTTTCATTCTCGGACATTCAATTAAACAACAACAGTCAATACAATACAAAATAACATAAAACTCAAACGTAACTAACTAAATAATTTTAAAATTAAAACAAAAAAATTGTGATATTTCCAACATTCTAGTAATTGTAAAGAAGAAGAAGAATGAACAAGAATGGACATTTGGATAGAATTTTCTTTCAATTTGCTAGAGTTTTTGACGAAATTTTTAAAACCCTCCCCAAAATCCGATCTCAAGTTACGCCACTGGAACTAAACCTAGCCGTATTTACAACGCATCACAGTTTTTTTTTCATTCGGTGTACATCCAGTGTAATCCAGTTCGCTCGTGCGTATGTATGTCATTCTGATGGTATTAATGAAAACGAAGTCGAATTTGAAACATAAAACAAATGCATGTTTTTTTTTGTATTACAATAAATATGATGACATGATGACATAGACGACAAAAAAATTATATATTCTTCGTAATTTTTTATAGGAGCAGTCGAATATTTTTATAAAGCCATGAAAAATCTGTCCCCCCAAAAAAGGTTCGTTGTTATAATAGGACCGAGCCGCTCTGATTTATTATTGATGTCAATAAATATACATGTATCATGGTAACAATGTTGCTTTCGGACAATCTACATATATATGAGGTGGTGGCTCTTTTGGCTTCTTATTCTTTATTCTCGGTGTAAAAAAAAATGTGTAGCATAATGTGTTGCCGGGAGCATTAATCTAAACACATCCACGGGTAAGACTTGCCAACAATCATCTTTGCCCATAAAAGTCAAAAACAGTTCTTGGAAATTTTACTGAACACATTGTAACGCGTATCCAAAATTGAAAATCGAACATCGAAAAGAAAGAAAAAAAAAATAAAATTCACATAAAAAAATATTGAGTTAAGAACAATATCTGAATATTGCCGAATCAGCAGGTATTCATAATATATCTAGCACCTGGTGTTGAAATGAAAATCGGTTGAAATGCGCTCGCGCGCTCGCTCGCACCCCTTTATCTTTCTCTTTCTTTCTCCTTCTCTTTTACTTCTGGCATCTATCCGCACCAAACAAATAAAATATATGAATGGATTTTTGTTTTCGTTATGCAACGCAGCAATGATGAAGCACATTTGCCCAATAAATAAAAAGAAAGAACCATACAGATTAATTCATACCACCCTCAGTTCCGTTAACTTGTCCGTAATCTTTTACGAAAAAGACGAAAAAAACACAACTTTAAAAGTGTGATTTATACATTCGAATTAGTTTCGTTTGTTTTTTAAGCAAACGTTTATTTTTTTGCCATTTGTTCGATTCATTCGTTCGTTCGTTGCTCTTTTTGCTTGCCGAAGAATTTGGCATTTGCTTACAACTCGTTTTTGAGATTTTGCGGAAAAAATGAATACAAAATGGTTTTTTTTAATTCACATACACACTCTTCCTCTCGCACGTTTCTCGGTTTTTTATACTCTAAATAAATGAATCTCTCGCATATGTTGCACTTACAAAGTTAATTAAGTTTGGCAATTTGGATAACACATTCTGGGTTCAGAATTTGCGTAAAGTCAAAAATGTATGCTTATTGTCTGTCGTCACAAATCTCAGTACAGTGATTTAATTCGGAACGCCAACCTCTCCTCTCCAGTTCTATATTGGTCTGATTTTGAGGAATACCAAAGTGAATAGAATGGCCCTAATAAGCTTTAAGTAATGAAATTATCGCTATAATTCTACTTAGCTATTAACGCCTTGGTGTTGTTCATCACATCACATCAAATCTCAACGAACAAGCATCTCACCAATACGTGACGCACAGCCAAAAGTTCACGAACACTCCATGTAAAATACGCATAATAATATATGGACCATAAAATCTACAAAAAAAAAAGTTTGGCAGAAAGAATAAAAATTTATTTGAATACATTGGATGGAACGGCACATAAAAGAATTCATATACAATGGTGCGTGTTTTTTTTGTTGTTGTTGTTGAATCGAATTGAAAGCAGGATGTGAAATATTGTGATTTAACTTCCATCATCGTTTCTACTAGACAACTGCTAATTATGTAGAATTCCAAATCAGAATGCTACACAAACTATTTATTCATTTTTTTTTTTTTGGTTTGTTGTTAGAAACAAATGACAACGAAAACCTCAACAAACATTGAATGAAATGAACGACCGCAAGTTTAATTAATTTGATTACCTAGGTCCAGCGCATCGAAATATGATGTCTGAATGTGAATCTAAATTTTGTTTCATTTTCTCGTCATCTGCTCGGCGTCTCTATGGCTGCTGTACGACATTTGTGATTCAACATAGCCGTGCATTCATCTTTCACCCCTCAGCTTTCTATCGTACGCCAAAACTTTCGACATCTCGCTTATTGCGAGAAAACACACTAAAAACAATATTCACACAGGAATGAACGATGCATCCGCTCTCTTGTTTTGACTTTGTTTCTTCTTCTTTTTTCATTCATTCAGTCATTTTTGCTGAGTGGTGTCGTAGACGACCACATGAACAAGAATTTTTCGATTGTTAAACAGTGAAGTTTTAACATTTTGTCAGTGCTCCTGGATGCCTTTTTAGTTGATGCCAAACACACAATATAATTGCTAAATTCAATTTTAACTTTCAGCTTTCATTTTATTTTTGCACCGTCATATTTTGAACCATCATCACCAACAAAATTCGCATGGATATATTTTGAATGAAAAATGACAATTTATATTGTGGCAATAGACAATTTGCGCTCACAATAGATGGGCCCAGAAAAACAAAAATCTCAGAACAAAAAAAACTATAACTATATCGATTTATCTCTGTCGAGATTCCAAAAGTAAATACGAACCTATGTTTCGAGCCTATATTAAGCTCAGATTTAAATATTAAACAAATTATTCGACCTGGTAAATGTGTTACAAATGTGACTTGTTTGAGCCATTTTCTGACCTATATTGATAGGTATACTTTTATTTGAATTTGTCTAGTCTATAGTTAGCTTTCTATGGAAATTTTCATGTTCTAAATAAATTATGGTTTTATTTATTCATCTGACATATTCCAGAGCGTGATTATTATTGAACACTAGGGGGTAGACGGTAGACACCAATTCCCAAAGAATGAATCTCTACAAAAAATATTTTTGAAGTATGGCGAGTAAATTGAAAATGGAAACATTTCAAATCTTCTATAATAAATAATAATTTCGAATTATTTTGAATCTTTTTTTATCAAAAATGTTTTTGGACCGCAAAAAAAAGAGTTTTAGTTTGCTTAAAAAAAGTATTGACATAGAAGTTGATGCTTTGTTTTTTTAGTGTCAAATCGATTGAAATCAATCAAATCACAATAAATCATATGAATCGTGACTGCCTCCTAGTCTGGACATTTGTTCACATTGTGTACCAACAATTTTTTTAATGTTTCAGAAGCTATAAATTCAAGGGATAATTTTGCAAAAAAGAGCAACGTCCTTTGAAGAAAGTGCATCGACGCACGTTCTCTGCCAAAATCGCCAAAAAAGTTAAAAACAACAAATATATATCATATTTTTTATATGGTTTTTTGCGGTGCATACTTTTAACCTGGTGACTGAAACTAATCAAATTTCATTCAAGTCCAAAACTATCGCGTAAATTCATTTCGCAACATTTTAATTCTCCTACCCTCACCGGTACTTTCTCTTTTTCGCTTTCGATTTTTCCTTTAACATTACCCCACTTATAGTTACATTATGAAATAGACGTGAAAAATAAAAAAGAAATATTATCATTTTTTCTAACGTACACGGATAGATCATCGATGTTTATCGGAGTCGAATTATAAATGACAAAAAGAAATGGATCATGAAGTCGCATTGAATTCTCTATTGAGAAAGATATTCATTCAAATGGCATTGCCAAAAAAAACTGACAAATATGGGTTGAAATTGTTTTGCATTGAGTGAGATAATACCATCATCAACCATTCAACCACAATTTGGGGAATTTTGTGTATTGGCACACAAATTGTATTTCGACGAATGTCAACCTGTGGGGTTTTCTATACAAAAGACGTTCAGATGATAACAATGCCCAAAACCAAAAAAAAAAAACTATAGTTTTGAATTTCTACCAATTTTCGGTTGATTGTTATAGTTGGCAATTTCAATGAAGTTTTATAATGGAAACTTGTGAAATTCTCAAGCTTTTTCCGGCACATTTTTTTCAACATTTGCTTCATAAGCTCATTGATTTTATGGTAAATGTGACATTGTTATGTAACCAATCGACATATTGGTTGAAGATCAGCTGTGCAAACTAAACGAAAGTAAATTCAAATAATAAAACTCATGTATGGAAACAATTCAGCGGCAACAGAGGCTAAAAAGAAATTATGAGGAAATGTAAACATCAGCCCAGCCCAGATTGTATTTGTTTTGGTTTCAATAGACATTGTAAGTTGTCGGTTTGCAACGAAATCGGAGAGCGATTAATTGTTTAACTGCCTCTTTGCCGTGGTGCGCATCCTTTTGAATGAGTTTTCACCATGTTTGCTGCTATTCTTTTTTTTTTCATTCAAATGGTACGATTTTTATGATTCTACGTACGTTGTCGGTACAAAGTGTGTGTATAAAGCGGAGCCAAGGCAATAACAAAATATAACAAAATACTGTCGAATCGCATACCAAACAAAGGCACAATTTCCATCAGACATGTATTCTTTTGTTTAGGACTAAATACAATAGATGTACGCGCTGCGGCTTGAACCTCAAATAAAAAAAATTATTCTTTTTCCGTCAATTCTCTTTTTTTACTGCTTTCAGATATATATGTATTTCGTAACAGACGAGAACTTATTTGCGACCTGAGTGAATTCACACCTAATTCACCGTCTACAGAAAAAAGAATGTTGGAATTTGATTGCCATGAGAATTGTGGTGGTTTTCATGTCGGAAAATTCATCAAATTTTAGTGGTTCCCACAAATACTCTTTCAATTTTATTTCAAAAATCCATATCACATTGCAGGATGTATGATAAAATGTTTCGGGAAATGTACGTTAATATTCTTACATTATTTGCATCTCATCATAGTTAACGAGCTCTTTCATTGCATAATGTAATAGGAAATTGAAAATGTCGCACCCAAGGAACTGATGGCACTGAATGCTTTTGAAATGAAAATTGCAAATCCTCGAAATGGGTGGTTTTATCTTTGTTTTATGTTTATTAGTGCAGAGCTCTTCATAGACCGGATTTTTTTTAGATAAAAACATCACCTGTCTCGTTCAATTACTCTTCTACCTTTGAGATCAAATGAATGTTAAAAGGTTTTCAAAACCAGAAAGCAGAGCGGGACAAGTTTGTAAGTGTTCCTTGGGAAATGGTTGTAAGAACTAAGAAGGAAAGTGAATATTTGTGAATTGTGTCAGTTGAAAATAGTGATGTTTGTAAGGGGTGAGAGGCAAATTCAATTCAATATGGAAGAGAAGCAGAAAAAAATAAAGAAAAGAAGAAGAAGAGAAAGAGAGATAAAAAAAATAGTATCATCGTGCCCAATTCGATCCAGAAGTTCAATCAGTTTCCTGGTACAGTGTTTGGTCATGCTTTTAACTGCCACAATATCATTCAGACGGTTGTTTTTGCGATTTGTTTTTTTCACTGCAAATTTCCGAATTTCCGAACGGAAACATCCGTTGTCATTTGTACGTCGGTTAAAAAATTTATTTTCCATCATACACCGCACCGTAATGTGTGCTTTACATGCATCAAAGTTGTGTTTCGGCTCGTTGTGCACTAGTTTAGTGTATATCAGAGCGCGCTCGACAGTAATCAAATAATAAACGCGTATATACACATCCAATAGGTATTAAAAAACTCACGGTATATGCACATGGCATATTTCTATTGTGCACAATAAGTTTTAACGTGCACCATATATTCATGATTTTCCTTTTGGCCCAGTATCACACGTTTAAGTCTCAAAATGAAGAGCAAGTTGAATTGATGCTTTTCATTTCACCCACTTACTTTGGTTCTATCTCTTTCCCTCTGTGGCTCTGTCTCGGCTGTGTCTATTTCTGTCTCTGTCTTTCATGTGTCAGCATTTTGTCATGCCAATTCGCTCCGCATAGAAAGAGAGAAGGATGTGGATGTGGTTCTCATTTTATACGAAAACTTCTGTTACAGCAGGAGCTACTGTGCGCAAACAATATTCAATCGTTGGTTAGTATGCATTGTTCGGTCCATTGTGTCGCATCATTTTTGCTCGCAGCAGTAAAATCGTGAAATTTTCCACATATTTTTTTTGGTTCGCACGATTTTCGTTGGTTTATTATTGTGAAGCAGCGCGTTTGTCGCTTTCGGTTTTGTGAAACAAACAGTACCAAAACCGAAACAGTTTGTCTATTAGATTGTATGCACAGTTTACAAAGCGCATTATTACTTCGAAACCCATATACACACATTTAATGAATATTTTACAACTTAACTATTCGTGGTATCTCCAAGTAATTTAAAAAGTGGATGCTTTTGCTTTAGTGAGTAAAAATTTGATGTGATGTTGTCTCGCGCTAAAACTCTAGTTGAGTTAGGAGTGTGTGACTGAATAGCCGCTGTTCCATTGTGTATTGTGTGTGCATGACCTTACTGAAAGACCGTTGCTAATTATTAACTGAAAAATTGTGTGAAAAACTGCGGCAAATTTTAACACACAATATTTCTACACAAATTAAGGATCGCAAACGTTTTATTTTCTACTTTGTTACAAAATAATAACAGAATCGATGCTGCAACACTATATTTTATCAAGAACACAAAAACAACGATAAAAAAAACCGTGCAAAATAAATGTATGAACATTTGAAATTTTTCACATGAAACAAAGTGCAAAGTTGACATTTTTCTAAGTTTTATGGTGCTTCATCTGGCTGATTCATTTTTTTGTTTCGCCCAATATTGGGCTTCGTAAATTCTTCAAAGCACAACGAACGATACGAGACACACATCGAACGGATATATTGCGGGTATAAAGGCAAAGATAGACAATCAAAATTCCTCGAGATAAGAGTGGCCCATCTGGTATTTGCGTGTTATACATGTACGTTTGAGCCTATGATATCACTTTTTTATACTGCTAAGCACACAAGCGGTAAAATGATATACAAAAAATGGTTATTTTGTGAAAAATCACAACTTTCAGCACAAAATTATGGAGCACTCGGTCAATTACATTGGTTGATTCCAAAGTTCCATTTTAATTGAAATGACATTTTTGTAGAGAATGACAAACTTTGTTCATTTTATATGTATATGGCTGCATTATGTATACATGTGTGTGTGTCAAACATAACGGTGGAAGGCACATTATTTTTTTTTTTGCTGAGAGTTTTGATTTTTCTTCTTTTTTTGCTAAATAACCAATTTTTATCTCTGTGTGTGCATCAAAATGTAAATGTCCTAGATGTATTCATGTGCGAGAAGAAAAAAAAAACACATACCACGACAGTTATTTCATTTTTACGTTCAATTGAATCGTCAAAAAAGACGACCAAATAGAAAGCAAGCAGAAAGAAATAGCAGCATCATTTTGGAAAGTGACTACGAAAAACGTCAGAAAATAAACGACATACGACAACATCGACGTCGACACGAAATCATCTATTTTATTTTAAATTTGCTTAGGGTAAGTGAAAACTGGACTGACAAATCGAAAGCATATTCGTTTTCTCTTTCATTCTTTTTCATACGCTTATTTGTTTTTCGTTTCTGTTTGTATCGCATCAGTGTGACGATTCGGAGCGAAAACCATGATACACACGCTCGCTCTCTTTATTTTCATTCTCTCACACCCGCGTTTCCCATATAAATATGTTTTTATATGTTGTACGATAAATTCGTACCCATGATGTTTGGCCGTTCATCGTATTAGCGGAGAACAATGGGGCCCATTGCACACATGTACACACATATTTATATGTATCAACAAAAACAAATGAAAACTGTTTTTGCAACTGATTTATGTGGTTTTATGGATTTTAGTGCATTTAATATCACTGCATCTGCATACAATGAACGTGTTTATTTTGACACAAACTGTAGGAAAAGTTTGCTTTTCTCGTGTCGTGTTTTGTATGTTTTGAATCTTTTTTTTTTATTATTGTGCACGTTTTATTTTATTTACACTCCTTCTTTATGAATATGTTTGCTTTGTGTTTGTTGTGGCATGGCAAATGTTGGCATCAATTTTTGCGTGAAAGCACTTAAAAATGTTGAAAACGACGATGATACGATGATGGTTAAAAACAAATGTAATGCCTCAATGGGGGAGACTGTCAATGGTTTCTATGCTTCTATGATTCTTCGCTTCGGTCTTTTTACACACAGACACACGCACACAACGACATAATGATGCAGAAACAGCAGAAACAGTAAACATTATTACGCAAGAAGTTTCAAAGAGATTCGACGGTATTCATGTTACAATTTTTCTTCTTCTTCAGATTTCATGTTTCTTCATTCTTTTCATTTCACTCTTTAAATCTTCCTCACACTCTTTCTGAAGAGCTTTTCTAATTATTCAAAAATTTCAACATATCAATCAGCTAAACCCCTGCTCGACGTCAGCACGCATTTTGTGTCGATGAGAAATGTTATCTATGCGATGAGTGCAAAGCGTTTACAGCGAACGAGATAAAGATGCCATGAAATGTTAAAGTTTTATTTATCCTTTGGTTCTTCTTTCTCTTTCTCTCTCTCTCTCTGTCTCTGTCTGTCCCTCTCTCTTTCTTTAGCTCACTCAATTTTTTTTCATTTTGGTGATTTTCTTATTTCAAATGCTCTTATGTGTAAAACTCATACATACAGAAATATGTATATTTATTCGCTTGGATTGTATGTAATACCATTGGCTTTTCTTTCTCGGTCGTTTTACTTCCTATCTCGCAACGCTTTTATGTGATGTATGGCGTTGGCGACAACAAAAGAATGTAATATGTGCTGATTCGCCTTTCGTTTTTCGTTCACTTGTTCGTTCGTTTCGTTCCATGTTTTCGTTCTTCATCCCTCATTCTTAGCTTCTCATGTATGTTTCTATCATTGGTTTTGGTGGGTGCGCTGTATTTTCATGTGAAGTCATCATTTTTTTTTAGACATGTTTATAACAAAAACCAGAACAGCACCAAACGAAACGAAAGCAAACCAAACGATTCAAACCAAACGAATCGATTCAAGCATCTTTCTACGGTATCGAATGGATTCGAATCGTTTCAAATCGAATCAACAAATCGAATGGCATGGCGTGTACACACAATAACATTTACATTTTACAATATACCACAATGCACATCGGTAGACAAGTGAAGAATTGTGAGGCATTTCTAATCATAGAAAGATTGTAAAATCCCATGCACTATTAAGCTCACTTAATTTTTATGTCGTATGAATGCACAGAACGGCAATGCCAATACCTATAAACTAAATCTATGCCAAATAGATTTATCCGTCTAATATTTTCGTTTTCAACTCCCACAATCTTATTTTTCTTCCATTAACTTTTGTTAGATGTGTTCATCGTTAGTGGTGCTTACAGTTCACTTGTACGCTGCCATTGTCATTATCAAATCCTTTACGATGAAACGACGACTCATGCTGGATTTTAAAATATATTTTAATACATAACGATACGGAAAAATAAACATGAATTTTATATCAAATATACTCTCAACATCAAAATCACTATGGGACTAATTGAAAGCGTTTTTTTTTTTTGTGTTGGCGTTGTCATGATTGCTATTGCCGCAAACTTTGTGATCGTATGAATGTGTATGTGTGCATATGTATATATATTAGTCAAGATGTATGTTGTGTGTAGCGTTACTTATTTGAACTTATGTGCATCAATATCCTGTACATCCATTTTTGCTTCACAGCTTATAAGAGCTAAAATCAAATTTTCCTCTCGCTTCTTTTATGTTGTTTTCTTTTTTGCGTGTTCATAAGAGCTTTTAATTCTATTTCAAGATCTTTTAGTCTATGAATAGAAAAATGCCTTACAGCAGCCTAGATCCAACAGATGAACACTAAATGGATATTTACCAAAATGTATAAGCAAATGATGAATCGGTTTTAATGTGATAGAACTCTGTACTCTGCTATAAATCTTGCTGCAATGCTCTATACTATTGCATATTAGTTGACACACTTTTGGAAGAAGAAAAAAAAAATATTTTTATTAATTTGTCTACTGCAGTACAACTTTTGTACAAGTTTGTAGTTTCTTTTAAAAGCAAGCTTTTGTATACACTTTGATTCTCTCTCTAGTTCTTCATGCAACGATTTTTTTGACTCTTCACCTCCACAGCCACCTCTTTCACTCTGTTCGCCATTTTTTCTTTTGTCAACAAGGATGCCAATTTTTTTTGCTCTCAATATTCTAAGTTGAAATAAATACACTTTTAAAGCGACAAAGGTTGTTTACAGGCCTTGAGGCGTTGCATAAGATATGCTTGTGCTTACAGAGAGGTAAATATGATACTAACCGAATTACGAAAATGGGCCGGATGCCGATCTTTCTTCTCTTTCTCTTCCAATTCTGGTCATTCAATCTAATAAGCTAAATGTATTTTTCGACTGAGAATATTGTCGAATATGTCTCAAGTTTTTTTTTCGGCCGGAAATATAATGCGGTGCCATATATCATGTATTTCACTGTATCGAATTTAATAAGGTTGGATAAGGTTAGTCAAAAGTTAGTGGTCGAGTGTTTCTGCCTTGGGGCTGTTATCCATTGATAGAAAATATAACATCGGATTGGATGAGAGTGCATAGTCAACATTGGCTAATACACTCGCTTAACTTAATATCTACAGTCAATCAGTATAATATATCTTCTTTTTTTTCTCACTTTCACTGCATATCTTTATTTTGCAATTTTATTCGAAATAATATACATAATAATTTTTCGAGTGGCATGAATTATCATTTTCAGTTGCAATTCAATAGATTAATGGCATTGCATGAATATAAAAATCAGTGTAAACGTGTATATATTTCAGCGTTTTTCATGTTTTTTTTTTGCAATGTTTGCAAATATGTATTACATTCGCTGCGATTGAGTCGGCTGTTTTTATTATCTTACCACTTTTTCTCTATCTCCTCTCTCTCTTTTTTGTCTCTTTTCTTTAATGCTCTACAGGAACAAATATGTGTACAACATTTGTGTAAATCATGGAACTTTCCGTCGCAGTCACATTTATGATTTCCGTTGCAATTGGTAAGCTCAAAATTCATTTTTTTTTCACTTCAGCACAAAAAAAAGCATATGCGATCAATACAAAGAGAGAACAATCATATGCCATTGTCAGATATACCGTATGCCATTAGCATAAAATAATTCAGTCTGAGGGTAGAAAAAAAAAAACGAAATATATAATCCAGGTTACATTGAAATGAGACCTTTGTTTATGCACTGAAATGGAACTTTTTAACATAATTCACAAAACCATCGAATATGGCGGGCATACATCGGATGGATTTGTCAGATATCGAAGCGGTGTTTAACAATTCGGCTTGTCATCTTTGCAAATATCCCGAAGATTTGAAACTCCAAAGGAATGCTGTCAATATGTGTATGTCCCCGAGAAAAGAGTGAAATAAAATACTTATAAGCAAATATCTCAATGTCGCTGTACATGATTTAAATGTATTCCCAATGGTTCATTCGAATGTTGTACTGTTGAAAATGCAATCAAAGCACACAGAGAAAAAAGAAAAGAAATTGTTAGCTGTTTACGATTGAAAATACTGTGTCATCGCATACAGCTAACATGCTTGAGCTAAAAACGAATGAAAATGAAAAGAAATATTGTGAAAAATATCGGTGGACTGACTGACTGGTGGCAACATTCTGACATTTTGTCGATGTATTCGATCATGTTGTATCGGATATTTCGTGCCCGAAATGAATGAAAATCATTTCAAGTTAAGCCGTATAAATACTGAAAGAAAAAAAAAATCACATACACAGAACTTGGAAATGCTTCTTCATCTTTTGGTGAGATGCTGTTAAAGTCGTTCTAAGCACCACCATCAATCGAATGTGAAACGGTTACGCTTTTGCATTGAAATATAGATTTTGTTTTTCATGAAGACAGCTTAAATTCGGATTTTGAATGGGGATAATATAGATTATTCATGCTAAAGTTGGCGCAATCGGTGCGAAAGTTTGGAAAATATGCGATGATTTATTTGTGTTTATTCGCATGATATTCGCCCATCGAAAATTCACAAGTGATATGTTAACCGTTTTCGATATATCGGGTAGTTTTTGGTTTTATTATTGCACTTTAAACGCACATAAATAGTTCGCAAAATTGTTGTTGTTGTTGGTATTATTTGAAATGGTTCCATTGCCTTGGTGACTTTGATTTTTTTTTTATATATTTTTTTTTACACTCTATAGTTTGGTTAGTTGGTATTATTGGTCCATCGTTAGCTACAGAATCCGAGCCAGCACATCCAGCGATAAGCAGTTTGGCCGATACAACGTACCCAAAGCAAAATCAATATTTTGATTCAACGAATATGGCATATGTATTAGAGTTAAGCAATCCCAAGACCAATCAAAATAATAACGGCGAAGAGGACGATGAGGACGATAATAGGAGTAGTAATGACAGCGATAACATTAGAAGTAACCAAAAATATGTGAACGTTTCAAGTAGAGACAACCGCAATTTTTATAATAACAATAACCACAATATCGGCGACGATGCCGATAAAATGAATAACGCTCTGAATCGAGGACCATTTTTTGATGTATCGGGTAAGTGTAACAACAACACCAAACATTCAAGAAGATTATTCATGCCTTTCCCTTTCTATTTTCTCTTTTTTTGTTTGCCCTGTTTGTGTCTGTTAGCATCGAAGAATGTCACTGCGCTCGTAGGCAAAACAGCAAATCTCAATTGCAGGATCAAAAACTTGGGGAACAAAACAGTGAGTAAACACCAGTCTATTTGCTTGTTTCCACCATTTTACCATTTCAACATTTTAAACGATAACATCGCTCGCTCGTTAGCTCACTCTCAAACTTACTTCGCAAAATTTATTGGCACATCATCATTACTCGATTTTTTTTTCTCTCCCTTGTCTATCTCTGTCATATGCGCTCTCGATCTGTCTATCTTTCAATCTTTTCCTTTAACGCTCTAGTTTCCATATTGTGCTTCGTACGCTTTGCGCGCTAAATTCACATTATTGAATTAAAGAAGTGCTTCTTGAACTATGTATACGCCGATACTTGAAGATTGAAACAAGGAATCATCACATTAACTTTGTTTTTCTTGCGCCAGTTGCGATAATCACAAAATGTTCTTAAGTCTTGCTCCTTTTTTTGTCGTTCTTTTTGTCACATCACATTAGTTTTTGCGTCTAATCATACAGAATCGCACTGAAAGCGTGTATCAAATGAAAGGAAATAAATATTTTTGAAAGCATGAAAATGCCCAATCCAGCTTTATATATATCACATCAAACAGCTCCCCATGGACGATTTTTGTGCAAAACAACATTGGCAACCTTCAAAAAAAAAAAAAAGAAATAAGAAATCCATCGTTCAAATGAATCGTTGCCATCGAAGCAAAATTGCACAAAGAAAATGCCCATTTCATCTTCTCAAAAGTAATACTGAGAAATCAGAGACAATTCACTCTGTACGCTCCCTGTTGTTTCATGAATTATTTTGCTTTGTATTCTGAATTCACAAGTTTATTACGGTTTTTACATCCTTTTTTTTTGCTCGAGTCATTCATGAAATCAGCTTGTTTCGAGTGGTTCCGGGCCATTTCGGGCTCGTAATTTACTCACTCCGCTGTTGCAAATATATTATCGATTGAACATGCTGAGCTTACCGTGTCCGAACTAAATAAAAACAGACCAGCATAACATTTTAACTTTATTCCATGTCACGTAATGTAACATTTGTCTCTCCGATTTATAGGTAACTTGGATACGGGTAAGTGAAAACTGGACTGACAAATCGAAAGCATATTCTCATTCGTTCTCTTTCTAATACACCTATGCACTTTTTTTGTTCGTTCTGTTAGCATCGAGATCTACACTTACTTACCGTTGATAAAACCACATACACAAGTGACAACCGTTTCGTGTGTGTGAATAATAAACAAATTGGCGATTGGTCCCTACAGGTTTGTGTTAAAAATACAGTGAAACCGTGTCACATTGACTGAGGTGGGTGAGCTCTTTCTATGTGAAACATTCCGTCCATCATTTTGCGGCAAACAACATTTTGTGAACTGAATTTCACACTATTTAGATTTTAAAAATATAGCTGGCGGCTTGTGGACAAATCAAATCAAATCAAAATGTTGAATTCTAAATTTGACATTTCACATTTGTACGGAATTGCTAATAAAATTTAGTTTGGTAAATTTGCTGGTGTTGTGCATGACAACCAAAATTATATAAGCCATTTGAACAAATTTACTGGCTTTTTGAGTTCACCATACTGAAAATAACGAACGAAATAAAAAAAAAACAACAAAACAAAAATAAATCCGAAAGATTTTGCATGAAAAAGTTTTTCCGTAAAATGTGATAAGCTCGTCTCTTGGGTATGTTCTGGGATATGTATATTCATCTCTCTCTCTTTTTTTCTTGTTTTTTGCAGATTCGGAATACGCAAAAAAATGATTCGGGCATCTACGAATGTATGTCTTGACTTGAATGAATTTTTAACACGAATGTATTTATAATTATTTATTTTTATACTTTCGTAGGTCAAGGTCTGAATGAATTCCATCATGTTGTCAATATTCATGCGGTGGTTTTAAATGTGCTCACCCATGAAAGCGTTTAAACACAATACACCCTTTTCCCAAAATCCTCATTCCTTTCCGCTTGATAAACATTTATCCTGTTGTCCCTTGTTAATATGTGACATAATTTATTGTGTTTCAATCTTCATTTTCCATGTGCTAATTATTCAAATTGATGTTCAGAACACCTCATGCATTAACAATTTTCCCCCATTTTGCCATTTGATTTTCGCAGTTTCAACGACGCCGCCCGTGGGATTTTCAATGATTTTATCAGTCGTTGGTATGTGTCATATACGTATATATATATATATTAATCCATAAGCTTTTTACCGATCGGTGCGTAGAAGTTGAGAGGAGTATGTTTGCAACTTATAATTGATTGAATTTCACATATATATTTTTTGGTTGATCGAAAATAGATGTTTTTTTTTCGTTCGATTTTTATTCACTCAGATTACCTCTCAGTTGCTCTCATATTTCTCCCGCTTCTTCTCATATTCAACTTTGAGAGATTTTGTTTGAACTCATAATCGGTTTTTGAATGAGCTCGATAGGGCTGTTGACAGAAAACAAGATAATTTAAAACAAAAGTTTGCCGCATAATAGAGCTGCGATTTTATTAGCGACTTTGAAAACTTTTTTTTTTGCGCAGTTTCATTTAAAACAACAACAAAAAAGTTGCATGCAAAAATATCGCAGTTGAGAAAAACTCTTTTGACAAACACTAACAACAGAGAAAAAAACATCGAAGTGAGAAAGAGAAGAAAAAAAATAAAGAAAATAAAGTGAAGTAAAAGCTTTGTTCTCATTATGAAAACTGCTTAAAAATGTGTTGCTTTTCGGTTGTCATCGTCAGATGTGTTTTCTCTTTGTGTTTCACTTGTTTTACGTTGAAACGATTTTTCACTCTGTGATTCGAAATTCTTTTTAGTAAATTCTCTGTGCGTTTTTGTGTGTGTTTGTGTGTGTTTTTTTATGTTTATTCTCTATTATGTGTATATGCTCTTCTGTGTACAACCCAGAACCAGTCACATCCATACTAGGAGCACCCGATTTATTCGTGTCTATCGGTTCAACCATTAATCTAACATGTATTGTAAGACATTTGCCTGAACCACCGAGCGCAATTTTATGGAGCCATAAAAATCAGGTATGTAAAAGCAGTCTCGAGTTGAATACATGAATAGCAAAACGAAATAAGAGATATATTTGTATGCATATATACGCTAAGTAAAAGCTCTTATACATACATATCTTAGTGATAAGCCACGCGAAAATACACTTATTTCACGTGTTGAAATTGTCGAAAAGGCAAGTTATTTCAAGCCATAATGAATGACAGAATGAATATGAATCAGGGTTTCAGCGATTTTCTGTGGAAAATACATTTACACAATGAGCGGTGCGCTTCAGCTGTTATATCTGCTGCTGATGACGCTACTGGTGATAGTGGTTTGGGGTTGGTAATGATATTGATGCTTTTTCATTCTCTCTTCTCAACGACCAACTGTACATCATAAATAAGTGACGCGAAGCACTGAGAATGCAAAAGGGACCCATATTCACCATATAACAACAAAGGCAATGTTTAAATAACAATTCTATCTACCAAATGAAACATATAACAACAGCCGAAATTCAAACATTTACTTTTAAAATCTGTATCGGACGTTTTTTTCTCTCTTCGTTCGATTCATATGATTCTTCTCTTCGTGAAAATCACATGTAAATAAAACATTTTAAATATTGTATATATGAACGATTTTACATGACAATTTTCATGCGATTTTATTGCCACAGTTCATTCAAATTGAGTTCAGACAAACCGAAAAACACCTACAAATGCACATCATCATAACAACGGTATTGTTACAAATTAGATCTCGATAGAATCGTTCAATATCGGTCTCGTTTGTTCGCTATCACAGAAACCATATTGGAAATAGTTTCTATTCGTATCATGTTTCGCTTTGAAGTTTTTGCCACCTAACTTCCTCCACAGCAGCGGAAATTCCATTATTTCGTCGAAGAGATCAATTATTTTCAGTAGCTACAAGCATCACATTTACACATTCATAGACCCTTTATATAGGATAATTGCACCAATTCCCACACTTAATACTACCTTAGTTTAGCATTCGTGTGGTTTTTTTCATTTTCAATATCCGTGATAGTGTGGTTCGGGTTCAAAAGTACAAATCATCACACTGTTTCAAGGCTCATGAGTGGAGCCGTGTGAGAGTGTGTTTGTCTGTCGTGATATATGTATGACCTATGTGTATATGGGTGAGGGAGTGATATTTTGCAGGTGATGAATTATCACATTGAAAGGTGATTGCGGTCACCATAATGTGGTGCTTTTTATAATAATGAAAATTGTTATAATGAAAGTACCGATTTGTCGACCAAAATCATATTTTCCACATGAAAAAGTGTATTTTAATTTGCGGAAAAACGTATACGTTAATTAATGGCAGCGCCTCATTATGTTTTATCGATACAGTTTTCGTTCATTACTGATTGCACATCGTTCATTATAAATGGAAAAATAGAGGAAATATTTGATGATATTTTACGTAGATTGATTCTTCTGTTATTCACTGCCGTGGATAAATGTCGTTTTTTTTTATATACATATGTATTGAGGTACAATTAGAAAAGTAAATTTAATTAGTGTACTTGTATGGAAATTGTATCATTAATTTAAATAATTTCAAAATATTGAGAGAGAAAAAAAACATTACAGGGTAAAATAACGAAAAACTAGTTCAGAAGAGACACTTTAGAAAACACCACTTAGGTTATTAGGTTCGGCTCACTAGAAATTGGAATTTTCAATAGACGGCTATGATGAGCGTGTAATCCAAGCTCATTTCGCCCATATAACAACACGTTCATTGTAAACTGATTTATGACGCATTTTTAATGGTGAATTGCTTTTTATTTGGCACAGGAGATTAATTACGATAGTCCGCGCGGAGGTGTCAGTGTAATAACGGAGAAAGGTGAAGTGACTACTTCTTATCTGCTCATTCAAAAGGCGAGAATATCCGATTCGGGTGCATACCGGTGTATGCCAACCCATGCAAATCCAAATACGGTTAATGTTCACGTTTTAAACGGTATGTATCATCAACACTTCTATGATAAGCTTACGGTTTCTTTTTTTTATTACTAAAATGGATGTAATTTTTCAAAATGTGTACTAAACAATGACACACATTGCACATACATGATGAGAATATGCTTTGAGGGCAATTTCACTTTATGAGATGCTCAAGAAAAGTTTAGTCATGTCACAAAGCTTTTTAAAAAAAATATGTATATCTACACCATACACCAAAGTGATTGAGGGGCAATATTTTATTATTATATTTTTCTTCTTCAAAGTTCTTTCCGATGCTTTATATTATCCGTTTAAACTTCTCTTCTCGAAACGTTTAGGTGAGGAACCGGCTGCAATACAACAAGGCTCTAAAACCCACTTACAAAGTACCAACTTCTTAATTTTAATTTTGACTTTCATTGTTATTATACATTTGAACAGTGATGCTGCTGTACTTTAAACATCAAATCCAATTTACTGACAAAATAATACTCTTCGTTTCATTTTAGTCTTTTTTAGTATTTTTATTTTGTTTTGAGTGTGCAACTCACTTGCACATAAGTATTTCTTCAGTAGTCGAATATTTAGTTTTTTTTTTTCCTCTCGTTCTTTTGTGTTTAACGATTCACTTGAATCTATTGTCTGTTTCAATCCAGCTGGATTTCATTTAAATAAAATATGCCACATAATTGACTATATGTACTGTGCGGAAATTCGATAAAAGATAGATAGAGAGAGGAAGAGAGAGTAAAAAAAGTTACATCTTTCTGAGTTATTTTTGTTTATTCATTTTATTTGTTTGCTTGTTTGTTTGTGTTACATATACATTTTTGAAGCGTCGTTTTGTTTTTGTCGTTTATGCAATGTGTTTGAGAAACGAAACCAAATATGATGGATGTACGCTTGGAATACATATATATTCCAACTATTTTAAATTGTGACTGTGAGCACTGTTTTGTTTCAAAACAAATTTATTATAATGTTGATATAAAAACAAAACAAGCGACTTTAAGCGCTTGAACTTAAAAAAAAAAAGAAGAAACTATACATGAATATTTACAATTTTCGTTTAAATTCAAATATGTTTTAACACATGTCGTTTGTCAACGTTGAGATTTCGAATCAAATCGAAAAAAGAAAAGAACTCAAATAATATAACTTAAATTTCAACTTAATTAAATCATAATTTCAAGTTCAAGTGGATATTATTCGATTGAAATTGATTTAATAAATTTAGAAAGATGTGTAAACAATGTCCAATATAATTTAAAATAATCAATTTAAGAAATGTATTGAAAAATCTAATTGAAGTGAAGTGAGTAATCGAATGAAAGGAATCACCATTATAAGACTATTGATTGACCAACAATGCGATATAATCAACTAAACGACGAACACAAGCGAGTATCTCGAACGTCCTTGGACATCACTTACATGTTGTAACATTTATCGTATCAAATAATATGTCAGCATGCTGGCAAATAATTGTTATAGTTGTATGTTACGGCTATTTTTTACAACAGTCGATTCTAGCTCTCAATGGAATGGATACAATTCAATAAAATGTTTTAGAGGTATTTCAACAAAATTAGTTTATTGTTAAAAGCCACTTTGGATGAAATTAATGGATCAAAATTGCGGCAATTTTTAACGATGACAGAGCAAACAATACACCAAACGACCCATAACATCTAAATCGAAACATCTAGCCACAAACATTATGTTGATCATACCAAAAATTGAAACAACAAGTTAATATATTGTACTCTATGGCCTAGTAATGAATTTGTTTCATTGCTAATTTCCTAATGAAAAACAAATGAATATTTATTTATTATGGTGATTTTCCTTTTAACATAAATGATATTGTTAAGAATAGTTTTCCGTAAGCAATTTCTAACCCTGTGGGAATACATTGAATGACTCTCTTAAGCTCTCGCACAACGATCGAGCTCTATATGTTGCATGTTGTGTGTTTATTGATACAAAAAAAGCGAAAGAATGAATGAAATTGAAAACACAACGAGCCAAGGACAGAGATAGAATGTCAGAAAGATGGAAAAATTGAAGAAAAGGAGACATTTCTTCCGCACTATGGACCAACGCTCATTCCAATTATGGAAAATATTTGCATACAGTACTAAAAGTCTTCCTAACTATCATCAATCAACACACACACACACACATACACATACACATACATTTATATATATATAAACAAAAAACTAACTTTTACTTGGATAATTTCATTAATTTGTTGAAAAACACTGTATTGAATAACCTTTCTTTTTCTTTTCACCCAGTTTCGCTCAATCCCAAAAGTTTTGTCCAATCTTCCTTTTTTTATTTATCTCTCTATTCATTGTATTTATTTTTGTCAACCCATGCTAAAATCCATGCAATGAAAAAGAAATGGCCATTTTCATACAATGTCGTATTTACATTCAATGGGATAATAAGTTAACACCAAAAACAAAAGGTCTATAGTGTAGGTTTTAACTTAATTTTGGCACAATGAAGAGATCATCATTCTGAGTCATCTTTTGGCCATTCGTTATTAATTGTTGTTGAATAAACAAGGAAAGCACAATGAAAATCAGCCAAAAATTAAATTTAAATATTACATAAATACGTAGAAAATAATGATGATGAAAGAAATAAAAACCAAAAAAAAAAAAGAAAAAGAAAAAAAACTTAGAAATAATTTTTAAATGCTAAATCCATCAAACATTTAGTTTCAATTAATTCAACTGTATGTCTTGAAAGTATATTTACGAGTTGCGAAACTATACTTACTTTGTAACATTTCAAACATAAGGAAATTCGATAGCTATTGTCTGAACAAAGCGGGGATGAAATGATTAAAGTGAAGCATGCAATAAAGTACACAGTTACAGAAAAAAAAATTATCTCAAGTATACGGCATTTTCGATGGTTACCGAGGTGGAGAGGTTCTTTCTTTTTGCAGCCAAAGCAGAGTTCATTGTGTAACAGGAAACGCATCTCAAAGTGAAGAGCGAAAGAAAAACAACTTTCCACTTCTTCACATTTTTACCTTTCAACCGGAATTTCATGCTTCACATTTGTCTGTCGTTCCATTCGTGGCAGCAACAGATTGGGTAATGTATGGAATAAAATGTGTGTTGATTGTACTTTTCTATTTATTGTTTTAAACCATTTTGTTACAATGTTTTTTTTTTGTAGTCATGACATTTTTTCCCCTACATAATTTAACTCCCAAAAGATCGAAATACTATTGAAACCAAGCTTAGCTTTTTCATCACCCATATTTTTCTTTTATCTTGTTACGACATATTATCTTATTTCTGTTTCATCTCTTTTGTTAAAAGAATGTGAACAATGTTGAAAATGGTTTTTCCTTTGATTTTTGAGTTCTAAATTGTTATTTGCATTGTTTGTTGTTTTCTTCTTTTTTTTTTGGTTTTTGTCTTTTGTTCTGTGCTTTTCTGGTGTACCTAATTTTCAATTAGATTTGATTATTATCGTTCAGTTTTTTTTTGTTATTTACAAATGACGAATGTACACTTCATTTTGGACTATGGCTTCGAATTTCAAATAAAATCGAAGTAGTTTGAATAGTGTTTAAAGATTAATGAGAAACGGAAAAACATAAATGTAAGCTAAATTTTCTATACATTTATTCATTGGCGATGATAATAGTGTGGCAATATAATATGATGTGAGAGCGGTACCAAGTGACAGAGACTGAATCTTCACATTTTATCGACCAATGACATGATATACAAAATTCACTACGGTGTTGTATAGCAATCGGTATGTATGTTGAGCATTAAAGTTGTTACTACAGACGGAAACAATGTGTCATTGCGTTGAAAATTATGTGAAAATGTCTGTATGATAAATGATAGAGGATGTGTTTTTGATTTATTTGAAATTATATTGAATACGACGACTCTTACATTCCATGAAACTATATAAATTACAAGAAAATGACGAACTTAAGTTAGACATGAAGACGTAGTTGCGTTGTGACAAGAGAATTATGGTGACATTTCTTCGTCATACACTATGTGCAAAATTAATAAGAGCACTTGCTTCTTATATTGAACATGAGACGTCTTCACAATTTCACAAACATTAAACTAAATTCAACTGTTTCGATACATTAGTGTATATGAAATGTGGATTTTGTGAATGAATTGATAGTGATGGAAAGATAGAGGGAAATAGAGAGTATTTCTTCTTACCATGGTCTAAGGGGTTGGACAAGCCCCAGTATCTACGTTGGAGATATTCTCTTGGAAAATGTTGACAATAAAGATCATATTTATCAAACCAAATATATCCACAAGACTTTTTAAATGGAAGATTCAAAATAAATGACCCCTTTGTAATCCAACTGTAGATGCCATAAAGAGATAGAGAGAGAGAGAGAGAGAGCTCCATCAGAATTCGACTCACAAAGTCATGATGCATAAAACTTTTGGCATCGGCATGCTATGCACAATACTATGCACATTGTGGATTGAAACTATCTCAGCATGAAGAACATTAAATACAAGTGAAGTAATGCACAACACATTTTAATTTCTTTCCATTATTATCTGTAAATCTTAATTTTCCATTTAGTAATATTTTGGTTGGTCGTATTAATCGAAATTCCCTCTCTTTGTCTTTCTCACTATTGCAAAGAACAGCATGAGATTATTTATGTTTTAAGGCGGAAAAATGTGGTTTTTTTTGTAGGTATTTCAATAAAATGTGTTCCACTGAATTAATTTATGATTTAAAATTATTGTACCTATTGCATTCATTTCAATACAGTTTTGTGTGTGTTTTTTTTTTAATTTTTGGTTCTGATATCATTTCTACCATAATCTATTCTTGTTAGGTTCTACTTGAAACCATACAGTGACATTCTTCTATATATTTTTTTTGCGCAGAGATAATATATGGAAATTCCAAAGAAACAGAAAGAAGCTCTGGTTTGCTTTGCATTATTATGCACACTAGTGCTGTTGTATTACAGTTTGATTAGTCGTGTTATTTATATTGCGATCAAAACACTGGAAATAAATTGTTAAAGAGTGTTGCACCGTTAAACGCCCATAACGTGAAACTTTATAAACGAGCGTTGTATTGTATTCTGTTAAAAATTAAGGCACATCACTTTTTAAACTCAACATTTTCGAAAGATACATCATTTTCCACAGTATGCGTGTGTGTGTGTGTGGGGGACAAAAACAATGACAAGACCAATTTTTGTGTGATTATGAATATTTCACCAATTATTGCTTAATTCAATATGGCTTTAAGGAAATGAAATGACTTCATTAATAAAGAAAACTTTTGGAAATTACAATAGGTAAAAAATAAAATGTCGTTTTTTTCTTCTCCATCATGATTGAATTCAAGAAACAAAGGCACAATAAATTCAACAAATTTCTTCATGTTTTTGTATGTTTATCAACCTTCCGACTTCACTTCACTATATACCTATAAATATGTATATATTTTACTAACTAAACAAATTTGTTCGGGGTGTTGATCGGTTTCCATTTGGCATCATACATTAAAGTTATTTAAATTTGTTAGAACATTCATCAAAACTCTACGGTTACACAATATATATCTATCTCCTTGTGGCATTTAAGGATAAAATGTGTTTGTTACATTGTAAACCGTAATATCGTCGTGTTTCGCTGCTGTCTGGCAATTTTCAATTGCAATCGAAAGCTTTGTCGATGCGTTAAATTATACAACACATCACTTATGGTATTTGCATAAATTCATGATGTTTTTCGAATGACCTAAATACACACATTGACGAAAGTTTCATTTCGAAAGTCAAGACTTTAACATACACAACATTACATTTAATTAAAGAACATTTTTTTTTATGTTAATGTAATTAGACGATTATTTTAGAGTTGTGTTGAGCTTCTATTGTTGTTGAACTTGCTTGTTGGCTTAATTTCATTCAAGTTTCAACTGAATAATTTTGGTTGGGAGGTTAATTTACTAGTACAAATATATAAAAACGACAATGAGCTCACACTCAATGAGAAAATGAAAACATTTCGAAATGGGACAAAGAGAGAATAAAGAATATGAGCTAATTAATTATTTGAATCATTTTTTTATCTCTTCAATGTCTTTTGCTTGTTTCTTCTTTTGATATATCGAAAAATAAGGGATATTTTAAAACGGACATTTTTTTTGTTTGTTCATAATGAACATCATATAACATTCCTTTCTTTTTTATAATATATATTGATAACTCTTCTTTTGAAAATACGCAAATTGTTTTGCATTTAAAGGAAAAACACGTTCCACAATATGGTGAATATGAAAGTAGATTGTTGAGTTGAAATTCAATAGTTTCACATTCATGAAAAATAGTGGAAAGAGCAGACAAATGAGATTTGTACTTTTGATTTTATAAATGTTAAAAATTTGTGTTAAATTTTCATTTTGATATAGTTACGGAAATGCGAGTATAATAAAGTTTTTTTTTCTTTTAAAATAACAAATATCCTAAACCATAATTTTAATAGAAATTTAATTTGTTAAAAATATCAATGGCATAGAAATAATCGACTCTCGCCTAGAGCTCGAGTATAATGTCAATCGACTTTGGATGATTCGAAATAAAATTGATCGATAGGCTGACACTTCATGTGCTATAGTTCCATTGGAAGATTAATTAATTTAAGGTTTTTCAATCATAATTTTAATAAATTAAATCAAAATCTATCGAAATATTCAACTAAATTTTTTGGGAAGAAGTAGTTTTGTGTATGTGTGTGTGTGTTTTTTTTGTCTCATCGTAAAAAAGATTAAATATATAATATCTATTTTTTTTGGTTTTAATTTGCTTAGAGCATTTTTTTTTTGTTCATGTAAAATCTATAGAATTTGCTAATTCATTCGTTTTTAACTCGAATTGTTGATTTTTGACACTTTTCAAAATTCGGATGCGCGTAAATCACTAAAATAACTGTTATTTGACGCTGTTGGCGAATCGGTCGAGCCAAGACTTTCTGCATAGCTTAATGGTGTACTATTTGCTTGCATACTAAAATGTGGTCCCTCCAATGAATCGCCCATTTCCCATGGTTGTGGACTCAATGTATCCGCTTCCGATTCAAATAGTCCAATTTCAATCGGACTACCGGTAACATTAAAGAAAATCTCCGAAAAACGTCCAATCTCCGTTGAACCGAAGGCTTGTTGAAATGCCGGCAATGGAATTGTATCCGTCTAAATACGATTAAATCGCATACATATTATTTTATTGGATTTTCTTGTGTGTGTTTTGGTGAATTTGTTGTCAATTTAAGTGTAAATTTACCTTGAGCTCTGTTATTTCATTGAAATCAGTATTTGATTTCTTTTCTTTCCTTTTTCGTCGCTTTCCCCATGAGTTTTCTTTTGTAATGTTATTTGCCTGAAACGAATAAATAACAACAAATCGATTTATTTGTGTTTGAAATGTAATTGTACAATTGTCATTTACCTTTTTACATTTGACAACTTTTTTATTTGTATTTAGTTTGGCCGGTGATTTGATGGTTATATTTACCGATGGAAGATCGTTCTTTTTTATCAAATTTCCATCATCCGGTGTGCTTGGATCACAAATCGAACCCTCTGTTTGCAGCACATTTTTTATTGTGTCATTTGAAGGTGTTGCTGTTGGTAATGTTTGTGTAGGTGTTGTTTGCCATTCGGTGTTATTTGCTTCTTGTTGATTTCTCGTTTCTTTGGAACTACATTTCTGGCTATTGTTTGGTGTGTCATTTATATTGTTATTATTATTATTGTTATTGTTATCCGTGTCACCATTATTAATTATGCAATCATTATTTGTGTACTGAGATGACGATGTTGTAATCGAATCGGGTGTCGAGTAGTCGGTGTAATAATCGAAATTCTCAAATGACTCATGATGATGTTGTTCAATCCGTTCACTTTCGCTCATCTAATTAAAATGACAAATACATTTCAATCATGAATACGTTTTGTTATTGTTTTTCGACTAATATTACATGTGCTTTGGATATAAACAAACATTCATCAATCAATCGCAAATTTGATACAATGCGTTGATTGTATTTTTTTATTCATTCATTCTTCTGTTTCATTGATTCAGAACATGTATGCATAGCAACGGCACATAAACATGTGCGCCACAAACATTGAATGTACGTCAACAAGTGGTTGAAAGGCCTTGTATCTATGTAGCCGATACACACACATATATATATATAATATAAATATAATTCGATTTATTCATGGCAAAAATCATGCAGCGAGTCAATTCATATTGAGTTTTTAACACAAAATATACGGATGTGCTCGTGCGCATTAACATCAGTATGGAATAACAAAGCTTACAATCTACCGTTGCTTACAACGCGACCGTTCGCTTTGGGATTTCTGTTGCTGTTGCTGTTTTTTTCGCAATAATTATTAGAATAGAAGAATAGAAACTGCGTCATGGACAAATAAGAAAAAATATTTAGAAAAAAAAATCAATTTCGCCTACGTATTCCGCCCACTTTTTGGGGTGCGCGTTAATGTAGAAAATTGTCCGTGTGCGGAATTAAGACTTTGAATATTTTAAATGTTCCGCTGAAAAGATAAAAAGAAAAATTCTGTACGCATGATCGATGCCATTCATTATCAACTCTATCGCACCAATATTTTAAACTTTAGTGCATATAACGAATAAAATCGATGATTGAAACATTTACTTTGTGTAGGAACATGACATTTCAGCATATTTCAAAATGCTAATATACATTTATTACTTGTTCGAAAATCACACGGGGAAAATTCAATTTGAATGACAAATTGAAATCGATTAACCGCATGGCCGTCAACTCACCTGTGTTTCGAGGCGTCGATTCATTGCTACCAGCTTCGATAAACTACGATCGCGATGCAGTTTCGATGGTTTGTCCTCTTTTGCTGTAACCATTTGACCTATTTAAAGTATACCATACAATTTTCGACAAATAATTTTTTATGTAATGTAATAATGGCAATATTGTCGCTTATGATATGGGGACACGGGAGGTAGATTGTTGGTTGTCATGAGTCCATATAAAATGTCATACAAATCGATAACATTATGAAGCGAGAGATGTGTCGAGAAATTGCAAGCTCAATGCTACGCCCTGTGGCTTGTACACGCTCCATTTGTTCTAAAAATGATAAATCGATATGGAATAAAGCAGAACTGTGCGCGCAATGATATATGTATTAGTAGTATATATACATAAAGTCAACGCGCGACTTCCACTTGTTGAATTTGAAGCGACACAAATTCTCTCGTTGTATGTGTGCATTTTATATGCAAAAATGAGCAATGGAAAGGAAAACAGAAGAAAAAAGTTTGAAATAGAAAAAAATATAAAATAGCGTTACCATTGGGTGCACCTGCTGAGTATTGATTTCCATGGGGGTACTCATTATAATTGGAATTGTTCATCGCATGATATTGGTAATAGTGATGATTCGATTCATTGATTGTTTCGCTGCTATTGTGTGAATTTCCATACCACGGTTGTTGATGGTGTTGATGTGGTCCCGTTTCAAATTGTCGTGCCTTCGGATGTGAATCGAATGTACGATTATTTGAATGCGGTGGCATTCGCATGTGTTGTGGATGATGTGTGGCCGACTCATGTATGAATGTCTGATGACTTCTTGGATCGGGAGCTGGAATATTGTTACAACGGGACACGCCACCGTTTAGTGGCATATAGTCACTACGACCATTTTCACCATTTGGAAAGCATTGTTGGGTATCGCACATTTGGTAGGCTCCACCGTATCGTGATCGATACGTTTGCATTGTGGATACAGCCGTGGCTGTCGACTCATATGGCGATGATTCGAAATTCGCCGAATATGATGATTGAAATGGTACCATATTTGCTTTGTATGATTCATAATGGCACGACGATGAAATATTTCGATTCCCGTACTGATGATGGGCATGCGGATGATGATGCGAATGATGATGATGATGGGGTGGCTGTGAAGGATGATGCATCCCATTCCAATTGATATGCTGACTATGTCCATATGCATTATTATAATTATTGTAGCCTACTTTCATCATTCCATTTTTGTAGCGAAACTCATGGTTATGCTGTGGCGAATGATGATACACCATGCCATTGTAACCGTTATTACAATATTCCATTATTTTCTATGACTTTTCGATTAGTTTCGATTATATTTCGTGTCTTTTGAACTTTTAATGGATAACACCTGACGATACTGGTCCTTTAACGTATTATTTCTATGAATTTGGTTCACAATTATTGTGGTGACCACATGTTGTGGATCCATGCCCGCTTAGCATCTGCAACAATAACCAAATAATCGTAATTAAATATACATCTATTGCTCTCGATTTTATTCAGTATTTTCAACGTTTCATATATTCATTTCATCATCAGTTTATTGCAATCTTCAACTTGATAGACTCAGTACGACAGCAAAAAAGACAAAGGACAAGGCGAAATTAGTGCAGTGTTTTTTTTAAATCTTCATGCTCAGTTTCCTTCTATCGTTTCAAACATATAATATCATCGTTGACGTCAAGCTTTTGTAATTATTTTTCAAGAAGCTGTGATAGCATACACATCATATAAGAGGAAAATGAATACATAATGTTTCTTTTATTCTATCGCTCTCTAACTCTAACTCACTCTCACTCACACATCCTATCCACTGCATCAAGTGTATGTAGAGTACACAGCTATTTAGCCGCTTCTGACGTTTTTTTTTCTCGCGCAAAACTGTAAATTGGCTCTTGGTGGATTTTTGTATACATTTTATTTGCCATGAGCGAATACGTTGTAAAATATACATGTATTCCGATTTTAAATACAGCTTTTCGCATTGATTTTCGGGAAAATCAGCTATATTTTTCAGGCCTTTCGTATATATAGTTCCGAACATTGTGTTTAACACCCTCACAGTGTTGTTTTTTTTTTGCTTTCAGTAATTATCGGAAAATGGCAATTAGACACGATATAGTCCCTTATTGGCCATATTACTAAATGCAAGAAATATTTATTTTTACATGAAACCTGAATGAATTAATATCGATTCATTTCTCTCTTTTTTTTTTTGAAAATATAGTATATAATACTCATTGAATGATAAAATATATTTTCCTCAATCAGACCATCTTGTTTACGGTTTGCCTTGCCTCGCCTTGAACAATCCACCAACTCAGCGTGTACATGTGTGCAATATATCGACAATTTATGTATACGCGTTTCGTCAATCTACATGAGTGAATGAGAATGAAGGTGGAAATCGTCGAAACCGCGCTTTTGAATTTATGGCCTTTATGACTTACTGATAAGAGATAGTTGAAAAGTATTTTCGACAAAGTTTGAGATCTCATCAAACCGTATACATCGGCATACACACCAGCGCAGTGCGTAGTACGCATCGACTACCTCTTATCAGTAAATTGGCAAACGCATCGAATCGGAAGCATGCTTTCCGCTATTCCCACTTTTATTCTCAGCGAAATTCTTATATTTTAGTGGGTGCTGTTACTCGGATAACAAGCGAATGTTTAATGGTTAGCGCGCGGCTACATATTTTGACAACTTGGCGAACTGAGCTTAATATAACGTTATATTACATGCATACCAACGCACAACGAAAGACACGCAAAGCGTGCTTCTCCAAAAGTATGTATGGCTGATATGGAAAGAAAGACACACAATACACACATACAGGCGTGAAACGGATACCGATATCCAAACGATTTTCAAACACTCACATACACTCACATGCCATGCATGTGTGTTGATTTGTTCTCCGAAAAGTTTGAAGACGTAGCTTTATCCTTTATTTATTGATCGTTTTTTGCGCTGTCGACGTTCAAAATCTACGCATACATATTCAAATTCATATATGGTTCGCTACATACGTACCATACTGATCTAGCGCATCTTGTGCTGCTTCGTCGTCTATCACTTCTACACAAGTGGTTTTCACACAACATGATTCTTTCTTCTTTCTTTTTTACTTTACTTTTCGACTATATTGTCTAATCGTTATTTCAAAATATGGTTTATCTATCTCTCGTTTGCAAATATGCATGTGCATATGGAATGCATTTATATCTTTAGAACATTCTGCGAGCTCTCAATTCGAGTTTTCTTTTGTACATTTTTTTAAATGAGCCACAATGTTGGGGTGGAGGGTTTATTTTCAATTAAAAAAAAATATATATAAATTAGTTTAGGGTTTGTCAAAGAGCATACAGTAAAATCAATTCGAAATGACGACAAAATAAAACACAAAACAAGCCACAAACACACCCTCACACACACTCATACCGCAATACACATTTGGATATTAGTTCAACTAACACTTCAAATTGGCTAGTTGTTGCAACAACAGATCAGAATGAACATACATATGTAAACATAAAATGTATAAAACTATTGAGAGAAAATTAAGAAACGTTAACCATACTGAATGCACGTCAATAGTTCATGAAACCGAAACCGTAAAACTGCAAATGTTCTTTCCACGTTTTCAGTTGCGTTTCTTTTTATTTTTCGCTTTTGTTCGTTCGTTTAACATTTAAATGATGTTTTTCCACTGAGAACAACAAAAAAAATTAATATTCTCGAATCAAATTGACGAAACATTAAGGGTGGCTATTTGGAATATATGTAAACAACGTTTGATCTATTTTATCGATTCCATTTACGCGAATCCAAACCAAATATGGGACACTAACCGGTTCATAGATGAAACTGGAAGTTCACTGATTGTACTGATTCATTTCAAATGGAATGAATTATTTTGGATTTTTCCAAAAAAAATAATAATGTTTTTCCACTTATTCCGTGGTTTCTTTTTTTGTTTCAATTAAAAAGCTCACACGTTCGTTCACACTTTTATTAAATAAAATTGTTTTGATTCAAATTGCGATTTGTTTCGCATTCAACGTGAAAAAAAGGAGAGAGAAATGAAAACAATATTCAGTGTATCTAAATATGTTGCCCATCAAATGTAGACTGATATTCTGGCGCGAGATATTTTTCCTGTTTCTTTTGCTTTTCTTATACATTTCCCTGCCTCACACGTTTTATGCTGGTGTTTGTGTACTAGAGTCGTGTTTATTTTTTTCCTCATTTTCGTTTTCTATTGCAAAAAAAAAAACGTTGACAAGTTACATGATAAAAGCTCAATGTTCCAGTTTTGTACAGCGCAGCTGTCGTAGATACATACACAAGAGACCATGTAGCGACCAACCACATAGACGCCGCCGTACATACGTTGCATGAATAGACCGAAGAAGGTATTGACTTGATGTTCGAATGTGAATTGAGATCATTTTTGACGTCCTGAAATATACCAAGTTACGGAAAAAAATAATGAAGTGTTGGTTGATATCAAATGGGTGAGGCATGAAGTATACCTTCCAACCAAGGTTCATTGCCAAATTCATTTTATTTCTCAGATTGAAAAATCTAAATTACAAACGAAATTTTTTCAACGTTTATTTTCGACATATTTTTGAATTTAAAGAAAAGAAAAATCTTAGCTCATCAATTGTACTCATATTATTTACATAAGACAGATTTGACAACTACTTCGAATAACACAGAGTACAACAACAACAAACAAATGTCATGCAATGCTCTAGCGCAGTCGAACTGTCAAGTCAGCTGGTGAAGCGCTCACACATAGTAAATACTAATCGTAGTTTATGTTTATTCTATTGCGTTCGACAGCAGATAAATAGAATGAATGCAAAATTATATATTTTATAATATACCGAGACAAAATCATGAGTTTCATAATAAATTTATTAAAAAATTTACTACATAATATGCTGGAATTATTGTCATTTAGTAAGAAAACATTGAAAAATACGCTTAGTATTTATGTTAAATTCAATCGAGATACATTGTCTGTTGATCTTGATCCACATTGGGCCATTCGAGAGGTGAAAGAATTTGTTGCTCCACAACTCGGCTTACAGCCAGACGAAGTAAAAATCATATTTGCTGGCAAAGAACTTAGCGATACAACGAAATTGGAGGTATTTATGTCGCAATATTTTCATCACTTCTTCGTACTAACTCTTTGGGAGTCTTTTTTTTTGTAAATTTAAAATAGGAATGTGACTTGGGTCAACAGAGTATTTTGCACGCTGTCAAAGCACGCACACAACCAATTTCAAAGCGCTCATTAAATGTTCCACTGGCGAATTCATCCATTGAAGAGGATCCCAATGAAGAACATGAAGCATCTAAACCGTTATCACAAACACTGACTGATTTGCAATTCTCTGATTCTACGACACATGAGAATATTAATGTTGATAGAGGTAAGGGTAATTTTTTGTTTGAAAAACAAAAAGACGTCCACTAAAGTTTAAATCTAACAAACAGATGGAGAGAAAATGAAGGCAAGATTCTTCATCTATTGTACACATTGTAATGATTTGTGTGCGGGAAAGTTGAGAGTTCGTTGTTCATTGTGTCAAGGTGGTGCGTTTACCGTATACAAAGATCCAGAAGGTTGGGATGATGTTCTAAAACCAAATCGAATACCAGGACTGTGCGAAACGAACGAAATTTCATGTACACGAGATAATGGCGAATTGCCGTTTGCTGAATTTTATTTTAAATGCGCAAAACACCCGTCGATGGGTGAAAAAGATTTTAGCGCACCATTATCATTGATTAAACGTAATATTAAAAATATACCGTGTTTATCATGTACCGATGTATGTGATCCCATCTTAGTTTTTCCATGCGATTCGGGTCATGTCACATGTTTAGATTGTTTTCGACAATATTGTCTATCACGACTGATGGACCGTCAATTTGTTTCACATGATGACATTGGATACACGTTACCGTGTCCAGCCGGCTGTGAAAATTCATTCATTCACGAAATTCATCATTTTAAATTACTTTCAAAGGAACAGTACGATCGATATCAACGATTCGCAACTGAAGAATATGTACTTAAGGCCGGCGGTGTGCTATGTCCACGCCCTGATTGTGGTATGGGATTCATAGTTGATGCTGATTGCAAAAAGATTACTTGTTCGAATGGTTGTGGTGTAAGTGTTTCCATTTTAATCAATTCCAATTTGATTTATTCAAAATATATATTATTTTTTTTCAGTATGTCTTCTGTCGAGACTGTTTACAAGGTTATCACATTGGTGATTGCATTCCGGACGATGGAACAAATGCCACATCCAATCAATCACAATACTCGGTCGATCCATTGGTAATATAACAAAGAAATTTAACTTTTAATCAACGTATTTATTTGAATTTTGTTTTAACTTTGATGGTCAGCGTGCAACTGAAGCAAGATGGGACGATGCATCAAGAGTTACGATAAAGGTCATATCAAAACCATGTCCAAAATGTCGAACACCAACAGAACGTGATGGCGGCTGTATGCACATGGTATGCACCAGACATATTGTTGTTGTGGCTATTGCTTTGCAATTTTTTCATTATATGTTTCCGATTATTTTTCGATTATTCTCCGATTACTTATCGATTATTTTAAATTTTATTCTTTCCTTTTGTGATTCTCCCCTTAGGTATGCACCAGAGCTGGATGCGCCTTTGAGTGGTGTTGGGTGTGTCAAACCGAATGGACCAGAGATTGTATGGGAGCACATTGGTTTGGTTAATGTTAAAGCCAATTAGATAGAAATCAATTTCCGAATAAAAGAAGAAAACAAAAATAAATATTTTTCTAAACTTCTTCAATCAAAATGTATTTTATTTATTTTAATACTAAAACTTCATATTCTTGAAAAGAAAGTTCCTCGCCATTGAACGGAATATACAAACAACCGTGGCTGGCTTGAACTTTGCCCGGCGTTTGAGTTCCTTCGTGTAAACAACGTCCCATATACAAGTTCTCTCCATCAATTGTCTTGCCGATTACAATTGCACCAGTTGGAATTTCACCATTTGTTGCAAACTCCCACACAAAAACTCCAGAGCGCAACACTTCATATTCGGTTTTTGGATGTTCTTCGCCATCGAATGAAACAAATGCTGCATGTTTATCGGGGATAACTTTTGCTGGGAGCAAATCAGTTTCATGAAAGGCACGTCCCACATAAATGGTGCTGCCATCAGCATCACGGCCAGCTCGAATTGCATGCTCTTTTGGGAATATGCTGTTCGAATTCATCATTTGCCATCCATAACCTGAATAAACAAATTTGAATTGCAAAATTAACGAAGAAAATAATTTCGTTTGAACTCATTTTTCAAAAGTCGATTATCATATGAAACTGCTATCAATCAAATTCAAATGAATTTTTGTATTCACTTTTTTGTAATCAATTGTCAATTTAGGATGATGGCCAAGGTATATTTTGAAAATAAAATCTGCAACACATGACGTTTGCTTACACGTTTTAATTTCGATAATCAGACTTTGAGAAATATAAATTTCGCTACACAAATTTATTTCACATTTTAAATTTACCTGACATTTTGTGGCTGTTGATATTTCTCAAACAATACTAAAGTGACTGAATTTGCTAAATGGCAAGATGGTTTTAAATTCACATGCCAATTGTGTATAATATGATTCACCATCACACCTATGCATTTTTATGGCCCCTCTAAGATAAGATATGGACAATTTTTATCTTATCGGCGGCTTTCTCTACTTTTGTGTACTAAAAATGCTTGAACAAAAATGTGTATTCTATTGCTCATTTGATTTCGGTGTTGTTTTTATTTAAGTTTTATAACTTCACGAATGTTCTCTCGCAAGAAAGATATACAAATAAAGAATGAATAATGGATCAAATATGAAACGTTTGACAATTTAAAATTTGAACTCTTTATATTTTTTCGTTTGTTTTGTTGTCGTTTCGCTGCCCTGTTGACGCTTCCGTTTCGATTTCTGAACGTGTTCAGCAAGCATATCTGATAGATCCTCTTTTTGTAGATGACTCTGTTGTTCTCGCATTTGTTGTTCATATCGTTGTGCCATTGCATCATTGTCCAAATCCAATTCGGATGGATCGAGAGCCAGCTCAACCATGCCTTCGCGATCGCCAACACGATGTGTGGCAATATTTTGTGGTGGCTTTGCACCGGTCGCTGTAGACATATCATAAACATGAGTTGATCCCATCATAGAAGCGCCAATACGATCGCCACGCTTTTCAGGCAATACTTGATAAAGAACTGGCGTTTCGTTGCTGAAATAAATAGCACAAAATCGGAATGTAAGAAAATGATGAGAGAAAAAGGTCAAACAACATTTATTTAATGAAACACTTACTCTTCCATTTCACTTTCAATCTTCTTTTTACGCAATTCAATGGTGTCGGGCGTTTCCATTCCAGCTGTGACGCTGGTCAAACCAGACGGTGTGACCATGCCTTCAGCTGGAGTGACTAAACCGCTCTCATCAAGTGGAGCATCAATATCCTCATTCTCTTCATCTTCTTCTTCTTCAGATGATTCTTCTGATTCAGATTCCAATTCACCCCAAATATTATGATCAATGTCACCCTCCTCAACACCGCTCTGAACATCAAAATAAATTTATAATTAGAACCAGGAAACATTTTGTTGTTGTTTTTTTGAAAAATGAATAATCTGTACTTACATCGGCATCCAATAGACTTGTACCAAATACATCGCCATAAAGTGGTTTTCCTTTTTCGTCGACGGGTGGTTTGCCCCATCCACCTGCATGATAACCAAATGAACATCCCTCTGGAATTGGTGCATTCAAACCAGGTATTTTCAAATTTGGATAACTTGGCGGAGGGCCGTATCTGAATTTAACGAACAAAAAATTGCAGTTGTTTTGATTGGAGACAAAAAAATTTCAAATAAATTTGTATCGATTTAACACCGCTTAATACCTTTGTTGGGCAATTAACCATGGCGGTGGAATTTTGTGACAGTTTGGGCCAATTGGCATTCCAAGTGCTGTACGCAACTCTTCCGATAGATCTCCGGGCTTCTTTTCTTTTAATCGCGTCTCGAATTCCTTACCCTCATAATATAAATCACCGTGAATGGTCATACGAGGCTTTGTTTGCCATCTGCAAATCGAAAATAAAGTTTGATGAAATGTTTAAATAGACAATAATCTTGATTGGATTGAATTAAAAAAAAAAAAAAACAAAACAAAACTCCATTCACTCAGTCATTCTTATTCACGATGGAGTTTATCATTACAAAAACAATATTCCAATAGAAAAATATTTTTGTTTATGCTTATAACTTACTTGAAGAATGCATCGTGTAATTTCTGATAGTCGATATCAATTTTTCCCATTTTTGGTCTCGTTCGTTCACGCATTTTCGCCTTGAGTGTTTTTGCTTCGTCCTTTTCCTGCAGCGATGCTCTCATTTCCATGATACCAGTCTTTTTAATGAATGCTGGCAAATCGAATGGCGGTTTTTCAATACCACGTTTGCCCTGTAGGTATTTTCGCTTAAAACACCAATGCCGCGGTACTTGAACGGTGTTACGATGGGCCTTTAATTGTACCAACAGTTTTGGATCGCGTGCAGTGACATCGTGCATTTCAACGACATCAGGTCGACCAACCAGTTGCTTCAATTCGGCCACGCTTAACCGTGTGAGTTTCTTTAATTTACGCTTCGACAATTTCTCACCACCATCTTTATTTTCATCATCCATATCTTCGTCGTCGTCGTCCAACAAATGATCTTTATCTTTCTTTTGTGCATCTTCATTGTTTTCGGTACTTTCCTCAGTTTTAGCTGCGGCCGGTTTTTCGTCTAGCTTGAACAATTCAAATACACGATAAAATTGTCGATATATCGGCGCCAAATCGGCAACTGTAATTTTTTCCGGTACATATTCAATAGCCACATCATCTGTAGATTCATTTGTTTTCCCATCGGCGGACGATTTATCTTCGCCATTTGTGATTTTCTCTTCACCATTTTGCACTTTATTTAGGCGATTCTTTTTATTTTGCTTTTTTCGTTGTTTTTTCTTTTTATTTTTATCTAATCGATGTTGACCTTTTGATTTGGCCACATGATTTGCAGGCACCTCTTCATCATCATCTGACTCAGCATCGGCATCGGCATAGTCTGTACTAATCACGCCAGTCAATGCTCTCGGTGCAGTTTTATCAGTTTCAATTGGTATTTCACCATCGCCACGGCCCATTTCATCTGCCAATTGATCTTTAAATGCAAATACATCTTCCAACGCCTTTGGCAACACAACTTCACCGGCATTTTGATTGTTACTCTTCACATCGTCCGGCTTATCAACTTTCACAGACATTAATGGTGGTAAATTGTGTGCACTTTTATCGGTTTCGTCGGTGCCCCAATTCGGTTGGTCACCTTGTTGATTGATGTCATTGGTGTTATGATGCATTGGCATCCCGATTGGCGGTGGTGGCACCATATTATTTTGCTGCATGATACCTTGATTGATGTTCTGCATACCGGGTGGTGGTGCATTCAATATTTGTGTTCCCGGTGCAGGTACCGACATCATTTGCCTCTCCATCTCGGCCTCATACTCAGCCATTGAATGCATTTGATTTTGCTAAGATTAGAATTACAAGTGTTTTTATTTTATTTTATTGAAACTTTCAACTATAAACATTGTACTATCTGAACATTAACAAAGCAGACTTGAGTATAAAAAAAAATCACTATATTCACCAAACAACTGAATGGAAATAGAAAGAAAAAACTTACCTCATGATTCAAATCTTCCATGTCTAATAGTCAAATATGCAGTTTAATCCAAAATTCAGGTAGAAAATGTTCGAAAATATTTTACATACAAATCGAAATCGGACACACAATTTTATTCGATTCCATCTACGCTAGCTCACAAACGTCAAACAAACGTTGTGCTGTTTTCTGAGCATACGTACTAGATTACAATCTATTGAGAGTATTAAGTCGATTCTCCGATAGGGACCATATTCACCATATTTGTATTTAATTCAAAAATGTATTGAATTTGAATTGTTGCCACTTTTTTCTTTATTATATATTCAGAACTAGATTCGTGCGTATTTATCTAAAAATGAAAATTATTTTATTTTAGTATGTTAAACGAACTATAATTTAAAAAGAAAATTATATCAATTTTATTCCGTTTCATTCATTCATGTTCAAATCGAATACTTAACTCACAGCATTAAACAGGACATTAAATTAATTGTTTTTTTTATAATGTGTAGTTTTATTTTGTACACAAAAGTGCTTTTGAATGATTTTTGTTTATGAAATTAATTAAAAAAATACGCAAACAATAAAACATTTAGTATTATGATGGAAATCATCCATGTATATAATCGTATTGAATCCGAACCGCCTCTCTGTCGATATTCCGATTCTGGATAGTATTCGATGACATGTTTCGTTTTATTTATCATCCAATAAAAGGCTTGCATATTATATTGTGATTTTAATTCTTCACCAACCAACGATCGAACACGGGCATTATATTCATTCAGCCATCGTTTCTGCGAATGATAGCGAAATTAATGTCAACATTAAAAATAGAATTGATGCGACATTTCAAATGTAAACTTTGAATGATTTGAAATGAAATGAGATACCTCTTCAATGTTTAGTAATCCGCGATCAATCATTTTTGGATCAAACGGAACTAGGCTCACATCTCTGAAACCTAAAAATCTCGTACCGGACGGATGTCGATCACCTGTATCATATACCTCCAAAACATTTTTCAAACGAATGCCAAACAATCCTTTTTTGTATAGTCCCGGTTCTAAAATTAATCCATTTTATGCATATCATTTCTTTTATTGAGTCAATTAAAAATTATGTCAACGCACACACGTGATCTGCCAAATGACATTTCGTCATATGAAAGATGTTTACACATTTTTAATAGATTATTTATATGATTCACACGTGGTTTCGTGTGAACAGAATTGCTCACCATTTGAAAAAAAGTATCCTTCTTCGAATGTGAATTTTTGCGACTCCGCATACGAAATCTTGATGGGCGCTGTGGAATAGAAATTAACACATTTATAGCACACACTCATTCATCAAATTTCGCTAGACAATTTATGACTTGAGTATATTGTTTGGAAGAAAATTAATCATCTTCTCTTTTTTTTTCAATTTCTTTTCACTCGATACTTACACTCTTGAACACTTAAAAACGATCCAACGCCATGACCAGTTATTTGTGGATAATCTGTGTGTGAATCCCAAACTGAGGATCGAGCTAATGCATCTATTCCACCTGGTGTCAAATTTTCAGGAAAAACCAATGTTGATAGACGGATAATGGCTTTTAACACGTTTGTATACATTTGCTTTTGCTCAAAGGTCGGCTCACCAAAATGAACTGGAACAATCGTTCGACATTTGTTTTTTTTTAAAAAATTGAATTGTAAATAGTTTTCAAATTATTATCTATTACCAGTTCTCGATATTATTGTTGTACCCTCAGCATATTGACCGCCTGAATCAAATATGCATGGCTCTTTGTCCGTTATAATGGTGTCGGTTTCACTGGAAGTGCGCCAATGGGGAAATGCACCATGCGCACCGAATGCAACATTTGTTTTAAACGAAAGACCCCGATTCGATTTCATGGAATAACGTGCACGATCAATATCATCAGCAGCTGATGTTTCAAACACCGTTTCATCGTTTAAAAACTGTCAACACAACGATAATAAATATTAGCGAAAATCCAACAATAATGTATGAGCAGATTTATTTGATGTCAAAAATTCAATTACTCTACGCTCCAATAAACTAAGCGCATCACACATTGCCGCACCATCAAGAATATGTGCCCTATGCATGCCTTTTTGTTCAGTTGGATTTTTTCGTGCTCTCATGAATATGACAGGCGAGGGTTTCTCGTAAACGGTCGATATTAAAATACTACTATAAATAGCCTCTGATACACCAAAATCGAATACACAGTGACTAGGTACAAGAATTTTACGCAATCCATATGATAAATTTTTCAGATCACGCCATACGGCATCGTAATCTTTGATTCTGTGTGAAATAAAAAAAAAATCAAATGACAAATTTTAACATAGTAAATCAACAAGAAAACATGAAAATTGACTACTCACTTGACACATTCGGTGTTGCAAAGTAAGGAATTTAAATGATAGTTGATACCTAAGTCAATTCGGTCTTTATTCACATATAAAATCGATTCATTTTGAGTGACCAAAAGATAAGCCTGTTTGGGGATCACACAAAGATTTGATGGATTTATTGTTGGAAAAGTTGTGAATCAATTGTCGATAAATTACCTTGAAAACAGGCGTATACGGCAGATCATTTCCACGTAAATTGAGTAGATAGGCAATTTCGGTTAGAGATGTAACAATAATTGCATCACAATGATCCTCTGCTAATTTTTGTCGTAATGTCTTTATCTTTGATTGCCATTTTTCACCTGCATATATGACTGGTTGCACTTTGATAAGTTCTGTATTTGGTGGCGGTCGATTTAACCATACTGAATCGATTAAATTTCGGTCCATTTGAAGTAAGCGTATGGATTTTATTTGTAATTTCTCTTTCCATTCGTGCCAAATTTTATGCGGCACTGTTCGAGAATGAGCTCCGACTCGCGCACCATCGTCAAGTTTCGACTGTGAAATTAATTGGAAGAATGTTTTAGATCCGCAAAGCAACAAATAATTGGATTTTATTTTTATTTTGTAGTACCAATATAAAGGATATGAGATCGGGTCCTGCATCCAATGAGAAAATCTTCCAATCACAATTCAATTCGGCGTTTGCTTGAGCAAGGTATTTGTCATCAGTCCATAAGGCAACCGAATTTAGCGTAATAACAACATGAGACATTTTGCCAGTAAAACCGGAAATAAATTGGGTCCGTTTATCATGATCACTGATATCCTCATTTAAATGTTCATCCCATGTGGTAACAATATATGCATCGATCGATGATCTATGCATTGATGCTCTACTTTTCATTTCCTCGCGAATCGCATCAACGCGGTGACGTTGGTCAGAATGGGGACGAAACTATTAAAACATTCATTCAAACGGTGAATTTTATAAGAAAATGCGATATTTTTCATGTTATTGAGAAAACATGATTTTGCAATTTTACTCACAGGCAGTCCAATTCTACTTTCACATTTGATTCGTTGAATGCCTTTAAAGTGACACATAATCGGGCAAAGTAACGTCGAAACTAAAAGAAAAAGTTGATTCATGTTTTTTTTTATTTAGATCAAAATATAACCATAGCTCATCCGATGATATTTTGACGTCATAAGAAATATACATTTTTTTTTGGAAAATAATTCATTGAAATCATTCAACCGAGAGATTCTCGATTATAGACGCTATTCAATAAAATTAAAGTTATTTTAGTTTTTTTTTCTTTGTTATTGTAATAAATTGCTAAGATACATCAAAGCTTGGCAATTAATTATTCGCAAGCCATGTGTTGTATTGTCTCGCTACGCAACAATGGGCGACGGATATATCTAGATCTTAGATGATTTTGCATCGCATTTAAATCTTGATTTAAATTGATCTTGAAATACATTTGATATAGTTTTATGCGTGGTACACTGTTGACAATGAACGATTTGCTTAAGGTTAACAATGACTTAAAGATAATGACATTTTATTTTGCGTTTTGCGACAAATTCTATATCATAAACAAACCTATTATTAAATGATGGAACCAATTCATCTTTGATAATGTTTAACTATTGTTTTCTGGATTTTGATGAAATGTAAGTAATCTGCAAATGTTGAAACGAATAAATTAGCCTATTTTTGACGAGATTCACTTTCAAATGGAAAATCACTGATGCAAAAAAGAAAATCTATTGCAAACTTGCACTTTTGCAAAAAAGAAAAATCAACACCCAAACATACAGAATAAATGTTGTCACGGTAAATACTACGGTGATTTGCAAACAGAACATGTTTGAAATATTTCTTGATGCCAATCCGGCGCAATTATAACAAAGTTACATTGGCAATCAGAAAAATGGGTTAGGAACAAATGTGTGGCTGCTTTTAACAAACCGCAAATGTACAGAATGGCACTGCGTAGGATAAAATTGTAGATAGAAATTAATACGGCATGTATTAGAATTAACCTTGAAAACATCTAATTAATAATTCAATCAAATTAAATGGTGTATTCATTTGGCGCAAATTCAACGCCCAACAAGTGATCTGGATCTAAACTCTCACTTTGATTTACATTCGATTTAATTTTAAAGCAAAAAACTATGTTTTTTTTTCAAAAAAAACAATAAATCAAAATAATGAAAAAAAGATAAAACCTATATCGCCGTGCCGTGCTGACCGCACCAGTTTGAACTTGCATACGAAGTCAAATACAAAAATATCTTCTTGTTATTTTGCTCATGTTGATTTTTTTTCATCTTGTATGTCGAAATTTATTATAACACGCATTGATATCGCATAGTACAAAGTTTCACAACCTATCATCATATTATTATCTCATTTTTTTTAAATATTTAAAATTAACCAACGTTTTGAACTTCTCGCTTCCTTCTTCTTTCGTTCTTTTTTTTTTTTCAAAAAAAATTCAGCTGTTTCCTTTTCCTTCCATACGAATGGTTTTTTGTCATAATTGTTTCACTGTTTTTCTCGTTTTTTTTTAAATTCTATAGAGTAGCATGTTTTTTTTCTTCTTCAAATTGACACCAGATATTCGCGTAAGAACATTTACGGTACGTTGCAAAATGGTAAAAAGCGTGTGTTCTCTGCTCTCGATCAATCGCTGGCACCGAACGCACAATAGACGCTAACTACACACTTGGGACGCTGTTTGATGACTAAATCACATAAAAATATACTCTCAACGCATAACCAAGACGACGAAATCAACAAAGAGATTCAAATAGCCGATGTCATAACAAATACGTTACATCGATGATTCTTGCAAATCGGATCAGACTATTTTATCTTGTATTGCAGAAGCAAAATTTATTTATAGATTTTCAAAGAAATTGACAAACTCCATCGAAAAATTTCCACCGAAACTTAAATTTCATTAAATGGAGCGCATTCAAACCGAATTAGACATCATATTTTTCGGCATCAGAATATTGAGATAAACAGAATTTTTTTGGCTTAATATAATTTTGAAAATACCACAATAAATATCTATTTTCGACCACCATCGAGAAAACTAATCTATTGCATTTTGGACAAACGGAGAATCGTTTAAATCATTTGGTTTAGAAAACTCATATTTTCCAATATTTTTCTCAAGTTGTGGAGGCGCCTTCATTTTTTTTCATCGTAAGATTTATTTTGAGTGAATTTTGGGGTAGATAAGCTTATTTAAAAAAAATGAGTGAAATTTGAATAGAGAAAAATACATTTTTATGCATTGTACTCTGAATTGTAAAGTTGTTGTCTACAAATTTCTATGTATAACAAAATATCGTTTATTACCCTAAAAAAGAAATTGTAAACAAGCGTTATTATATTCTCTTTACATTTTGAATAAATTTTTCCGCTGTGAAAAAAACCCCCTAGAGACGTTAAATGAAATGGTCGCACTTGCTCGTGATATTGACAACGAAACACCATTTTCATTCATCTTTCCATTTCCTCTCCGGTGTTCAGCTACATTCCATTCAAATCGTTTCGATGATTAAAGGAAAGAAAAGCTACGCTTTGATGAATTATTACAAATGACAAACAGACTTGTTGAATAAAGGAATTCTAATCCCAGCTATAGTTGTGAATATATGATAACATAATGACGCTCTCGTAGAAAATGATGACGAAAGAAAAAGTTGATTGAAAAGAGCAGAAAAGAGTGATGGTATTTTTGACTAAATTTGATTTTTTTTTTATTTAGTAGATGTATGTCTTCAATCATTCCGAACACGTCTCGGCAAAGGTAATTTGTATAACACAGAAAGATCAATGTACTCTTTGTTTGTGGTTTAAATGCATCACATATAAAAATCCAACAAATAATACTACACGCATATGTTTTTTGTTCTGGGGATGTCAAATATTAATGTGTTGTCTGCTGCGTACGCTAGACCAAAGAGGAAAATGTTCAGCATCACAAATCTTAGAGTCACACACACACACATACATACACATACAGAACCATTCGCATAGATACATGGCACGCATACAGCTACAATGGTTGTTTGGTTGACGAACTCAAAAATGCATAAGTGCACGCATACGAAGGCACATACTGAGATGTGCATGCATGTGTGTGAGAAAGATGGATAGAGAATGTGTACGATGAAAAGGGATGAAGAGAAAATAACACTCGAGGACGCCGAAATGAAAAGAGATTTTGTTGAATGGTATTTCCATAGAGACGATCATCTTGGCGTGTCGGTGAATTTTCAACGCACATTAAGTCTACAATAGTGTTAGTAAAATCGGCTTGATAGTCGGTTTGTTTCTTGTTCTTTGAACTACACTATATGAGCGTATCTATACTTTTATGAATATATTCATGTTTCTTGTCTCGTCGACGTCGATGGCATGAACATATTCCGGCTAAATAGTATTTTTTTGTGTATCGTTGTTTCACTTTCATCATTTGTAGTTGCTCACTCTAACACACATTTACAACGTTTGTTTACACGACATTTTCTCTGTTCGGTGTAGCAAACAGACAAAGAAACATTCATAGTGAGTGATTTTGATACTCGTTATCGAAAACAAAACAACATAAGCAGCAGCACCAGCAGTCGAAGCAGCATCGAAACATTTTTTGTGTCTGTCGTATTTTTAATCTTAATCGTGTTGGTCGAATATTACAGTGTACGCATCATTATTATTCATAGTTGTAGCCGTTTTTTTGTATTCAAATCATTTCGTTAACGACGGAAAAAGGAACATTTAATTTACCAAAGATGCAAACGTTTGGTATCAAATATGCACTCCTGCTGAGCATCTTCTTCGTATCATGTAAGTTAATTCCAATAAAATAATGCGATCTATTTCTATTCTATTCAATTTAAATAAAAAATAAAGAGTCTTACGGGAGTAAGACGAACTTTTCCGCACGGTGGTAGTTGCGTATTTTATTAAGAAAGTTCAAAATAATATTTGTTCGATTTTTCAAGCCTTTCAAGCGTCGTAAAGTTCGAAACCAAACAATATGTTTCAACTTTGGCAACGAAATATTCTTTAATTTAATAGCAGAAGTACCCGAGAAAAGATTTTTAACACTTTCATGATGAACCCATTTGTGCGGCATTTGAAAGTATTCTATTTTCAAACAAAACACTATAAAAAAAATGTCTGACGTTAATTTTGCCATAAAAATTATTTTTGAAACACTTTTCATAACTAAAGTCACAAAAATTTTGGATTTTTGTATGGGAGCCATGTCTGTATGCTACCTTAATGGCATGAAACTTTGTACAGGTTATTTCTTTCACCAAAAAATAACATTCAGAGGATTTGGAGAAATTTCAACCAAAATTAAGGGTACCTCCCATACAAAATATTCGTTTTTGAGCCAAAAATTGTAAATTTTGTATGGGAGTTACCCCTAATTTTGATTGAAATCTCTTCAAACTTTCAGAATGTTATTATTTTGTGTAAAAAATAGTCTGTGCAAAGTTTCGCGTCATTAAAGTAGCAAACAGGCATGGCTCCCATACGAAAATTCAATTTTTTTGTGATTTTTCCAAGGAAACTGTATCAAAAATTGATTGTATCTCAAAACTCACCTCGGATTCGGTTTTCTCGTGCCAAAAAACCCCCCATTACATATTTTTGAGTGTTTAAGTCTACATTAAGTATGACTTTTGGACGAAAATTGGACTCTTTTTCATAGGTATCACTCCAGGCATGAAATTTTTTTCCATCAACCAAAATCGCTCAAAATCTAATGATTTCTATTCCTCGGGACCCCCAATCATCCCGTGAAGTCAGATTTTAAATAACTTTTCTGGGGGGTGAGATAATCGATGGACAAATTTTGCGTACGGCGGACAACGTACGACGTACGACGTACGACGTACGACGTACGACGTACGACGTACGACGTACGACGTACGACGTACGACGTACGACGTGGAACAGACCCACAACAACCATGCTCAAAACGGCCTGATTCGGGTTCTCTGACCTCAGAAACGTCCAGAAAACATGTTTTTGAGATGTCGTAAATTTTGACCCATTACAATACTTTCCCCTTTCACACTATGTGTGTGCGGAAAAGTAAAAAAATAGATGTAAATTGTGTGCTCTATCGAAAATCGCAAAATTAATAATTTTTATGGTGTAGCAGCAGACACATTTCTTTGATAACCTTTTTTAATGTATAATTAAAGGTCATACATTTTTGCTATGACTTACGTCCAACCGTATTCAATCACTGTTTGCCATAATTTCTTCTATTTCACTTCTAATCATTAGGCTTTTGCGAAGAAAGACCAAAAATCATTTCGAAGGTAACACCGTCTCTTGAATGTAGTACGGGCGATGATGCTGAACTATCATGCTATGTAGAAAATCCATCTGCATATTCCGTTTCATGGGTAAAAACGAATCGCGACAATCCATCTGATCAGACAATTTTGTCCTTTGGCAATCAATTATCGGTTGTAAATGATCCACGTTTTAAATTGGAAGTCACTTCCGATCGATATACATTACATATTAAAAACATTGAATTTACCGATGCTGCTGTCTATCAATGTCAAGTAATGGTATCGGTAAATTACAAAGATGTGGCAACCGTGGACCTTTTGATTAGACATGCACCAAAGATCGTCAAAGACATTGAAGTCACCCCATCACCGGCAACATTGAAGGGTTATGTTGAACTCCGTTGTACAGCCGATGGATATCCAAATCCATCGATTTCATGGAAAAGAGCTGGCAATGTACTTATCCCAGCTGGTGGTAACATTTATAATGGCACCATTTTACGCATGGAAAATGTATCACAACAAGACCGTGGTGTCTATTATTGTATTGCTGACAATGGTATTGGACAACCTGATCAACGTTCGGTCAACTTGGAAGTGGAATTTCCACCAAAAATAACCGCACCAAGACCACGAGTTGCTCAAGCCCTTGGCTATGACATTGAATTGGAATGCAAAGTCGAAGGTTTTCCAGCACCCCAAGTTTCCTGGTACGATGGTGACAAACAAATTTTGCACGAAGGCGATTACATGTAATTATTTCAATCATTTTTGGATAATAATCCATGTGATTTTTTTTTAAATTAAAAATGTTTGAAATTTATTTGTAGCATTTCCCATACGGCCACCACCAACGACATTACCACCTCGATTTTACGCATTACCACTGTTGAAAGCAAACAATATGGCGACTATGTGTGTAAAGCATCCAATAAACTCGGAGCGGCTGAAGCAAAGGTCAACTTATTCGGTAAGCATTTACTTTTTTGAAAATACAATATTTTGACTTCAATACTTTTTAGTTTTTTTACATTACAAACGAAGAAAAAAAAAACATATATTTATATTTAAAGGTGAAAAATTATAATTTTTGTCGACAATTTTTCCTTTATTTTATTTATTTTTTCAAAAAAGATTCTGTTGTCGCTGTCTACCCATGGCAAGCATATGCAAGAGATCAGCAATAATTTTAATTTTCTCATTTTCATTTTATTATTTACAAGGTATTTATCATTTTTTCCATTGAATTTATAACTTATGATTGATTGAGTTCTTTTTTCGCTTCGATTGGCACATTGAATGTAATCAATCAATTTATCGATTTCAGATCATCCGATTCCAAATATATATTTTGCTGGTTTGCAGTGGAATTCATCGTCAAAATCGTTCGTTCATATCAGTTTTATGATGAATTATTTAGTAGTGATGCTAATTGCATTTATACTTTAAATTTCCATTAGTTTTGGCCGTATTTGAGTTACCAATCCAATAATGACAGCAGATTTATGAAGAGAATGCTATTTTTTGCGAGGAGAAAGAGAGAAAGAAAGATAGACAGTACAAAATCTGCCACTGAAAAAGAACAAAAACCAAAAAAAAAACAAACGAACTACGAACGAAGGGCGAAAATCTCATACCGCAAATCAAATAATTTCAGACAATGTATTCAATGTTTTGCATATAGGAATGATAGGAACGAAAGAAACAAACAAAAAAATGTTCTATACGGAAAATAATTTTTGATCAATATACACAGTAAAGAAAAGAATATTCAATTTTTGTAGTAATGATCTATTTTACTCATGACAACAAATGACTGAACTACTATTTAGTATAAATAAGAGGCTATAGAATTAATTATATCAATGTGTCGGTTTCTAAATCTAAACTCTATCAAATAATAAAGTTCAATATATTTTTTTTTTTCATTTCAATTGAAAAGCAAGAGAAAAAATAAATAAATAATATGTATTCACAATATCAAATGATAACAGAAAGAGAGATAAGATAAATAATAAGCTAACATTTAAACAATTTTCTGAAGAACAATAAAAAGATTTAAACTCATATTTTCAACATATCAGTGATGGATGAATTTAATTTCGTGTTTGGTTTTTTTTCCTCTTCACTTTTGTTTTAACTGTCGTTTGAATTCAAAATTCACAATGCGCATATTTAACGAAAATTTAGTACACATACAGAAGTACATACACCTTGAAATAATAACAAAGCAAAATACTTAAGACAAATGACAGAAATTCGACTAGCTGTATTTTTTTGTATTTGATAAATACTGTGACACCGTTTAGTGAATAGTTGATCGATTAGACAACGATGGCGCTCCGATACATGACACACGTGTTATATAGGCAATCTACTGTGAATTTCTTCAAAAAGTATCAAGCCGGCGTTCGGTTAATATCCTTAAACAGTATCAATTCAACATCAATACGATTTAAAACAATGGCAGCCCAATACATTCCCGTTGAAAAAGGCGCACCAAATTCACCAAACTATCGCGTTTATTACAGTAAGTTTTGTTTTGATATCAACACACAAAAATGTGACACAAATTCTGTATATATTTAACCACTTGAGAGATAGAGAAACGTCATCATTTATCATAAATTGCAATCAAAATCAATCAGATACGATTTGTCAACAATGTTCCGAAATATGAAATTATATAAGACGGATTGCATATATACAATCACTTATCTATCGACATGCATTATTTATTTCCCATTTCGCAATGACCTTACCGCATTACAAACATAAGGATTGAACATTGACAACAAATAATATACTATAATACTATATTTATAGCGATTATACGTCACTCAATCATATATGCTATACGTTTGCTTGCTGGAATCAAATTTGGCTGCATTCAAATTGTACAAAATATAATGAATTTAATTTAATTTTTTGCAGCCAATAAAAATGGAAACGCAATTTCACCATTGCATGATATACCATTATATGCTGATGATACGCAAAAAGTCTATAACATGGTGGTAGAAGTACCAAGATGGACCAATGCAAAAATGGAGGTTTGTATATAGTAATTTTATGGAAAACATTGTTTAATTCATATCGTATGCATTCATATTGTTAGCATTGTTATAATAATCAGGTTTCTGGAACGTTCCAGAAAAACGCAATATGGAGAGAATGCTTGAAAATGCATGGTTTTAATATTAAACATTTACACGAATTTCGAATTACTTTTTATGACTTTATTTATTATTTGGTTTAAAAGTCCATTTGAAAAAGTCGTTTTTGTATTTCTTTTCTCAATTATTTTATCATTATGTGAAAAGACAAAATGAACGATATAATAAAATGACAAATTGTTATCAACATCGTTTCACGAACAATAAATTGAAACAATAATTTGGCATTTGTCAACAGTGTATCATAAAAATATAGATTAACAGCGCCACGATGAAAAAAATATTTTCCAAAAATGAAGACGAACAGGTTTTTGGTTATTTAACGCAACATCATTGGTTGTTTGTATTATTTGCTAATGTTAAATTTGCATTGTGAATAACAGATCAACCAGAGAATATGAGCTTAGTCGAAAAGAGTAATCGATCATTATTATTGACCTTTGCCTGACTAGACTAGCGACATTCACACGCACTGCCTTTTTAATTGACTTGTTTTTTTGTTGTTGTGGTTGTTGCTGCTACTACAACTGTTGCATCACATTAATTATTATGTTAGAATTTTAATATCAAACATTATTTGTCGTTTAGATATCTCTTGCCGAAACACTAAACCCCATCAAACAAGATGTTAAGAAAGGAAAACTTCGATATGTTGCCAATTGTTTTCCACACCATGGTTATATCTGGAATTATGGTGCCTTTCCACAAACATGGGAAAATCCCGAACACACAGACCCATCGACCGGCTGCAAAGGTGACAATGATCCAATTGATGTGCTCGAGATTGGATCACGTGTTGCAAAACGCGGTGAGGTCCTGAATGTCAAAATCCTTGGTGTTGTGGCTCTAATTGATGAAGGCGAAACTGATTGGAAGGTCATTACTATTGATGTAAACGATCCAAAGGCAAGCGAAGTCAATGATATTGCCGATGTTGAAAAAACATTCCCAGGACTGTTGCGAGCAACTATTGAATGGTTCAAGGTAAACAATATCTATTCAAAGTTCAGTTTAATTCAATATGTAACGCTTATATTTGAATAGATTTACAAAATCCCAGATGGAAAGCCGGAAAATGAATTTGCTTTCAATGGTGAAGCGAAAAATGCAATATTCGCAACTGAAATCGTGAACGAAACACACGGATTTTGGCAGTCATTGATCAAAAAAGAGGTTGAAAGCGATAAAATCTCTTGGTAAGCCAAATGTCCATGGAAATGATTTACGCACATATTTTATCTATGTTATTTTTTTGTATCTTATATATAAAGCGCAAACACCGCAGTGGCTGATTCGCCATATGTCATTTCTCAAGCCGATGCCGATCAAGCATTTAATTCAGCAGCTGAAGACGGCGTAGCTGAACCCATCCCAGACACAAGTATACCATTTTTTCATACAAAAAATATTTATTCCAAACTGTGATCGCATTTTTAAGCTCATTGGAATAAAATTCGTGAATATTTTATTAATAAATTTCTTTTTTTTTCTCTTTCATTCACTCCAATTCTCTTGCGATTCAGTTGATACCTGGCACTACATCACACTCTAAATTAAATATGTATTCAAATAAACACACATACACCGGTTGGACGAGACATGGTCGGAATGGTCGGCGTTACGCCACAATTTAATTGAATCTGAAATTAAATTATCTTTTTCATTAGAACAAACAATAAACGTAATAAACTATTTGTCGTAATTGTTCATCAACATTTTTATTAATTTATTGTTTTTGAATGGGTTGACCACGGGCATAGCAGCATACAGAGATAACAATATCCGTTGTATATGCAGACAAATTTCTAATAGCGTTTAACTGTTTTGTAAACGAGATTTTTTAGTTACTTTTGATGCTCAACAGATTTGGGAATTATCCCTTTACAAAATGAGAAAAATAATCGAAATATTCTTTCGATTTGCAGGGACTTTCTGAAGCGGGAGAAAATATTCTATTTTTCTAGGGTTTTGGCGAAGAGAAAATTCTTTCAATTTGCTCGGTTTTTTTTAGCCAAATTCTCTGAGATGACCCGATTTTTTCATCACCAAATGGAAATAGCTCCTCAATATTACTGCAAATTTCACAAACATATCCTTTTCCCGAGCACATTTCACATTCTTGAATGTGTTGCTAGAATATTGCAGTTTATTTATTCAAAGATTCAATAATTGTCCCATTTTCAGCGCCAATTAAATCAGTTATACTGTATATTTTCATGCATTGCAATAAATGGCGTCGAGCACCGATTTTCCAATAGTTTTGCATTGGCCGCAATTCGACATTCGGTTATATAACGTCGCATATCATTTAAATTGGTTCGCAATTTTTTTACTAGACTCAAATTTTGTACGTAAATAAATAGTTTAGGATTTTTTTGCTCCAAATCGATGACTGGCTCAATTGATGACTGATCATTGAATGTAAAGTAGCTGAAATGTAAAAAAAAATGTTTGTATTGGGTGTATGCATTAAAAAAGGAATTTTTTTGGTGAAAAGATACATTTATTTAAAAACAACTGTACAATATTTTAACCAATGTATTGCCCATCGTTAGCTATGACTTCTGTCCATCTTTTTGGTAGCTTGTCGATTCCGCGTCGAAAGAATTCCTCATCTTTTCCAGCTATCCAGTCATCGATCCATTTTTGCACTTCTTCGGCATTTCCTTCAGATGATTTCTGCATGCATCGATTCGTGTTCTCAATTGATTTTCATTGAGTTGATGTGGCACCCATTTTCCCAGTTTTCGGATCTTTCCCATTGCATGTAGTCGTCTAGAAACGGTTGCCTGGTCGACATTCAACGCAATTGCAAGTTCTTTTTGCGTTTGACATGGATCATCGTCCAATAATGCTTGCAAATCCTCATCTTCCAACTTTTTTGGCTGACCTGGTCGTTCTTTGTCACGCACATCAAAATCACCACTTTCGAAGCGTTGAAACCAGTCGTAACATTTTGATTTTGCGAGAGCATGTTTGCCATAAACTTTCATAAGCAAACGATGACTTTCAGCTGCACTTTTCTTAGAAAAAAAGTGACCCAACAAAACTTCGCGCAAATGCTGTTTTTTGCGCCAATTTTCAAAATTTTCCATGGTTGTAAAAAAATATGCTGCGCACAAACAAATGAAACACTTTTGACTGATTTTGACAGTAATTGAATAGATCAATGACAGATACGTCATTTGAAATGCCTACTACAACGCACAAGTGGTGACATCTACCGTGAAATTCCCTTTTTTAATGCATACACCCAATACTTATTTGTCTTTTCTGAATGAAAATAAGAAAATATTTCAAAATTGAATTACCTCGACAAATTTTGTTTGGCGTAAAATCGCAAGTTCTTTCTACTTCAATGCCATTTAGGATATTAAAATTGCTTCGTCCATACGATAGTGATTTTTGTTTATTGTATTTTTTTAAAATATTATGGGGATTTGACTATGAACCAAGTTTTCGGCGCTGAGAAAATACCAATTCCAAATCTTGTACGGAATCTATATTGTTTTGTATTCGCCGCACTTATGGAAACGTCAAATGTTTATGTGGCGCTGAAAACAGTGTTTTCTTCCAAATGTCAAAACGTTATAAATTCGGCACAGGCATTTAAATTCACACAGACTTAATAATAGTAATTGACTGGTCAAAGAAAATCAACCTAAATTTGCAATACTTCTCTCAATCAATGAATCTTTTTTATTTTAATAATATATATTTTAATTATTAAACTAAATGTCTTTTAATCCTATGAATAACAGTAACATCTTTTGAATATATCGGAACAACATAGTTTCGTTTATGACTTGATCATTTACTGATTCAACTAAACCAAATATTTACTTGATAATGTTTTTGGTGATTTAAATTTGTAATGCGAATATGTATCACCGTTTCTTTTCTAAAAAAGATTCGATTAACACGTTAATTACACTGTCTTTTTGTTGTTTAGAGATTAGTCCCAAACTGACACATTTGACGTTTGATGACAACATTTTTTTTGAACAACTTACTATTAAACAAATTTTTGTTCCAAACATAGTGCTCATATCAATTATAGTTCGGCAAAAAATGGAAGAAATGTGTCGATTGTGTGCGGTTTTGAAGCAACCGGAAGAATTTAAATGCAAAATTGATGACGCGAATTTTGATGTCGAACAAAAATTGATCACTTGCTGTAATTGGAATTCATTTCGAAGTCACAACAGTCTTCCAAAAAGTGTTTGCATTCCGTGTTTTTTACAGTTAGAACAGTGCTGGTATTTTCGGGAAACAGTTTCACGAGCTCAACAAAAGTTATTTGGATTGATAGATGTTAATAATGCATTTCACGAAATCCATGGTGTTGTAGAACATTGTTATGAGGAAGAAATGGTTCAAGTGAAATGTGAAAATACGACGGACGATACGATTGATGTTGATCACATTGAAGTTTCCAATTTCAAATTTGAAAGTGATTACGATGATTACAATAATGATTTTGATAATGCCAATAATAGCAGTGATGGTGAATCTGAACTGAATGATGCACCTTCCTCGATTCAACAAAAGATACAAAAGACAACATCGAAAACAAGGAGTGTAAAAGAAAAAGTTAAACGTAAAAAACAAAAACAAACACAACTGGAGCAGTTCGATATATCAAAGTTTTTAACCGGCGAGGATATGAATGAAGATGGAACTGTTAAAGCGGAAAAAATTCTAGAGCTTAATCTTAGCAATTGGACTAAAATCAAACATCCTTGTTATAAATGTAATAAAAATGGCAATGCATCAACATCACAGTCATACACTGCACCTTCTTATGGTGACTTATGGTTTCACTTTACAACGAATCATCAAAATGAACAATTGAAATATATTTGTCCCATCTGCCCAGACAGAATGATATTTCTCTCCGATCGGTACTATCGCGAACACATCGTAAAATTCCATCATCCACACTTGAGCTACTGGTATGTGATATTGGTTTAAATGTTTTACATCGAATCAGAGCATGAAATCGCACTTCTAAAGCAATGCGTCGGCTACACAACTTATACTAAAACAAACGAAATTAATCACACAAGCGCCGTTTCAAGCAAGTTCGCACGTTGTTAGTGACGACTTTATGCTCTGCATTGCATTGAAATTATTACTTATATTCATTTTGTTCGTTCAAAAGCTGTCACAAATGTCTGAAATTCTTCCACGATTCGACTAAGATGCGCGCCCATCTCAAATCACATCCCAAAGATCCAAGCAGTAGTGTTTGCAGCATCTGTGGTAAAGGATTTTCGTATTACAAGAATCTATATTTTCACATGTTTACCCATCTACCGAACCAAATTCAACCAGAGTTTCATTGCTATTTATGTAAAAAAGTACTTAAATCGATGTCATCACTGAAATTTCACATGAGACAACATATTGGCGGTAAAATTGATTTCAACACGAATCAAATAAATCTCGAAAATATCGAATGGGTTTCTTTTTTTTTCAGTTACCAAGTCTAAGGTATGTGATCAGTGCGGAAAAGCATATGTTACAGCCAGTAAATTAAAAGAGCACAAATCAATTCATTCGGATGAGCGACCGTTCCCGTGTGAGCACTGTCCCAAAACGTAAGATACGATTTCTTTTTTTCAAATAAATTTCTGACTAAAGATGTCAATCGTTATTGGTTTGTCCATCCGTCGCTTCAAAACACATAAAATTAACCATTTCTTTCTTCTTCGATTAGATTCAAAACCATTGCAATTTTACGAAGGCACATGAGAATACATCAAAACGTTCAAAAATATATTTGTCATATTTGCGGACATTCTACTATATGCAAACAAAGATTCAAACAGCATTTTACGCGATATCACACCAACGATTCACCGTTTCCATGCGACATATGTAAAAAACCATTTTACAAAATCCAAACGTTAAATGTAAGATTGAGTTTGAAGAAGTTTGCCATTTTTTTTAAATTATTATCTGTCATTTTAGACCCATAAGAAGAATGTACATTTCAATGTAAATCCCTATCCTTGTGTTCTATGCGATTTTCGTGGAATTAATGAGAGGGCTTTAAAGGTAATGTAGATGGTTTTAATTTTCAAGCAAAATCAAATTGAAATGATAATTTGTCCATTTGTAGCGACATCATAAACATATTCATTTGGATCATCGTCCACACACTTGCAATTTTTGTGAGTACGGCACTTATAGCAAATTTAATTTACAGATGCACATTTCAAGAAGACATCGAGTAAATGAAGAACGAACCTAACAATTAAATAAGAGTGCTCAATTTTCGAGAGCAGTCTCTGCAATTAGCTATAAGTTTATGATTTATAAACTATAATTTAATAAAATTGAACATAATAAATTTAATAAAGGCGAAATTATATTTTATTTTTGGATATAAATTTACATTTGCCGTTATTTCAACAATTTGATGCAAACTCATCAATCACATAAGAAAAACGACTCAACCACAGTATGATACACAACAAATCTTCCAACAGCGCCCACTTTCACAGCCATAGTCGATTTTTTCACCATGCATAAAACAAGCGAAAAATGTAACAACAACGCAAATAATGATATTAACGTGGAACATCTTTTTAAATTTGAATACTAAACACACAATTACATAAGAAAATTCACTCGATGATATTCAAATGAAAAATCACGTATGATTGAAGTTTTATATAGATTCCCTTTAATTTATAGTTTTTGCGACACTGATTTTTCAGAATTTTATTGCCATCATGAGGATCACGACCTAGATCAAGTGACCACCATCGTGCCAGATATTATGATTTGGTCGTGTCTAGTAGTCATGGCTTGACTAATACCAGTCGCATATATTTTAACAAATTTTAAATAAATAGAATGCGTTGCCGTGAAAGTAATTCGCGCACACTAACATTAAGATTGTCTGTATTTTTTCGCCGTCTGAACAGTTTTCAATGCAACGTATTCGATTTATCTGCTAAAATATCCAGCTGGATTTATCAACTGACGGTTTTGAGTATAAAATATTGCCGTCAGACGAATATTGTTCAATACAATAAATCGATTGCGATCCAGCAAAATGGTTATTCTGTTCAATAATAAAGAGACTCAAAAGAAAATACACAAAATAACTTTTCTGTGTGTATATTTCTGAATAATCTTGAAAAAAATACGGTAAGAGCAGTTTTGTCGCATGCAGGTATATCTGTGCCGCTGGCTATATACGGATATAGTTATACTAAAATGAATCGTTGATGAATATATCAATGGCAAATACCTTTGTCGCCTAAAACGTATCGGATAGAACATATTCGAAATGCAAATGTAAAATGGTTTTCTTTTGTCTTCAAGTTAATCAAGTTAACAATTAATGAGCGAATTGCTGCAGGAAATAAATTTGACTATATTATCACAAATGTCAACATTCTATAAGATATATGTGTGCCAATCCGGTTTATTCTTTCTCTGGTTCAGAAAATTGCATTTAATTGTAATTGGGGAGCTTTTCTATTGAACACATCAAGTATGTACAATTGTACATATAATGTATTGTGTTAAAATAACAAAACCTATTGTTATTTTAAGTAAATGAAAAGATGTAGGATACAATGCTGATCTCAAGATTAAAAAACTTATCTTTCATAATTTAATTCTTGAATATAATGAAGCGCAAATGAGTGGCGGCAACCCAAAGTTTATCAAAATAAGAGAAAAAAAACGTTCCACTTTCAATGCAAATATAAATTGTGTCATTAAAAAAAAACCAAGTAAAGTATATTTAAAATCCTTGAATGCACGTCTCAATGTTGTTTTAAACGGTGATTTCAACATTTCCGTCAATTTCTTCAGTTGAATTTCTTTTTTTTGTTCATTGAATCGGATAGATTCGCGTTGAAATTGTATGAAAAGTTTATGAAAGCTCTGAATATTGAACGATTGAATTGAAATACACTGAATAATAGATGTGCATCAGTGTGTATTCATGCACAAGACAAACAATGCTGGACATTTTACGTAATTTATATATATATATGAAATGAAATTTGCATTTGTTTAGATGCATTTGTACAATGAAAATGAGTTAATAATAATAATGCATTCATTTCTGGAGTCTAACGGCGGGCGCGACACCAATTCGGAAGTAATGCGCATATTTTGTCTAGGATATTTCGCCACACATACACACAAAATGGGTGTGCAAACACACACGGGGACCGAACGTATCTGTACGTATTGTGACACTTCAAAACTTTTATGCCACGTACAATTTTCCGTGTGTGTACATAAATACAGAGAGGCACGCATACTCACTAGACACACATACATACACGCTCATAGTCGGTGGTATTGTAATTCTTCTTAAGTGAAAAAAGCGTTTCATAAAACGGAGGAAAAAATTGATTTTGCACTTTGCTCACAATTAAATTTCTAAATTCAATTTGAACGTGCACGTCTTTATCAATTTAAATCGATTTGATTTGGCATTCGAGGGTAAGTTGACATTTTGAATGTAAAAAAGCTATCATTATCACCTTAGTATTTGCAAATTTAATCATTTTTTTTATTAGTTTATTTGGTGGAAAATTTGACGCAGAAATAAACAATATACTACGCATTTTTGTTATGTTCATTGAATGTGGACGGTGTGAAGAGTTAAACAATTAAAAAAAATGTTATAATTAGCTATTTTCAGTGATAGAAAGGCGATTTATTTTTGAAGAGAGACAAAAATAAAACAAAAGTCAACATGAATTTCATTTGGGCAATATTGGCATTGTCAATTTTTGCCAACGATTGTTTGGCAAAAAAGAAAAAGCTCGACTTGGACTTTGAATTTGTTGACAAGGTAAAAACTTTGCATTTTCTCGATTGATATATGATGAGTGTATTTTAGGTCCAACTCAATATTATCTGTTTCGATATAATTTCGTTTGCGTATAGGTGGAGAAAGATGTACAACGTAAAAGAAAACAATGGATATATGATCCAAAAAGTAAATTTCACTACATATTATGTTCTTTTTTTTTGCTGTAATTTATTTATACAATATTATGTATTTTCAGGTGACCTATGCCAACCCCTCAATTGTAAAAAGCGTGAATTGTGTTTACTCGAAGACGCTTTCACAGCGCTTTGTGTTTCAAAAGCGATGCTCCATAAAAATCAGTTCGTATAATAATTTAAATTAAGGAAAAAAATGAGTTAAACTGTTTTGTTTTTGCAGCGATGAAATTATTAGCGTATCAACCCAAAAAGTAGCGAGAGTTGGCGATGCAAATGGTAATATTGACACCCCCAAATTTTCAGACGAAATCTATTTGACTGATGACTATTATGGCAATCCAAAGTAATTATCTACGTTATTTCTAACAATAAAGCTTATATACTAAAATCAATTAATTTCCTCTTGCATTGATAGGAAGTGCAAACAGTGCCCAAGTAGTAAACAATCATCGTTTGTGTGTGGTTCCGATAATCGAACATATTCGGCTGCATGCCGTCTAGATTATCACAATTGTGTCCATAATTCACAAATAAAAGTCAATTGTAAAGGTTTTTGCCCATGCAAAGGTAAATGCCATCAATCATTTCCCATTACGTGTAAGATGAAACAAATTTTATAATTTGAGAAATATTTTTTTTTTGTAAAGTCGTAGATGAATGTCAAACACAGGAACTCCAAACAATTGGAAATCGTCTGTTGGATTGGTTTTCTGTCATAATGACAGATACGAAAAAACAAAAACGTCGTATTGCAAAATCTGAAGGTAACCAACTTGTTTTTAAAGATTTAATTTGCCATCGATAAAACAAATTACTGATACGCTTTTTTTTTAAATAAAAAATAGCACATTTTCCAGCTGCTTGCAAGGTATAAATTATATTATAAGTGTGCTTTTAATTGATTCGATAGTTGAATGTCTTTGAATTGATTTTTTTTTAGATCGAAGCAAAATGGATGTTTGGCCACCTAGATATCAATAACGATGGATCACTGTCAACATCGGAATTGTTCGATTTGGAACACGATCAAAATGAGCGATGCATCAAACCGTTCATTGATACATGCGATGTTGATAATGATGCCAGTTTATCAACACGCGAATGGTGCCGTTGTTTCGAAAAGACGGATCGTCCATGTGCAGCAATTCGAAGACGAATTAAATACGACCTACTCGCCAAAGGTATTTTTGAAATCACTCCACCCACCGTGGATTGGCGTGTATATGTAATCGATTTAAATATCAATTATCATTTATGAAATGCAATTTTTAGACGCATATGTGCCCGATTGCGACATTCAAGGATTCTATCGGCCAACTCAATGCCATAGCAAAATTGGTATCTGTTGGTGTGTTGATAAGCATGGTGTGGAATTTGCCAATACACGCAAACGAGGGAGACCGACTTGTGGTAAGTTATATAGTCAGTGATGATTACTACTTAACTATTTCGATGTTATGTTATATGGAAATACGGATGCATATGTATATTCAAACCATAAACGAATCTGTAATTAATGCTTTTGTCCTCAGACGAAGTAACCAAAAATGTGGTATCTCAACCGTCCGATGATGAAGATGATGATGACCTAGATACCTACGACGATGCTGAAGCGAGCGGAAATGGTCCACTAAACTATTAAACACAACTTTCTTCACACACGCAAATATCAGGCACATGCAAAACGTGCATATGCATACAATGCGACAAAATAATAATAATAAAAAAACCAAAACCCAAAATGAAACGCAAATCACGTAAACTGCAGTAAATCCAACCATTTTGTTTATTTTAGCTCATTTTCGGTCTTTCATCTATCCGTCTTACATAGATTAAAGCATTTGATATAAGACTATATATTTTCTATAATTGTTCACCCCGTTAAATTCCATAACCGAACCCAATATTGGTTTTTCTCTCTCACAATAACTCTCAACACATTTGTATCACTCATATCTTAACATTAATTTTTAATATTTTTGTCCGTCTAGTTTCGTGTGAGAGATTCAAAGGGTTTTAGTTGATTTTCAATTGAATGTGAGTAGAGAGAGATAGAGAGAGATTCATTGTCTCGACTTTTTTGTTGTGTTCAACTTTGGTTTCTTTTTCCACTTTTTTGCAGTGTGTCCATAATATATAGAAATAGCACTAAATAGTGTCGATATCTATACTATATCGGTCCACTATATATGGAAGATATTCCCGCACGGCACCGTATCTCACGATCGAAGTGAGTGTAGACGGGAAAAATCACAAGTTGCCGTGCGGCAGTAGAAAGAACTGTGTGTATGCGTCAACATTTTTGCCGTCTGCACTCACTTCGATTGTGAGTTACGGTGTCTTGCGGAAATATCTTCCATATATAGTGCACCGATATAGTAAAGATATCGACACTATTTAGTGCTATTTCTATATGTTATGGACACACTGCTTTTTTGAATAATATCAGTTGAAATAAAGGTATTTAAGTTTACTAACGAATTACCATTTTTTCAGCAAAACGTAAATTAAGAATTAAGCGATAAGATAACGTAGACCTAAATTTTGAATTAGTTCACAACTAAATACATAAACAAAATGAAAACGACTATTAATTCACATTCTAGATAATAATTAATCTATAGATATCCAGTCGATAGGGAATATGTTGAGCTCGGTTTGCCGGTCGATTTAAGTACGGTCGGTCCGGGTGTCTCATGCCATCGTCTATGCGATGTTCAATATATATATACAGGGTGTCTCAAATAAGGTTGGTATAATTTTTAAAAATCTGCTCTGATAGAAATTTTGGAAATAAAATTCAACGAATTTCTATCGAAGTAGATTTTTGAAAACTATTCCAACAAAAGGGAAAAACGAAATTTATACCCTCAGTAGTGAGCCACTTATATGACACATCCTGTATATCATTGATACCGCTAACAAAATCGACCCACTGATTATTTAGATAAAAGAACGATTGAATAAAAACTGTAATAAAACGGCCAATGAATTTATTTAAAATTAAAATCAAAATATTTTCAATGGCTATTATATATATAGAAAGAGACAGTGAGCATTTATGCTTTTTTTTCTGGGATAAAATTGTTTGTGTTTTATTTTTTTTTATTTTTTTTTTTTATTGTTAATTGGTCTCAAGAGGTTAGTTTTAAATTTGGCAAAATGCATAATCAAATAGAGTTAAAAGAGTATTATAGCGAAAAGCAGCTGAAGAAAAGAGCTTGCTGAGCTTTTTTTCATTGAAAAATTGAAGCCACCGTCGCATTTGAAGAATACAATTTGCAATTAAGTTAAAAGAAACAAACAAATGTGAAAGTTATTGGTATTATTATTGTATTATTATTATTAACTACTGGAAAAAGTGTTGTTGGTTTTTTGTTTCTCGTCTAAATCCAAATGGGTGTGTGTATTTTTGGTTTCTATTTTTTGTTGGTCAATTGGTAAAATTTTACTAGGTTATTAGTGTTGATTTGTAATTTTCTATTAATTATTTTATAAATATTCGAACAGCGTTTTCATTTCATATTCTGTTATATGTTTTTAAATTGGTATTTTTTTCCATCTTCGTTTAACATTCTCTATTTTTTTTTTAATGGAGTATGAAAATTAAATTTATTGTAAATTTTCACTCATTTTAATTGTAAAAGTTCAAAGTAAACAATAAATGGAAGACAACGTTTAAGATCTTTAACATGGTGGTTGTTTTTTTTCTCTTCTTGTATCTTCTGTGTGTTGTAAGCTTTATCAACTTTTTCAAATTGGTTTGCGGGCGACCAAGTTGTTGGCGAGAGGCAAAAAATGAAAAAAAACTTTTTGGAAGTATTATATTGTGTTTTTTGTAAAATCCCTTGTGTAATGACAAGAAGCTGACTGTAAGTGCAAAATTGAAGTGCCAGTGGATGGAGATGCTCTTCATCAAGTGCTGTTTTTAGTTATTGAATAACTTATATGATATTCAGAGCAGCGTTGCTGTGGTATATTGCTTATTAATTCCATCATCGCACCAAATGACGACCTTAATCAAAAACAACCGAAAAACAGTGATGTACCCGTCAGTTTCACATTTTCATGCTTTTTCCACTATTTTTGTGTCTCTGTTTTTCTCACATTTTCCATTTACATGCGGGATGAGATTTAATCTGTATGTATACGTGTTGGTGTTTGTGTGTTTGCTGCTTAAGCTTTGCTAAATGTTTACTAATATTTTAAGGCGAACTTTGAATAGTTTATATATGTGGTTCAACAATGAACTCACTACGGTTAACGGTTAACCAATGAAACTGACCACACCTATTATTCTTAATTAGTTGAAAAGTAATTTCTCATCCTGAATTTGAATACACTACGTGGCTTGTGTTTGTTTTGCTGTTGTTCAAAAGCTATCATATTCAAATAAATAATAAATATACAAACACACAGTTGTAAACCGACAAAAGCAAATATTGTAGGCTGCTCGATCTATAAATATGTGTATGTGTGTTTTATATGTTGGATTTCAAACGTATAATTTTAAATTACTTTGTAAAATAATTTCAATTTATGTTCAATTTAATAACTGTGATTTTGCATTTATGGATGCCCAAATACGCACAAATTCAAACAAGAAACAAATATATACATATATGGTGACTGCATTCTGAATCTGTATTACACGCGTGCATATGATAGCCCGTTGTGTTATCATAATATTACACTAAATATATTTGTAAATTGGATGGCAAATGGTAAATACACACCAGTGGTACATTGCTGACAGAATATCCTGATAAATACAGATAAAACACAAAAAAATGCCTATTTATTATTCATTTGCGAATAAATTAGTTGGGCGAATGTACACACAGAAACAAATTGCCACCCAAAATTAAGCACAAAAGCACCGAATAGGAACAGTGCACTCGGTATTCAAATGGGCTAGTGCTACTTTATTCTCAATGAGTCCCATTGCAATGTACACAGTGGGCACATCAATTATTCAATGTCGAAAGGGGAAAAAAAATTATGATTATAATTTCATGACGATCACTTTAGTAGTTTTAAATAGATCTGCTATTGTTGTCGTCGTTTTTGTTTTGAAAATGAATTATGGATATATTATCCTTAAAATTCTGTTGCTGACACAAACTACTTATATACTAAAAGTACCCAAATATTGCCTAAAATATTTTGTAAATTCTTTCATTGCTTTTGTTTTCAAAATGGGCGAATATGTAAGTATAATAAAGCCAAAATTTATTGAAAATTCGGTGTATGCATATATGTATAATGTGAGTGTGTGTCTGTGAGAGTGAGAGTGTGAGAGAGAGAGAGTGTAGAATGCCTATGTGTCTGTGTTGAATGTTAAACATCATTTGCAATGAATTACATTCGCTACATTATTTAGCTACTAAGTGTTTATCGCAAAAGTTAACTTGGTATTTCTATGTGAAGTGGCTTCTCTCTTTCTCATCTCAATTTCAATGCGACGAGAAGAATGATGTATATAGGTGTGCATATATTGCTTGCAAAATTCCGAACGTGTGCAACGAAAGATGGCTTCAAATTGCATACATTTAACTATATAGAAGAATAGAGGGAAAGGGAGTGAAAGAGAGAGAGAGTGAATACTAAAATGCGATTTGTCGTCTTCCTAAAATTGTTGAAAATGGTTCCTTAAACGAGAATAATGTTTTCAATAGACTCTAAGAATGTTTCATGTAATAAGCGGCCTCAACTTTTGAATTTTAGCTTTTTCACTCCTTTTATATGTTGTTTACAAAAGAAGGTGCGGGCCTTTGTTATTACATTACATTTGCTAGAGTCACGTACATGGAATGTGGAATGGAGGTTAATTTTAAAAAAAAATTACTTCATAGCTACTGTGCATAGTGTTTTGTGTGCATTTGTGTGTATGACGAAAGGCATGAAAATTCGATGCATTGTGTGTGTACTAATGAACATATGAAAAACTAAATGGTGAGAGATGAATAATAAAAAAACGAAGATAAAAAAAACATATGAAAGAAGAGAAGCATGTTACGCGATAGCCAAAATTGTTCAGTATCACGATCATATGCTATAATATTGCACATTATGCACATGCATCATGCATTGAATGTGTACGTAATAAAATTTTGGTATCTTTGGTGCATATGGTTTTTGTCCTTTTCTTTCTTGTAACATTTTTTTTTTGTTGGATCTGTTAATTTTTATGTGTGAATATTGATTTTTGTGTGTGTAGTTTTTTTTTTTCTCTCTGTTTTGTATATATTCAGTTTGAAAAGTCACATTTTCGCTGTTATACTTTTGGTTTCGGTTATTATCGCTGTTGTCGCTGATGTTTATTGTCGGCGAAATATTACGGCGGTCGAAGCGTACAGTGTTGCAACCAGAACAGGAACAAGTGCTGTTTTGCTTATGGTTATGGTAAATGCGTCATTGCAGGCATCCACGTTGCAGCAATAGGTCCGTGTATTCCACACTTCTGTTGAAACGAGAAACGAAAAACGAAAAATGAAATAATCCCACCAAAAATGGTTCCCGTACTATTTGGGTGAACAAAAAAGACAAGCGCCATGAGAAAATTCAAAATAGAAAAACTAGGCAAAATCAGCGAAAAACAAAGCACACAAATGGAATTTTGCTGTGAATGCGTTTTGTGTGCTTGCTTGTTCGCACGCTCGCTCGTTCGATTCTATCTTTCTCTCACACACACTCAGTCTGTCTATCTATCTATCTCTGGATATGGGCTATGGATTATGGATTGTGAGGACTATGGGCTAGATAACATTCTGCAATTGCTTTAACACAGTTCAAATGTATGAATGGTGAAAACACACACACACACTGGCTGATGTGAGAACATGAGAAATAACAAATGATTGCAGGTAGATTAGTTGTTCGGTTGATGGTGAAAGTTAAATCTTCTTTTTTTTTGCAGGATTAAAGTATAGTTGTGGCGCATGGACCAACTCGCAAATCGAATAATAGAACGTATAAACAAACACTCAAAAATAATTCCGAACACGCGCTGCATTTGAATCAATGTCGGTGTCGATCTGCTAACAAATTGGAGATTATAACAAAAAGATAAAAAAAAATTGATTGACAACTCGGCAAATCTTCTCCTTTTTCTCGTTGTCTTATATCTTGGCGCTACCGTTGATGCAATATGCTAAATCCTTCTCTGCATCTTCATCTTCGTATTCTAATGCCGATGCTTTCTCATCTTCGTTTTTTTTCTTCTGGAAATTCATCGAAGAGAAGAATATTTCATTTGCCGCCATTGAGATATAACTTTTTCGTATGCATTGTGCATATGCCATTTATCTGCTCCAAGGCATTTCACATATGGAATATGAAATATATATTTTATGCATATGTATGATAAATATCTAAGAATAAGCAGTCAATCTGAGTACATCTATATATATATAGATTTAAATATATATGTATGTCAAAATCAACGCTCGTTCGTCTTTTTTGGCCTAAATGTATTTGCTGTACTCGCCGTATATGCATACTTCGGTGCGCTTTTCTTCTTATGTTATGTCTTACACACGAAAAAAAAACAGAGAGTGACTATGCTGTTCGGATGAATATTTAACGCAAGCGAAGCAGCACTCACAATACGCTGCACCATACTCACATCATGCACTCAAAATTTGTGCAGAACATTTTTGATAAATGTTTAAAGCAGCCATAACATTTGGTGGTGTTGGTGGTGTTGAATTGAATGATTTGCATTTAATATCGAATGAAGAATAATGTAACAATGAGAGTGATGGAGTGTGATGAGACAAGGGAGGTTGAAGTGTCGTTTTGAATGAAGAACTGCGAATGAGTTGAGGGAATTGAGTAATTTGAAGAAGGTGTTCGATATGTAGATAGAATTATTGATGACCATTTCTTAACGTTAAGTGTTAAGACTCACCCTTCTCGGTGCAACTAGCTACACAATCCCGAATCGAATTTTCTGAAAGCTCGCTCTTGTATTTCTGGAAAATAAGAAAACGAACATGAAAAAATAACATATGTATACATTGATATTTATATATATTTCTATAAAGCACAAACAAAAAGTGCACAGTGAAATTGTGCATTTCAACTGATGTAAATTGTGAGTGCGAGCGCAACATCAATGCATTAATAATTGAAACGAACATATTCGTGGAGTTTTGTTTGGCAAACAAATCGATTCCTTCCCAAGGGAAAGAGTAATTACATGCATCTTTATGTGCGAATCGTGTGCAAATACGTGGAATTGTCTAGACAACTTCCGTTTTGCATTTCCGACAATTTCACACTAGTGCTCTATTAAGATATGATACGATATAAATTGCAAACGAACAAGAAAAAAATAAACAAACAAACAAACAAACAAAAAGAGAATGAGAAAACTACAGAAACTGTGCTAAACTACCGAGAAATTAGCTTTTCAACAAAGAACAAACAACAAATTGCACTTACAATGCAATAAGCATCCGATGATCGTGGGCAATCTTTCAAATAAAACGGTGCTGTTTGCTCCGTGTAATTTAAGCAAGGTGTAATCGAACCAACACCATCATTGTATTGACCGCATTGGTAGCATTTTAATGCTTCGGCAAAAATCAACGATTTTGTGACTAAAATTATGAACAATAGTTTGCTAAGGCTCATCGTTGCCATTTCTTTTCGCTTTCCACACTATTCTTTTGGACTTTATTGGATTGTGGAGTGGTACTTTTATTTGTTCAAGTTCGAAATTTATTTGCCAAGTTTTTTCTTCTTTTTATTATTGTTGTCTTCAAATGTTAGCGCCACTGCTTTTGTTATTTGGCTATTTATTTGAAATATGCCTGTACCGACCAACTAAATAAATATTTGTACAAGTTTTCGAAACTATTCTTGAATTATTGATGATATGTGGATAACTTTAATAGTTTGGATTTCTTCTTGCACTGTAATTTTCACAACTTTTTCTTTTTGCTTGGCCAGTTTATGCTCGTTATATTGCCTAATAACTTTTAATTTTCTTTTCGAAATGGTGTGATCTACTTTGTTGTACGCGACGTTTCTTAATTCCTTTTAAATTTTCATAATATTTTCTCTCTTTTTTTTGCTTTAATATTTTTATCGTTATTTTAAATCCTTATTCATGTTCGGATTCGATTTAATCGCGATTAAATCTGTCGTAATTGATTTTTTAATTAAATCGTCGTTTTAATGGATTTATTATTTATTTTTAAATTTATTTTGAATGCGTGTATGCGTATGTATTGGTGTTTTGGTCAACGTATCTCTACGCCTTGCTGGTGATGATGATGATGATATTACGTGTTGTGGTGACGTAAAATTGAATTCGTATATTTCGAAGGGAATATTCAAGCACTCATTGGTAATCGAAGTCCGTTGTTACGGTTCTAAAGTTCGACGCACACTGTTCGTGTTCGAACATGCGATATGTGCATAGAGGACAAACACGGAGTCGGAGAATGGTCCATCAACAACTGCTCCAACTGATATGCAATGTTTACGTAGCTTATTCAAAAAAAAAAGAAAGTAACAACAAAACAAATAAATATCTCACTCAAAGCTCTCGCTAGCTCTCATACAACTCACTATACGCTGGAATGCACACACAGGATGCTTTCCTTATAAAATTGTTGCGCTTACAAATAAAGCTTTTTAAAATGTGTCAAGTTGAAAATAATGTGCGAGATGCAACCAAAGAGTGAGCACACCGTATGCTATGCACAGACCGAGTGTGCATTCAGTTCATATGAGAAGCACAAGATGCTGTGTGTACGCTGAGAAAAATTTATGGTTCGGTCGGAAAGGTCAAAGTATTTAGCTCGTTGAGTATATATGGATGTGTGTGTGAGAGAGAGAGTGAGAGAGAGAATGAGCGCTGCTTCTTTTTTAATAAGTACGACAGAAATCGGTTTATGCAATTTTCCTTCCTCATCACGATTTTAGTGCAATAAACGAGATTCAAGAGCACTTTTGCTTCTTACCCTGTTATATCATCGAGGTGGAGTTAGAGTGAGAAAAACAAAGAGCAAGAGAAAGAAGTGAAAATATATTTATTTTCTTTTTTCACTCTAAAGTACTTATCAATATACAATTTTTGCTTTTACTTTTCCAATATTGCTGGTCAAACGTCATTTCCTCCGACACAAACAAAGATCGAAAAGAACGTAACACACTCAGGGGAATATATTTCTTCAAAGATATGATCAAACACGATTCTACTTTGAGTTATCAATTTTATTTTATTGCATTTTTATTGTATTATCAGCTACCGTATATTGCATCATAAGAAAACATGTACATTGCTGGATACAAAACAAATAGTCTAATAAAGTTAAAATAAATTATTCTTTTTTTTTTACTATTGGTTGTTACAGTGCCAGTTGAATTCTCTTTTTATGCTTTTATACCACTCAAAGATTTGTATTCAAATCTGTGAGAGAGATTTTTTTTTGTTGAAATTCGTTTGTGTGCCAAGTTTCCTCTTTATATATCCGTATAATGTATAATATGTTTTTTTTTTCATTTTCATTCAGTTTCAACACTCTTTTATATAGACAACAACGAAAATTGAAGTGTACACTGCATATGACATCCAAAGTGATAGATTACTGTGAATTACAGTATTTAAAAGAAAGAGAGAAAAGACAAAGATTAGAAAAGAATGAAAGAAAAAAGAGATTTGAAGGATAGAAAAAGATGGGAAGTGTGTAGCTGAAAATATTAGTTTACCACAAATCTGTTGACCTGTATCTTTTCACGACTGGGCGAAGACGGTGCATTTCGCAACGATTCGAATTTGGCTCGAATGCTGTTCAAGATAGAAAGAGTTGATTACTATAAGAAATATTCGTGCGAAATCGTTATGATTTCGATACATTACCATCTGGTATCGATCTGCGATTGATCTTCACCATCATATTGTCGCTCTTGTTCGCGTTTAATTTCTTTTTGTTCCCACTTTTCAAATTTGGCACGTAGCTGTTTGGCTCGTGCAGCTGCCTGTGCTTGTTGTAACGCCTCATCCATTGGACGTTTGTTTTCTTCATTGTCTGAATCTTCTTCGCTTTCGTCCTCCGAATCGGTATATTCACTGCCAGACTGACTATTCCGATCAACCAAACGGCGTCCATCATCTGGCGGGGGTGTGAAGCTTTTCAATGGTTTCAAACCGGATGGTTGATTGCGATTGCTGCGCACATCATCCTCCATTTGGCGAAACATGGACAGCATTTTTGTGGTAGTCGAACTTCTTTGTGCTGCTTTACGCGATGCATCAATGTATGCGATGCCGTTTGGCGGAATATCTCCTGCTTCTTTTTCTTCTTCTTCTTCTTCTCCTTCATATTGTTGTTGTTCTTGTTCTGTTTCATTGTTTTGTGGCACGACGCCGTCTCTTGGTGGTGTGATTCTAAATGGTTTTTTCTCTTTACTTTCCGGCTTATAAGTTTCGAAAAATTTAAATTTGCTCGATATGTCGGCCGTTTTAATTTTTACTTCGTCAACTTTTTCATCATATTTTACAATGTCAGCGCCATTTGTCTGCGAGATAAAGACGAAAAAAGAAACGAAATTTTAGAGAGAATGAATGATTGGGGGAAATTATTGCGGCCGTTTTTTTAATTTATTACACAGTGATTTCCTCACATTTTCTTTTTGTTCCGGTGGCCAAACGGGATTTATACGCTTGGATGATGCTGCCCCCGGTGATGACGGTGTGTGTTGCGGTGATGATGTCGCCTTCGCATCGATTTCCATGAAAATCGAACGGGATTGCTTGCCAAGACCTAACGAATTAATGACATGTTTCAAAGAAAACAATATTCGGCAATTTTACATTTTACTTTTCTACTTTTGTTCGTATTTCTTTGCGCTTGGCCTTTGATTTGAGGTTTCTCTTTCTCTCTCTCACACACACACACACACATGTACACACCCACATATACACAATCACACACACAGTATTCCTTTCATACGTACATATTAATACAGTAGCATATCAACCAATAACTCACCATGTTCAAATACAGCGCTATCATCAATCTGATGCGAATGGTTCTGTTCATCTTTAAACACCTCTCCATTTTCGAATTTGCTTTTGATCGAACGTGCTTTATCACCAATGTCAACATCTGGTTTTTTATTGCTGGCACGTACACCTATTTACAACAAGAATGTTCTAGCATGAGATTTAGAATGAAAAATGACTGTACGCGACATTTAAATCATATAACAAAAAAAAAGCGAACAACAGTATCGAACAAAGAACGAGATAGAATTTTCTCAGATAAAGCACCATAATAAATATTGCATGTTACATACATTGTTCACTGTCAGCTACTGCTTGTTGGTACATCTCTTTTATTTTGGCTTGTTTCCCCATAAATAATCGCGATCGAATGCTTTGTATCTCTTGTTTGCGCTCTTCGCGTCGTTCTTCTCTCGATTGTGAATGACCCGATTCAAATTTACTCTTGATATCATCCATATTTACTGAGCAAAGAGGTCGTTCAATTTGTGCTTCCTTGGCGCGAAGCAAATCAATGTCTTCAACATCTTCATCATATTCGTCTTCATCGCCGCCCGATTCGTCAGCAGTAGCTAAGTTTGCTTCAGCATCTCCAACGTCCATTCCTTTGGCTTTGAATCTATAAAAAACAACGATTGCGGTCGTGTATGTGTAAAATCAACTTGACACAAAATCAATTGAAATAGAAACTCTAGCAATTATACTTGGCCAATTTTGATAGAACAGTTGTGCCACGCTTAAGTACACGCTCTTCACGTTCCAATAATTGATGAGACTCTTCCTTCTTAGCATTTTCAAATATGTTATAACGCTCCTTAACATTCAGCTGATGCAATTCACTCAATCCCAAATCGCTTTTATCGGATGAACGAACCACATCCGGTGGAAGTTCGATCGGTTGACTTTCACGAATAATCAATTCAGGTTTGCGGGGTGCCTCTAAAATGAAAAATCATTTATTTGTGTGTGTATGTTTTTTTTTTTTTTTTTTTGAATGAGTCATCAGTAAAATAAAAAGTTACCTGGTTCAGTATCTTCGACAGCTTTTGGACTGAAGAGCGATTTGAAATGGAGCTTGCAATACAATACACTTTCGTGGCTTTCAAATGTGTCGACACTGAAAAAGCATTTTAAAAGATATACAGAGCTTTTCGTTTCAGAGTGAGCACGAATAAAAAGCAAAACTTACTTTAAAGGTTTGCTGCATTGACTGCATCGGAAACAATTTTTGTGCCAGACACTCTTTTCCGCTTTTATCTCTTCCATTTTATACACAATTTTACCGCACGATCGGCATGTTTTATCACCTTCGGTCGAGCCCTAAAAGCAAGTATAATAATAGTAATTAAGTCATCTGTTTAACCATTTCGAAACAGTGAACGAATGCAAAGCAGCGCAAGCAAACAAATTGAAAATGAAGAAAAAAAATGAGAATTAACAACATTAACTCACTAATAAAATGGCAATAACGAATGTGAAAATAAAATGTGGTTAGAAAATATAAATTTGATTTTCATGTTTAGGTGTGTGTGTGTGTATTGTATGTGTGTTTGTGCATATTTTCTATCAATGTTATTTTGCGTGTTGTCTATGAAATGGCAGTTAGCGCACCATAAATGATGAATGAAACATTTACATTCAATTTGACACCTTCATCATTGCGTACATTTTTCAAGTTTTGCTTTTGCAATGCATCAAATTTACTAAAGCTTGATCTCTAGAAGAAATCGAACAGAAGAAAAAATATACTGATCATAAATACATAAATCATAAAGAAAAATAAAATGAAGGAAAAAGAGAAACTAAATGGCAGACCATACAATTTCTATTTGTTCTGATATATATTTATTCTACATTTTTGCATATTCTACCAACAATCGGTCAATGAATGTTTTCTTTGTTTTTGGCGGCTTCGTTGCGTTCATTTCAAACGATGAAATTCAAAAAAGTATAAAGAGTACACAAAAAAAAATGTTTCTTTTTTTTCTCTGTTCACAACACTTGTCACTTGTCACTCAAAGAGAACATAAATTGACCCCATAACTTGAATTCAAGTGATAAATGTCTAAATTCCCCACCGAAAATGTTCGAAATAAAATTAAACGTGCTTTGAGAAACTTACGACGGATATGTTTTCCTTTTCGTCGACTGACTTTTTCGATTTTTTACTTTTCTTCTTTTTTTCTGTTCCATTTTCTGACGATTTCTTTTTGTTGCTGGACTTCTCTATGGTTGTTTTTTCGCTCGTAACAACAACTTGTTCATCGCCTTTTTGAGATTCGCTTTGCTGCAGAAACAAAATGAAAAGCAAGAGAGAGAAAAATAAGGAACCAAACTAACGAACACACAATGGCATTGATTAAAATAGACCACATTTTGCTTCTATTTTTGATCAAACTCTTTAAATTTATTCGAAAATCAATTTCCCACAAAAAAAAAATACAATCAAAATATTAGTTGAATGAATTAGGAGAGAAATGAATTAATAACCGAATGGTGTTACACTTACATCCGATTCAAAACTGTTTAGTTGGGTTAGACTGTGTTCGGATTCGGTAATTGCTTCATTTGATGCATAAGCTGTTGATGTGTTATTTAAGCTATTATCGATCGATGCATCTTTCTCGCTGAATTCATCGTCCTCTTTTGTTTCCGTGCAAATATTGATTTCAGTTTTATCGTTATGTGTATAAATTGTGGTAGTTTGTGGGCTAATTGGGTTACAGGTCACGGAATCGTTAGTAACATTTATATCTACATCGGATTCTATATTAGATTCTATGACGGGGGAATCATCTTCTTCGATTGTTTGATGAAAATAAGTATATTTTGCGGCTGGTTCATCGTTAGTAGGCTCGGACCTATCGTCCGCTGGTGTAATGGCTAACTCAGAGGTAGTAGCAACTCCTTCAATATCGTCTTCACCCGATTTTGATGATTGTTTGTATGTATCAAAATCTTGACTGGGCTCATCGTCCGTTGGCGTTGCAGTTGTCGATTTTATGGTTTGCGAGAATATTGCTTGAATGAATGTATCATCGGATTCATAGATTTTTTTCTTTTTACTCGATTCACCATTCAAATCCATTTTTTCCGAATCATTTTCACATTTTTCGTCTTGCACTTCGTCTTGTATTTCGGTATTATGGTCATCGGCGACCGCATTTGTAACGACCACATTCAACAATGGCAATTTTAAGGACATTCTTTTCTTTTCGCCATACTCATGGGACTTAAGGTTTTTGTCATCGGTTGTTGGAATGACATCACCATCCCCAGACGATGGATACGTTTGCCCGTTCATTTTTGAGAAAAAAAAACGTGTACTTTTTGTTGATTGGGTCGCGTAATTGAATTGCTTTTAATCAATTTCAATCAATATATATTATTTGTAAATGGTTGCAAACCAAATTGTCCGTAACGTCAATATGTTTCCAAGTTAATTCTTAACACTATTTGTTTATTTGGTTTGGGATTGGTTAGTAAAATGTTGTGGCGTGGAAAAGAGAATGGATGAATTAATGGCGTTCAAATTGCATTTAATGGATTTGGTTCAGCACTAAAGTAATTGAATGTGAAAATGGATAAAAAAAGAGGTAACTTACCACTTCCTGTAGCTGTTTCTTTTTTGAAACCGTTACTGTTTTTGTCGACGAAATAGTTGATGTTGTGCTTACACTTGAAACTTTTGTTGTTTTACCGGTCGATCCAGATACAGACAAAGACATGTTTAGTGCTGTCGGTTTTAATAATAACAATAGACATAGAAAAAGAGAAAAAGGAGGGGTGAAAATAATTGTTTTATAAATAAATCAAGACACAATATTGATCGATTATTATTATTATTATTATGGATTTAGAATCACAAATGTTTGTGTCGTATTTCACATACAATCGTTTAAAATTGTTGTATTTTTTAACGATTCGATTTCAGGATAATCGGGAATATCCATGATTGAATTGTTCAACTGAAGAACCGAAAAAAAGAGAGCAGTGTTCAGGTGAAATTGTGAAAATAATTTTCAACACTATTCACTTTTATCAGGTTTTCCGTTTACAACACTGGTGTTTATTTCAGCGCGACTGAAATTTGCCGTCCATTTTTCGGCTGATTGCGTTAAACATTTTACACGCTGAATGTTATTTATAGCGCATTGGTTCAGTGTTTCTTCGACTCACACTTATTGAAATTCTTTATATTAAAGCTATTTTAAGTTTTTATTAGTACAAACATAAAAACATATACGATACAAAACAGCGTAAGCTGCAATCGATTGAAAATTGCCGGTCATTTTTACGATGTTACATCTTTCTCTCTTCACACTCTCTTTCTCTCCCTCCCTTTCACTGTTCAAAGTAAAATGCAATCGAATTTAAAATAAAGAGCAACCAGATTAAATAACTCTCTTTTTTCTCGCTCTTTCCGTAATGCTTTTCTTTACTTAGGTAGATGTGTTTTTATGCGTGTATGTGTATTTGAGTGTGCATGACATACGTTGGAATGCAACAGTTCTCGCGTCAAAGTGAGTGATTCAACGATAAATTTTCATGAAATAAATTGCACTTGTCTCAATGTTGATGAAAAATCACCATCGATTCCCTGATATGTGCTTCAACAACACCCAATTGCTCTAAATTTATGTAAACAAAAACTATTATTCACACTCGTTTTCAATTCATATTCGCAACGAAAAAATGTTACGTATTTTTCGTCAGACCTATATTTAAATAGAAACTCACGTCAACATTGCGCCTTTGCGTTACCCATATGAATAAAAATGTATCATCATCATCATCAAACATTTCTTTTTTTTTGTTGGTGCTGTTGTTGTTGTTTCTTTCGTGTGATTAAATGATTACAAAAGAGAATTCGCGATTTGAATACCGTAACGCATATCATACTATGTCCGTGTTAATATACTATGAAAACATTTGATACATGATATGGCAGAGCGAGAAAATGAGAATATAAATAAAGAAAAGAATAAAATGAACGATGTCGATGCCGCACGATGAATTTAGACATTTTATTCGTGTGTCATATTGTAAATATACATGTGTGTCTGTGTGAAAATGTATGCCGGATAATCCCAGCAATTGAGGTGTAGGTAGGTTTGGTATTTATTTGGGTCAAATATTTCTACATCTCACTCTATCTCTCTCTCGTTTTGAACTCAATGAAAACCATGGTACGATGTACGTATGTGCATCAAGTATGTGTTCACTTCCCTGCCCATATTAATGATTCAAATGATTTAGTTGGTATGGAAATGACCACTTCAAAGCGGTTACGCTACATAATCTATTAAGGACATAATATCCATAAGTAACATAATTGCACGAATTTGTCGAGTGAGTTAAATTTTTAGTTCGGTCACCACGACAAAAACAACAAAAATTCGAATATGACTTCATGACGCTCTGGCTGTCTGAAAAAGGAAATCTATCATCTACAAAACGTAATTGTCCCGTCTCGTACAAACCTTTTCAATTTGTAATGCGCTATCCCGAAATCCAAACGATTTGTATTGCGTTTATATAGTTTTATACGCACATATATCTATATCGATGATGCGAGTGAGTGAGTGTGTGTGTGTGTCTGTATGTATATACACTGAGAATGAGACCAGACAATAAACCACAAATCAAAATCGAATACCAAAATATTCGCGTAATTAACACTGTTCGGATCGTCGGCAATTAGTTTATCGAAACGAAAACGATTGCAATCGGAAATTGTTTTTATTTATTTATTTATTTTTGTCTATTTGTTTATTTTGTGGTGAGTTTTCGGGCACGTACTTAAAACACTTTTTGTTACATTCAATTTGATTCTATTTTGAAAAATTACTAAAACTGTTTTGAATGTAGACACATCACCAACGTAAATCGTTTTAACGTGTTCGATGGCAGTCACAAAAGTTAGTGCACGAATATTTGGGAGCTCAGTAATGTGTATCCAAAAAGGAAGATGTGTATACATTCCCATTCAATATGAGAGGGAAAGAGAGAGAAAAAACGAGGAATAACAAATTGAATGTAGTATTTTATCATACAACGCTGTGTCCACTAGGTAGGCGAATAGAGATATATACGAGACTAAATGCATACATAAAAGCTATGTAAAAATAAATTGTGCGCATTCGCACAACGCAATCGGGATAAATGAAAGATAGAACGATGTGGCGATATGTAAGTTTCATGACATATAGCATCGAATTTACGAATTTATTTTTGTGCATTCCATCGAAAAAAGCAATAGGGAATACATATATGTATATGTATATAAATATTAAGAGATTGCTCCCAGTTTTCGCAGAGTTTGGTAGCATCAACGACCGACGACAACGACAACAACGAAAACATTACACAGAATAGGGAAAATAAGCATCATCCCATCATCCGAAAAAGTGGAAAACAATAACACAATGTAAGAAGCAAAGAAACTAAGAATCACCGTGTTACGTTTTATTACGTTGTGTGGCAAATGAATTTCCCGTTTGTATGTACCATTTTCTGAGAAAATGGGAAACAGTATTGTCTGCTTCCGTTCGTTGAATCTATTGATTCATCAAACAAAAACAAAGCAACAGAGTGTACAGCACAGCAAATTGGGATATTATATACAGACACAAAACCAAAACCACTGCGTACATGGAAAACGAAAAATAAAATGCTTGCAAACAACAGCCCACATATTTTCAACAGTTATTTGTTGTATGATATTATTATATGGTTTTAATAAACGACGTCAAATTGAAGAATATAATGGAAAGACGGCGTTCCTCATTTTCTATCTTCTATTGATTTTTAAGAGTACATAGTACATAGTATTTTATACCACTCAACACGTAAATGTCACGGGCTCCCCCATTCTGAAAGTTTAAAAATAATTTCCGGATATGGAATCTGGGGAGCTAGTGTTGACGAGAATCACATTTATAGAATTTGTGCTATTATAGTCTCCGAACACAAGCTGAATAAAATTCCATTTTTGTCAAAAAAAAACTTCACTCTTTCATGTCTCTCCAGAAATCTATGTCATTCGAAAGATTGAATTCTTCTCAGCCAAAATCACGCGAGCTATGAGAACTACGCCACCGTTTGGTACAATAGAAGAAGAAAAATCTATCAGAAGAAGAAAAATACACGCTCAATATTCAATGTAACAATATAAACGACGGATGAGTATCTTTCGATAATTCAACTTTTGTTGAAAATTGATGAACCGAATTTTATAGATTTCACACTATGGCTATGGGCGAAATGATAAATACTTGTCGATAATATATCAAAAATATGTTATGACAAAAGATTTTTGCAGACGAATACATATATTTCCAGGGAGGATTTCTTTTTTTCAATAAAATTGGCGTTGAGCTTCACACTATTATGTATATGATTAATTTTTTGCTAAGTCATAAATTCTTCAAATTTGCTTCTAGCATCAGTGCTAGTTTTCCAGATTCCATATCCAATTTAGGTTTTTGGTAATACCTGCGCTCCAGTGTAAAGAGTGACTCCTGATGAAATGGTTAATTAGGGAATAAAAGAACAATGAACAGATATTTTTTCAAACTTTTGGACTATTTTTCCACAAATCAAAAATGAATACCAATCGCGAAGTTCGTGTGTTTGTTTGTTATGCGCATATCAAACCACTAATAACAACTGTTCAACAAATGATTTCAAACAATTCAAATAATTTCCATTGACTGCGATAATTTGAACTGTCATCGCTCGATGGCGTGGATATCGTTTCGTATGTTTTAATCTGTCAAAATTACTGATTGCAAACAAAAGTATATGTAAGTGATTCACTTTTTGTGATTTGATTTTATTTAAATGACCAATGATGAGATCAAAATCAAGGATCTTGATTAAATAAGAGAAAATGAAATTCAATAATGCACACATGAAATTCTGTGGTGCATGCATTTTAATTTCATTCGCAACAACATGCTTGATAAGCATTTTACTCACAGCCTCTCCCGGTACGTTATTACTTCATTCCGTATAGTTTCGCTATTTATTTCGATAAAATTCTATCGATTTCAAAAACAAAAATATGAATTATCAAATATCAATTGATTACATAATTTCAGAGAGCTGTGATTGCAGTAGTTCACCGCGTACTGCACAACAAATTCATTTGGATAAAAATGATGTTTCAAATTCAAATGCAAATAAGCCAAAACTAGCAATATTAGTGCCATTTCGTGATCGATTCGATGAGCTATTACAGTTTGCACCGCACATGACAGCATTTTTAAATCAACAATCAATACCACATCATATATTTGTGTTGAATCAAGTGGATCGCTATCGTTTCAATCGTGCATCGTTGATAAACGTTGGATTTGTGTACACAAAAAATGACCACGACTATATTGCCATGCATGATGTTGATTTGCTACCATTAAATAATCAATTGCACTATGAATATCCAAAAGATGGACCATTTCATGTTGCTGCACCAGATTTACATCCAAAATATCATTACAACACATTTGTCGGCGGCATTTTATTAGTGAAACGTGAACATTTTGAACTAATGAATGGCATGTCCAATCGATATTGGGGATGGGGACTCGAAGACGATGAATTTTATGTTCGTATAAAAGATGCCAAGCTACCAGTTGTACGACCCATTAATATTACAACCGGAATAAATAATACATTTGCGTAAGCAACAAATTTAGACTCTCTTTTTTCCAGTGCCAAAAATTAACGAACCAAATTCACATTACAGACATATACATGATCGAGCACATCGCAAACGAGACACAGCGAAATGTTTTAATCAAAGAGAGGTGACTAGGAAACGTGATCGTGAGACCGGACTGTCCTCACTTAATTATAGAATAAGCAGCATAAATAAATTACGAATCGATGATGTGGTTAATGTAACGATTGTTAATATTCAATTGATTTGCAATCATCAAGAGACCCCATGGTGCGACTGTAGTAATGAAAAGAAATTATAGACTAAAAAACATTTTGATTGACATACGATTCAATAAATTCGTCAAAATTTGTATTATTTAAAGCATCTGTCTGTCTATCAATTTTTCTCGCCTGTATCTGTATGGTAAGTATTTCAAATAGAGCTTCACAGAAAATAGAAGATAAATAAAACTCAAAACATTGTCTATGTAAACTATTCATTTATATTTTGGTTGGAATTTTAAAATTGCATCGTTGCAATGCACTTATTTAACAATTCAGTCGATTTTTTCTATAATTGATTTTGTCCTTTATTCTTTTAAGTCAATGTATTTAATTTGGTAATTTGTTAAGTATGATAGAACTTTGAAATGAAATAAAATAAACAGTGATTCGAATTGAATATTGCAAATAGCAAATTCAACTGAGATGTTTTTCATTATTTCAAATTCAAAACTCTATCATGTTCAAAAACACCATTTACTCATTTCCAACTCTTTTTCATAAATATACAACACAATAAAATCTAAACAATTTACAAAAAAGAATCTCTACATAAAAAAATATAACAATAAAAAAAGTCGAGCAAAATCAATTCAGACAAATACGTGTGTATTTCTACTAGATTTTTGTTCAACAAGAATAACACCATCATCACAATACACTTTATAGTATACTCATCTGCAATTAGAAGAACTTGACAAAAAAATGTTTTTTTTTTTTTGTAGTACATCGATTAAATAAATATCAATAAGTTATCATAAATCGCATGCAGAAGACTTTTTTCGTCTTTTTGTCTCAACCTGAAAATGAAAAAGAAATGAAAATAGATTTTTTTTAATAAAAATGAAAACAAAACCGAATAATGTGTAATATCGAAAAGAAATCAACTGGAAAAATCTACAAAATTAATAGTCAACTGTAAAATACATGCAGAAAATTAAATTGTAGCACTCATATCGTCTATACATAAGATAGAAAACGAAAAATCAAATTGGTGGACGAACTATAGTTATATAGTTAGATATAGATGTCTATTTGTATGTTGTATTTTCTACGTAAAATGTGTATTATTTGTTGCGCTCTAAAATTCTTAAAATCGATTGAATTTTTGTGCGTATAATCGTGATCTAATTACATGATCAACAACTTGGTTCTATCATTATTATTAGTATTATTATTGTGGTTAATTTCTGTGCTTTCAATGCTTGTGCATTTGAGCAAAATGTTTTTGTATGCTGTTGAGAATGATATTGCATATCCGAGCAAATGTAAAAATGTTTATATCTCTGTGTTTTCATTTCCTAATGAAACTAAATCAACATAAATATTTTCTAGAATCTATTGGTTATAAATTTAATATAGTCTCTTCAAATTTGAGCATATATATCAATATAAATACTTATGTTTTGTGCACTTGAGATAGTGTGTAGGTGTGGGCGTGAATATGTAAATTTGACATTTTTGGATTTGGTACAAAGGTGGAGAGTTAAACAACATATTCTTTATCACTAATTACGCGAATTCCGTGCGATGTGAATACAAACTGAATAAGATCGTTTTGGCTACGTTTCGTAGTGCTTGGCAAACATTCAGCGCTAAGTGTATCACTGGATTTGCCAGTGACATGATCATGGTGATGATCGGTATCATTGATACCGTTGGTTAGTTTGTCTAGCTGATTATCGGATATATATTCGATTTTCTTTTCCAGTGATTTATTATCGGGTGAAAGTGTGATTGTGCTTATTTTACAGACACCCACCTCATCTTCATGATCGATCGTACGTGTTCCGTTCATATCTGTACGAATTTGAATGGCTTGACCAGGACGATTGAGTCGTGTTTTTTGACTATTTGTCGTCGACAATAAACGTGACCGATCACCGGACGGACCATCATCACTATTGGCGGATGCGCTCGTTGCGCATTTCGAAGACTTTTTTGGCGAATTATCCGTTTCATCCATTGTTTCATAATTATAATTGGCTTGATCTGTTTTCTTAATATAATTGTCGTTTATATAATTTGGCGATAACGGTCGCACCAATACAGCTTCACTCTGACTCGGTGTCAAAATATGTTTACTGAAATTAATAAGAAAAATTCGGTTAATTTTGGGTGAAAATAAAAATAAAACTTTTTACAATGTTGAGAATGAAAATGAGTCCTTACCTAGAATCAGCACCGTACAATTTTTGTTGTCGAAGATATTCGACCACATTATCATCAAGCATATACTTGACAGAAAGACCACGACGCAAATATCGACGCGCTAACGTTGAACTAACCTCGTTTGGAACCCAATTTGTCACGATGTCGATTTTCTTTTTGAATTTGGTCAACAAATCAGACTGAAAGATAAACTTTTCGGGACAATTTCCGCTTCGTGATATCACCACAATACCGTGCTCTCCAAGAATGGCTTCGATCTGAAATTGATGACATTTTACGAGAATTTTTCAAATGAGAGACAGCTTCAAGAAACACTTTTTTAAGGAATAAACTTTGGTCTTGGCTTAATGAATGAGATTCATTGAAAATCAATATTTTTTTTCTTTCGGCTTATTTTCACGGATGATGACTTTATACATTCCATCCGTGTTCGTTAAATTAAGCTTGCGAATATAGATGAATAAATGCATTAAAAAAGAAAATAAAATCATAAAATGGATTTACAATCAGACAGAAATTGTATGGTAGAAAATAAATACGATCAATCAGTTGCAAGCCTTCTGTTTCGACAGTGAGCCTTTTCCTTCGTGTTGTTTGAAAATCAATATAATAATTTACATACATCATCTTCTTTCCAAAGATTTGGCGTGGCAAATGATTCCAGCAAATCGGCACCACACAATAGTTTGACTTGTACTCGGCTTCCTTTGTACTTGTAAATGTTAGGTGGTAACCAACTGGGTATGGTTCCATTAACTCCATTCGATGTTTTATCGTTCAAAATTGAATTGATGTAATTCTAAACCAAAAAAAAAGAAAATGAATTGAAAATGCATTCTAATCAGAATATTTTCCTCTTTTTACCTGATGATATTGTAACACACAACGTGTACGCGTCCAGTCAGTTTGTTCGTTGCATTCCCAGTCTGATAATCGAATCCACTCAGATGATTGAATTGATATTTTAACCATTGCGCATCTGTGAAGACCAGCAACCAAGTCAGGTTTTCGATATGAATCATGGACAGGAGACATAATGCCACCGATAACTTCATACTCTTCTCGTTCGCGAAATTCATCACGTGCAATTTCTATCAGATAAACAAATCACAAATTTATTCTTATATAATTTGAACGACATCAATTTTATGTTGTTTATTGAGGCACAAATCGAAGTAAAAATGTTCGTAACAACTTTCACACTCTTCGATAAATTGCATTTTATCTTTTTGCAGAATATGTTGTAATTGTTCTTTTTTTCTTTTTCAACATTTTTTTTTTGCAATTTCAAAATTATTGATTAAACAAACAATTATAATTGTCAATCACATCATCTTGTTGATAAAGCATACATATAATGTGATTGCGTGTATGTGTGTCTAGCGTAATAAAATATCTGCAATGAAATATTATACGTACCGAACATTCTCAAATGCATTGGAGTGGGAGGATTGAATGAGCCACATGCTAAAAACATAATTTTCTTTGACGACACCATGTTTACACCACTATAATTTAACACACTCTAGTCACCAATTATGCGTGTTTACAAGAGAATTTTTTGTTTGAATTTAAATGTAAAAACATGATGTACCCTTTTTGGCAAACGCAAAATGCGCACTGTTTCGAACTGAGTCGAGAAATGTCAACAATATACTGATTTGCTACTATGGGAATTTGTCTATTTTATTTGACTTTTGTTTGATGTATAAATCAAAAGGAGAAGAAGAAAGAAAAAAAAAACATTATCTGCACAACACGTGGTGCCATCTATCGAATTGTTGGCGAAACAATTCTACCGCGTACTAGGATGGAATTTGAATATTTAGAATCAAATCAAAATGAAAATTATTGCATTTAATTCGGTGCTATTGAATCGCATATCAAATTAGGTTTCATAAAAGTGAACGAATTGGTTGAAGTGCGTATAAGTGTAGATGGTTGCTAACTGTGCCAACGGTTATTTGATATTGTTGTTAAATACTATGGCTTCCTATGGCTAGTGCTATACTTGCGTGTACGATTTACGCTTGTACGAATAGTAAACTCGATTATATATAAAGATATGGTTCCAATTCTAATTTCAGCTCTGTTGCCATCGCTTCAATTTATTTCCACTTTGGTCAAAATGATATTTAGAAAGCCACATTTCAGTTTGTCATTCAATTGAAGTTACATCGAAAATGTATCCTGGAATAAATTCGTTGTAATAAATCGTTTCGTTTGCCATAAAGTAGAAGAAACCAAGTGATCAGTGAATATGGAACGAATATTACCCCAAACATTTCAACCACCGTCATGGACAGACCGAGTTAAAATATGTGTAAAGAAACTGTGTCGCGTTCGTGGACTAAATGTATTGTTTGCTACACTTTGTATTATTGATCTATTCGGTGTGTTCCCAATCGTTGCATTGCCGGGCGCCCTAATTTCATGCGGTAAAATAATAACGGACATTTGAAATATTTTCGTGCATTTTCGATGCATCCATTTATTATTTCCACGAATTTATCTAGGTTACTACGGTATTCCATTGCTAGTATTTGTCCTTACCATACAAATTTACACGGCAATCGTATTGGGACGTTGTTGGATTATTGCCGAAAAACTCGATCCAAATATTATCGAGAAGAAGCGGTAAGGATGATGTGATAAATCGAATAAACAAATTGTTCTCATTCCATTTGATTTGATTTTTTTTTTGCAAGAAAGAACTCCATATGCTGCGGTTGGTGAATTGACTTATGGCAAGCGAATGCACATTTTTGTGAATATTATGCTGAATATAACGGTATTTGGTGCAGGAATTCCAAATATTTTAGTCGGTATGGGTGGCAATAATTTAAGCATTTTTTCAATTTTTGTCATAAGAATTTCAAGTATTTTACTTATATGTGTATCTTTTCAGCTTCACAAAATCTACAATTGATTGGTCAACGCATTAGCGATGATGAATTCCAGTTTTCATTTTGCTACTGGTTAATTGTGCTTGGCTTTTTCATGTGTCCGATTATGTGGCTGGGAAGTCCAAAGAACATGAAGTATTTCGAATATTTCCAATTGACAAAAAATGTTCAATTTTAATTTTATGCAACAGTATTTTTTGCATTTGTCAATAGAACAATTGCGAGCATATCGGTTGTGACTGTTCTCACCGTTTCAATTCTTATTTGGATCAGTATTTTGGACGATGATAGCGTTTCAAGTGAATCATTTGTTGGAATTAGTTTGGGTATGAATATGCGATTTTGATAAAAATTGAATAAATAAAAAAATAATTCTATTGTTTAGATCAACCTGATTATATTATGATGCTAAAAGTGTATGGTATGATTGCATTTCAATTTGATATCCATCCGATGTTAATGACTATTGAAGTCGATATGCAAAATAAACGTGAAATTGGAAATGCAGTTTGTTACGGAATAGCAGGTACAAATAGCATCATTCTTTGCTTTTGGAATTTTATTGATGCGACAAATTTCAATTTGATTTATATTTAGTAACATGCACTCTGGCCGTAATCACAACAATATTAGCAGCCCATCAATATGGCATAGCAACGGCGGCAAATGTTTTGGAAATTTTACCCAACAGTAATTTATTGTATGCGGTAACATTGCTGGTGACGGTGCAATTATGTTTGTCACATGCCGTCGGCAGTTCGGCACTCTTTCAAAATATCGAAGAATATTTACGCATACCAAGAGGTTTGTTTGTGTTTATAAGCCGAAACGCTGCTCTTTTCCGCATAAAATGTTAATAATTTTGTTGTTGTTGTTATTGCATTCCATTTATAAAAGACTTCAACTTCAAGCGTTGCATTCTTCGGTCGATAATAATTGCTTTGGCGGTTACCATTGCTGAGTTGGTGCCACAATTTGATATGGTCATGGGAATTATCGGTGGAACACTAACTGGTCCAATGATTTTTATATTACCACCACTTTTCTATCGTCGTTTAATTCGAATGGAAAGGGATTTTGATGAGCAAAACGAACGGGAGACCTTCAATCAACTAACCATTGCCAATTCGGATGATGATATTTTTAACCAACGTGATTTTCAGCATCGACACGACGATAACTATGGAACATTTGCCAAACAACCGAAACGATATATCGCACGTTCCGATTTTAATTTATGCTTCTGTACCGATTCATTTGCTTGCGATTCGTTAATTTGTGTGTCGGTTATTATTTTTGGATTAATTGTCACAATCACTTCAACATACTTTAATTTGACGACGGTATTGAATAACTTTGATGATTTTAGGTCACCGTGCATTCAAAACATAAGTGCATCATTCGGTGAACTTTGAGGTGGTTTTTTTCATTTTTAAATTTATTTTGATCAAATGTCTTTGTAAAAATATAAATAGCGATTTACAAGCGGTAATAAACGTAGTGCCAAAATAAGCACAAATTTATGCTTGAAAAAAAAAAAACAACAACAAAAAAATTGTCACACCCATATTTGTGTATGTATTTTTAATAATTTGTTTTCCTCTTCAGAAGTATAAAATAATACAAAACAAACAAAAAATTGTCATTTTCTAGAAAATTATAAATCAATTGTTTAAAAATAGAGTTTATTTCTGGTTATGTGTCGGAGCGACATTGAATGCAGACGAAAAGGTCGAGCAACAGGTACAATAAAACGTGTAATGGATTTTGTTGAACATGCCATCCTTCTCGCGCGATGGATATGCAACACATAAGAAAAGAAAACGCGAATTTATTTTTGTTGTTGTTGTTGATGATGATGTGTAAAGTGCTGTGCTTCATTCATGTGTGCGACGCTGTAACATTGTACGTTGAGCGCAAGCAACTAGTTGATTACAGATCATCGTTTCGTATACATCACGAATAACCAACTCTTTATTATTTATACTACTGGAAGAAATACAAAAGAGGAAAATTCCAGTGTATCTGTGTGTGTGCGTGTGAGAGAGAAACAAATTTGAATACAAATTGTACAAAAAAAATTTGTTGGGTCGGTATTCGAAAGTTTAAGTCGATTCAGGTCTCTGATCAATGTATTATGTCCCCCACTCATCGGAAGATATTTTAATGTGTTGTGATTTACGTCTACCAAACTAAACAAAATGCTGACCAAGGTAACGAAACACAAAATATATATATATATTTATTGTTAACAATATTCTTTGCGATGAGACTTACTCATAACGACAAGTTTTAAGTTTTATTGTTGCATCTCCGCCGCGTGTGCTTACATATGCACGACACTTGTCTCAAGCGTACAATTGAATTTGAAATTTTTAAACAGAAATTCGCAACCATATAATTTTAATCATTGTTCCATTCATTTCGTCATTTTGCTAGTACATCAAGAGTAAGTGTTGATTTTTATTGGATTCAAAAAAAACTCAAACGAAATACACTTTACACAATTTCAAACGAAAATTTATATGAAAACATTATTTATTATTAGTGAAAAAGTTAGAACAAATTAAAGAACAACAGCGGGATTTGGTGGCAATTTAAAAACAAAAATTTAATAAAATAATTGCGTTCTTTTAAATAGCATGACATTATCATTTAACGATAATATAATATTGTCAAGCAAACATTGTGAATGAAGATAGCATTGTCATTGATTTGAAAGAAAAAGCACTTACAGAAGCAATTATACGCCCGAAAACGTGATGATGATCGGAAAATTAGTTTTTTTTTAGAAAGTAATATATCGTGTACTCATTTAAATGTTTCAATGTATGTTATTAAATTGCGAATGACTTATAAGTAATGTGGTTTTTTTATTGCTCAAGTGTCGTAAAATGAATCAACGGAAAATGTAGGGAAAAAATCGATGATTCACTTGCTGATCAGCAGCCAGTTTTATCCATTTTAAGAGATTGTCAAGTACTCCGTAAACTATTGCGAGACATAGAAAAAAACCAGTATTATCATACAAAATGTTTTGTAGGTTACTCTCACAGTGCAGTTCAATTGCTTTCACTCTTTCTCTTTAATTGCCGTAATGTTGCCAATCAAGACGTTTCCGTGCGTGAAGACATCCACATTACCTCATTAAAATACAATCTCGTTACGCAACACTATCTCACTTCAAATCTCATACAATCTTTTTGTATTGCAAAAACAAAATACATGTGGAAACATAAGCAACATAAAAACTTACGGAGAAAAGAATGAAACAACATATCACAGTCCACTGAATATTGAACTTTCCGATATATTTTTTTATGGAAGAACTGGTTTTTTTGTTATTTCAATACGTTGCGTATTTTTTTATTTCATGTGGTTCAAATTTCTCGACCATTGAATGAACTTGAGCTATTAGATGCGAAGCTGGGTTATACTTATACCTGATTTAAAGCATATATTTAAAACATGTTTTCAAAAATATGCAATCATATTTTTTTTTTTCTTCAAACCGGATCAAATGTTTTTCAACCTTCATTTATCTTCGGTGTTACCGGGTTGTGTTTGGCATTCTTCATTTTCTTCATGACAAAGAAATTCAGTTTGTGATTATAAATAAATGTCGATGTCAATGTTCAAGGCCTTTTCGCTCTTATGTGTTATTTACTTTTTCTCTTTTCTCGTATTTCCAATCACTGAATCCTCTTGTAATGCGTTGTTTTTTTTTTCTTTCTTTCTTTTTAAATCATTTTATTTCAGTAGCTGTTTTAACTGAGCAATGGTTGGAATCGATTTTAGTTGTCCGATTGTTCAAATTCTAATCGCACTAGTTGTTACTTCGATTATATTTGCAATATCTGTTCTTCGTTTGTACTGTTTCTTAACACTTGGAAAGTGTAAATCGCGTGCCAAAATGGATGGTAAAACTGTATTGATTACGGGTGCCAATGGTGGTATTGGCCGTGAAACTGCAAAAGATATTGCCAAGCGTGGTGCACGTATTATTTTGGCATGTCGTAATTTAAATGCAGCCAATGAAGTTAAAGGTTTGGAATTTGATTTTTGTTTTAATTCGATTCGATTTTTAAATTAATTTTAATTTGTCTTTTAGATGAAATTGAAAAAGAGACCGGCAATAAAAATGTGGTATGCAAAAAATTGGATTTAAGCTCACAGAAATCGATTCGTGAATTTGCCGCTGATATTAATAAAACCGAATCAAAATTAGATGTGCTTATTCATAATGCTGGTATGGCATTGGCATTTCGTGGTGCAAAAAGTGAAGATGGCATTGAATTGACAATGGCCACTAACCATTACGGACCATTCTTGCTAACACATTTATTGATTGATTTACTTAAAAAATCAGCACCAAGCCGTATCGTTATTGTTGCATCCGAATTGTATCGCTTGGCCTCGGTCAATTTGAACAATTTAAATCCAATCAATACAAAGCCAGCCGCTTATTTGTATTATGTGTCCAAGTATGCAAACATTTATTTTGCACGTGAATTGGCCAAACGTATGGAAGGCACAAATGTAACGGTTAACTCATTGCATCCTGGCATGATTGATACGGGCATCTGGCGCAGTGTTCCATTCCCATTGAATTATCCAATGAAATTGATAACAAAGGGTTTCTTTAAAACACCAGTACAGGGTGCACAAACAACCATTTATTGTGCCGTTTCGGATGAATTGAACAACGTATCTGGCAAATATTTTATGGACTGTAAGGAACATTCGTTGAGCGCAGCCGCCAGTGACATGGACAAAGCGAAGAAATTGTGGGAAGAATCAGCGAAAATAGTTAAACTCACCGAACAAGATCCAAAAATCTAAGCAAATCAATTTTCATGATATTTTAAGTAATTTTACATTTGCTTGACATTGATAAAAAATGAATAAAAAAATGATATTAAAATGAATAAAAACCAAAAATATGCTGTTTTTTCTGATTTTTTTTTTAAATGAAACAATTATTTAATTTATTTTTTTTTTCATATTGTCTAGATCATTTAAATAAATATGAATTTATATTCACAAGCTTGAAAATTGAAACAGCCAAAACAAATAGTTTGTATTAAGTTCTCATTTTGCCGTCGGCTGGTAACTTTTGGCCGAAAAAAAAACATAAAATGGGTAATCAAAGGAGACTCTCGAGCTGTATGCATGCATTATTGGAAAAGATGGGTTAATTGATATATAGGAGAAAGGATATGGATATAATTTATTTCAAGGATGTGGGTGTGGTGGGGGAGAAGGTGACGGTTAGAGATAGAGAGAGTGTGTATACGAACGGATAAATTTTGCATTTACATCACACAGGATACATCAGTTGTAACTTATTTAAGATTCGCAATGACAGCCAAAGTGAACTCATTGGTTGTATTTTGTCCACCAAGATCTTTGGTTCGAACTTTGCCAGCTTTCAATACACGATTGATTGCGTTCGTAATCATATCGCTATAACTGTGCAAATTTACATGGCGCAACAATTTTGTGCTGCACAACAGCATGGCAGTTGGATTGGCAACATTTTTACCAACCGCTTCTGAGAAAGTGTGGCGCGCACCCTGTATAACAAATGAAAATGAAATTAGAATCGTAAACGATGTGGCTTACCGGCTATCTGTACTTACCGGTTCAAAGACACAGGTTTCAGCCGAATATGATGCACCGGCTACAACACCAGCACCACCAACCAAACCGCAAGCAATATTATCGACGATGCTACCGTATAAATTTGGTGTAACCATAACATCGAACTAAAATCAAATGCCAGATGCTATGATTTAATTGTAAATACAAAATGCTAAATATAATCTACCTGATGTGGATTTGATACAAGTTGCATAGTTGTATTGTCAACAATCATCTTCTCGAATTGGATACGTGGATACAATTTCGAGATCTGAAAGATTCAAACATTTAAATGAATTTTTATTCGTAAAGTAATCGACAATTGATGTGTGCGCGTTCACCTCTTCACAGCTTCGTAAGAATAAACCATCGCCGAGCTTCATGATGTTGGCTTTGTGCACACAAGTAACCTTCTTACGATTATTTTTGGTGGCATAATCAAAGGCGAATTTTGCAATGCGCATTGATTTTTTGGCGGTAATAATTTTTAAACACTCAACAACACCATCGACTGATTCATGCTCTAACGCCGAATATTCGCCTTCGGTTTGTTCTCGAATAATAACACAATCAATATTCTAAAATGAAAAATGTAAAACACGAAACGATTATAACTCAACGAGCGGCTCACCACATTCATTTAAATTATGGTATTTACATTATGACGAGTTTTAACACCGGGTAAACTACGAACATGCACCACATTTGCGAATAAATCCAATTCATTACGCAATTTCATGTTCAATGTTTGTAGCTCACCAGTTCGACTGTAGTCTGGAGTGGCCAAAATACCCTGAAAATTGCATCAACATACAATAATTAATAAAAAGTACAAAAATATGGGAGCAGCTCAAAGATACCCGCACCTCTGCGGTGACTCTTATAGCTTCACAGATAAGGTTAAACATATTTAAAAATAAATTGGACTAACCTTAAGACAAATCTTATTTTTTTGAATGGATGCCCTTACATCTTCAAGTTTCGAGCTCAGCACTGGATTAATTTCGGAGAAGAAAAACGTTTCAAAGTCTACAGGAACGTTTGCAGCCTTGAAAATAACACATCAGTATGATTAAAATATTTTGTTCGAAGCTTTAGCTCATGAAGAAAAATCATTTTTTTTTACTTTGAAAACTTCCTGCACGGAGTAGACCAGCTCAGGACCAACACCATCACCCGGAATCAAAGTGCATTTAATGCGCTTTTCTGGTTTTGCGACCTAAAAGACGGACATAAAAGTTCTTTCATCATTATGTATATGCATATTCACGATTTAATGTGCAAAATATAATCCCAAGGACTTGCCTGCTGAACACATGCTGTCGAATGAATTCCGCGTGATGCCTACAATCTCACAGTTTGCATGGAACAATGTAAAAAAAAATTATTATTCATTTAGCATTGAAGATAAAAAAAAATATATAGATAGATAGATAAATATGTATTGCGAATAAAAGATGTCATTGCATAACCTCAATTTATCTATTTCAGATGTTTATATAATCCAAGTTAAAGTCAATTGGATTGAGCAAAAGAAGAAAAAAAAAAGTTTTGTTCGCATTGTGATAAATTCACCTGGTTTAGAGTACGACAAAGTGATCGGGCAATCAAAGACATTTTGGTTCACGTTTTATCGCTTTTCAGCACCGTTCGAAACTGTTTTATTGTAGCAAAGTCCTTGCTGAAAAAAAATAAACAACACAAAATTTTATAATAGAATTAAAACTGTATTTTGATCGAATATAGTTTGACTGTCAGTTGTACCTCGTGAGTAATAGTAATAATTCTCGTCTCATATGTCCGTTCAAAGTGGATATATACGTGCAAATCGAAATGTCATATGATGCCACGATTCTACTACACTTTGTAAAGGCTGAAATTCATTCTTGTACGTTTGGAATTGTGATACTTTGCACGCTAACGATATCTGGTTATGTCCTGATGTAAATATATTCTATTTAAATGAGACACAATCTTCATTTCTTTCTTTTCTTTTTTGTAAAATATCACATGATTTATTTATATATTTTTTTTGCTCCGAAAATATATTAGCGGTAAATTGTAAACATCTGGCATCCAAATATTTTGAAAAGCTTACTTATCGTGTGCAGACTGTTTACATTTATTGACATATCAAACAGTTAAGTGTAATTGTCATTTGAGAAAGGTTCTATTTCGCTATTTGTACTGCGCCACTCTCTTTAATCATTTATTTTGGTTTGGGCACCTTTATCTCTGTCTCACCATTCTACGATTTTCGGTAAAGTATGATTGAGGTTTAATCATAGACAAAAAACATTGTTTGACTCATCAAATAACATCATTTGAATATCTTGCGTCGTAACGTTAAAATAATTATTTTTTTATTTTCTTTCTTCTCAATATAATTGCATTACACTGTCATACATAATTCAATCAAGACCAAAATTAATTCCATAGTGATAACACGAAAAGATAACGAATTCATATAACCAATTATGTCTGTTAGGATTTTAACAAATTTTACTCGTGCTAGCAAAAACAAAATACTTACAAACAATTTTAGAACACTCTTCAATCCATCGCTGCCAATCGACACGCCCACAAATTGTTCACATTTAACACGATCCTATTCCACCAATCAAGCGATGAGATTTATTCGTTTCCAGAGAGGTGACGACACCAAAGTTAATGTTGGATCCCTATCCGATGATGGAAAATGCTTTTTGGCATTCGATCAATCATTACCAAATGATATGATCGAATTGATCAAATCAAATCCAAATGCTGACCTTTTGAAATCGAACAATTGGGAACCGTTAACCGATGACATTAAATTATTGGCACCAATACAAAATCCCGAAAAAATCATTTGCATTGGATTGAATTACCTGGGCCATTGTCAAGAGCAAAACAAAGAAGCACCGAAGGAGCCAATGTTTTTCAGTAAATTTGCAAGCACTATTACTGGACCAACTGGTGACGTGATTTTGCACGCAATTACAAATGTTCGTTTTTTTTAACATATATAACATGTCAAATTTGAATGTTAAATGAATGACGCCCTTATCATTTACCAAAATTTCTTTATCAGCAATTGGACTGGGAGGTTGAATTGGCCGTCATTATCGGAAAAGTGGCGAGAAAAGTGAGCAAAGAAAATGCATTCGATTATGTATTCGGTTATAGTGTTGCTCAGGATATTTCGGCACGTGACTGGCAAAAAGCACGTAATGGAGGCCAATTTTTAATTGGGAAATCAATGGACACGTTTTGCCCACTGGGACCGGCTATTGTACATAAAAGTCTTGTTTCCGATCCACATAATTTAAAAATTACTTGTGACATTAATGGCATTAAAAAACAATCAGGCAATACCAGCGAACTTATTTTCCGTATTGATGATATCATACATTTATTGTCACAGTAAGTTTGTGAAATATACCATCACATCGAATTATGTTTTAGAAATGTCTGTTCTTTGTCTGTTTTTAAATAGATCCATCACTCTTAAGCCTGGTGATGTGATATTGACCGGTACACCGTCTGGAGTGGGTATGCATAGAAAGCCCGCTGAATTCCTTGCTGCCGGTGATGTTATCGAAAGTGAAATTGAATCAATTGGAAAAATTTGCAACAAAGTTGTTGCTGATACATTGTAAACATCAACAAAAATTTAGACAACGATTTTTCGATGGAATTATTAATTGATTGAAATATATAATATTGTTATTCATTTGAGATGAAATAAGATGCGGGTCTTTTGATTGGTTTTTTTCAAATAAAATCTATTTATTTTCTAAACGTTTCATCATCAATAATTCGCTTTAGACAATTCCCAACAAGATAGTGGTTTTGTTAGTGGTTTTTCTGGTTTTGGCATTGGTTTTCGTGCTGCATAATAGTATGTTCGCTCATGATACGGTTCATACAGATCGTCAATGTAGTATTTTGGTCGTTTCCAGAAATTGGTTACCATTTTATCAAGCAGATGGGCTTGCGTTTTATTGACAAGAACGTGTTGTCGCAAACGATGTTTGCGATTGCTTTTCTTTTTGTGCATTTTTTTATGGCGACCACATCGAGTTCGAATCCATCCGCCCCAATGAAGTCGATAAAATCGCTTGATAACCGCCTTCACTGTCTTCCGTTTATCTTTATGAATTGAATGTTTGCATACAGTTCGCACTGGCACCGATTCCAACTGTGCACTAAGCGCCGTTGGTGTAATTTGCTGTGGCAGACATCGTAAATGTTTCAATGCATCCGGAGCGCAAAGTGATTTCGTTAGTCCTGCATTAAAAGCTGTGAATCCTCGATTGGGAACATTTCGCACGACATTTGACTGAAGAGCTCCGGTCGATGAAAGCGCGTGATGGACGAGCGCATTTGTTCTCCCCAACACTGTAAATGACACGAAAATATTGAATGATCAATATTGATGCTATTGCTTTTATACTCAAAACGATTATTTTAAAGTTTATCAATTGAAATTTTACAAGAAATTCTAGAATTTCATTACCAGATCGTGCAACTCGAAACATTTTTTTCTCTCTTGGCCTGATTGTTGGTTAGAGAATTATTTGACATATATGTATGTATATTTTTGGTTAGAAAAATCTACTACGTTTTTTCATTCACTCATTTCTTTCGCTGGCCGTCTTTTTTCAACACACACACATGCATGCAATAGCTGTCAAATGCTAATTCAATGTCAAAATACATCCAAAAATTGTGCAGTTGTCATCAGGTGCGATAAATCGATTCGTTCGCTGAAAGTTGCAGTTTGATTTTTTGATTTAAAAAAAGTCGAATTTGAATTAAGTGAACGGGAGAAAGATCGAACCGAACTCAAACGACTATGATACGGCTTACAATAAATAACAATGCAATGTGGAACAGAACCACCGTAAGTATTTTATACTAGATCCAATACATATGTATGTATGTACACATCTACATTGCCGTATAACCTTAGAATATTTGTAATTGATCGAAATTACCAATGAATTTTCTTCGAGAAAAAAAAAAACTCCGAAAATCTATCAAAATGCAAATGATGTGTTTTTTGATGTCAAAGTCATGTAATGCCAAATTGTCGACTAACAAGTGACAAAATCTTATCATAACGATTAAAGTTTCGTTCACAAATATACATCACGTCAATTACATAATATGATAATATTCGCTGAGTTTTTTTCTCTCTTTAAATTTGCCTTTTATGGATGCCATTTCGCTCACAGGTTTCCAGATTGGCATCGCGCATAAAACAACATAGAAGCATTCACTCGAATCCACATCAACTACAGGAGGCTGGCGTTGGAAAGTATTTGGTGCTTCTTGCTCCTATCGCAGCCGCAGCTGGTGTTGTTGCATATGCAAAGTAAGTCAAGTTCTTTTCGCAACGGTGTAAATTCATCAACGTTTATTCTCATCAATGTAGGTCCGATGAAAAGTTCCGCAAATCTATTGTCGATACAGTTCCAGCAGCGGATCCACTACTGAAGATTTTACTTCAGGAAGAGGGAAATGTTGTAAGCGAAGCATCAAAATCAATTCAAAATGCAACGCAGAAAGTGGTCGGTGTTAAGGACTCCATAGTTGGCTATTTTGGTGACGATAAAACGGCCAAACAAACTGAAAAGCCGGCACCCGTTAAAAGTATTTATAGTCTTGTTCAGTTTCAGTCACATGTTCATTATTTATCACGTATATTTCATTTAACAAGGTTCATCATCATCATTATCGGCTGCTGTGGCATCACCACCTTTGCCATCGATCACAGCACCAAAGCCAACGGCAACATCTGATTCACCGGCTGCTAAAAAGCCATCGGCACCACCATCACCACCATCGTCTGCAGCCGACACCAAGGTGGCAAAACCAAAACCACAAGCCGATCCAAAACCAAGCGAACCCGTAAAATTGCCACCGGTTTTGACACAACCATTACCACAAACGTATGATATTTTGAATATTGGTTTAAAATTTTAAATCTTAATTTTTCACATTTTGCATACTATTTAGATTCGCCGATTTGGAAAAAGACATTGAAGTTGCTGCTCATATTGCTGTCAAGGAATACCAAAATGCAATTAAAATATTAAAAGAATATGGTGAGGATGTGAAAGCGGTTGTGGATCGTGTCATTGAACAATCCGATCATAGTTTGTGGTCAGTTTTAAAGAATAAAACGGCAGCTCGTGATAGCGCCGTTGAGAGCGCTGAGAGAACAGCACAAGCTGCACGAGCCCATATCGATAAATTGGAAAAGCATATAAAATCGGTTGGAAAAAATGTTGCACCGGAAATTATTGAGAAAACACAACGAAATATCGCCGTTATTGCTGATCAATTGAATAAATCCAAAGATTCATTGTACGAAGCAAAGGATTCAGCAAAATTGTCGGAAAAATACTGGAAAAAAGTGGAAGAGGCACGTCACTATTTTGTCGATCAAGTGCAAGCATTGTTTCCCGGCGTTGATTTAAGTGCAAAGAACTTAAACCTGAGCAAAGACGATATTGATCTATTTATTGTTCATGCATATTCACATGTGTTGGCCTATCAAAAAGAATTGCAAAAATTGAATGCCGAAGGTGAGACTCGTTTGAGACGTGCACTCGATGCATTGAAAGGTGAAGATCAAACGGAGGCCGTTAATCGTCAAGTTGAATACCTTTTGGAAAAAGAGAAACAAAAAATAAATATTGAAAATCAAAAGAAAATCTTGCGCATTCAAGCCGAAAGTGAAGGAAAACTTCGTAAACAACTGAAAGTACAGACAGAAGCTCACAGCGATCATTTGCAAGATGCTCTAAGTGAAAAAGAAAAGGAACTTCGTCGTATCTTCAACAATGAGCTCAACGAAAAATTGAGCGTTGAACAATCGGCATACAAACTTCAATTGGCCACCATGTTGGGTAAACTCAAGGGCATGGATTCAGCACTTAAAGGTACCGCCATTCTTTTGAAAATATCTCTCTGAAATAGGTTTTGTACATAGATCATCTTATTTATGTATTTCTTTATTGAAAACGAAAATTTTTACGGAAATGAAATGAAACAAATCGATTATCTAATAAGTTAATTAATATTTCATGTTCATATCATTTTTTCCACAATTGCATCACTAATCGTCTCATTCCATCTAATATTATGCTTAAAGAAATCGAGGGAGAACTACAAGGTTTGTGAGCTTAATTGAGCACAGTTGCTACCTTTCACGTATTGTAGTTTATATATTAATTTTCATATTTAGCTAATTCGGTAGAAATGTAATAATTGTTTCAGACGTATCCCATTTTATATGTTATATTTTACTTTGAATAAGTACATAATAATAATAGAAGTTTTTTGTTAGCTCGTGCCGACGCCGATCGTCAAGTTCATCAAGCGCAAGCCCTTTGGAGTGCCTGTTCAGCATTATGGTCATCAATGCGAACCGTTGACTCAAAACAATCGTGGCAGAACCAATTGAAACCACTGAAAGCCGAAGTCGAAGCAGTCAGAAGAGCATCAGGTAATTGAAATTTGCTTATTTTTGTTTTTGAAGAAAAAACAAATGAATTGAATTTTTATTTTAAAATAGAAAAAGACGAGCTGGTGAATGTGATTTTGGATGCCCTTCCAGAGGAGGCCAAAGCTCGTGGTGTTTATCCAGAGAATGCGATTCGTGAACGATTCCTTAATGTTGAGAAAGTGGCTCGTCAATTGGCTCTTGTGCCCGATGGAGATGCTTCAATTGTTACATACTTTTTGTCTTACTTGCAATCAGCACTGGTGATTCAACCAAAACAATTGATTTCCCAGGCCGAACTCAACAATGAAGCAATCGATTATGCCAAACTAAACACATTTGAAATTTTAGATAGAACGAGGTGGGTATTGACACATTTTTATTGTAAATTGTTTCGAAAGAGGATCGTAGAGTAACATTAATGGCACTTTTTTTTTTGTTTAGATATTGTGTCGATCGTGGAAACTTCACACAAGCACTTCGTTATGCCAATTTATTACAAGGTGCATCACGGAACATTGCCTCCGATTGGATAAATGAAACCCGATTACTTTTGGAAACACAACAAGCAATCGACGTACTATTGGCACATGCAGCAACTAGTGGGCTTGCTTTTCTGTAATTGTAAAAAATAAAATAATTATGTGAATCTGTTTGAATTGTGGTTGACCGCATAAAGTATAACTTATAGAGGTCATTTATTGTTAACGATAAAAAGAAAACAAAAACACAAAAAAGAAAAATCGAATTAAAACCATCTATCGAATACCGAATAAATATTGACAACTGTTTTATTGAAATAATTTGACCTCTTGAAAATCATGATTACTTTTCCGTCAACTTTCCGACCTACAGCCGACACACCAAATTCAATTAGTATAATGAATTTGTAAACAGTCACTATTGTAGTGACTGGTGGGTTACACCACAAAAAAGTGGATTGGACATGTTTATGTATTCTGGTTGCCTTGGTAACGATAATTAATCGAAACATAACGGGCAAATAAATCAATGCCATACATTATTACAATCAATTTAGTTCTAAAAAATTCTCATTCATTGTAACTGCATTGAATTGAATATAGTTTGGTGTCCAAAACGTAAAAATAAAAACGTTTTTATAAAAAGGGAATTTATTCAAAGTGAAATACAATAATATGGCCGAAGAGAGTAACGCTTGGGTATTTGATTCTTTGATTGGATTTTTGCACGGACCGGTTTGGAATGCCCCATTACAAACATTCATCGAGGAAAAGTCATTGAGTAAGCTGATTGCTACAACATAGATAAAAATCAAAAAACATAAATTATAGTAACATTAATTTCATTGATAACACTAAAATCCACCGAATAGTTTTCGATCCGAACGAAACTAGCGATGAAAATAGCGAAGAATATAAAAAAGTCTATGATGAATATAAGCATTTAGTTGATTTCATGCTGGGCAGTTTTATGGAAGAAATGCAAATCACACCCGAACAATTCGAGGTGGCATGCTTGGCTGGAAAGCATACCGCGTCTGGTATTTCATTTCATCAGGGACTCTTTCAACAGGTTTCCTATCTCTTTTTTTTTGTTTTCGTTTCGTTAAATCAATCATGTAAATGACAACAATTATACAAACATTATCACTTTGGGTGAAAGATTTGGGCAGCAAATGACATCCGGATATTTGTGCGTATGATGACCCAACGAAATGTTGAATTACAATTACAAGCATTGGATGTGATTGAGCGCAGACATTTAAATTCCACGGCATCATCGTCATTGGATGACGGTGATGTTGATAATCCGGCCGGCGCAAGTTGTGTCAATGTTAGCATCGATAAATCAATACCCGAACAAGACCAAGAGGAGGAACTGGATGATGTCATTCAAGAGGATGTGAAGTAATTGAATATGATGTCGATATGAATATCGAAATAATGTATTTCCATTCGTATTTGTTGAATCTATTCAAGGAAATCAGTGGAACACGAATTTGACGATAAAAACAGTTTGACGGACACTGAAAAGGATGTGGATAAAGCAATTGCCACGGATGAACAGGTTGCTGATCGAATGCAACGCTTGAATTTATATTTTGAAAAAGAAAATGTAGGCAATAATTGTTTGAATTTTTTTGAATTTATTTATGATTTTCGAAAAAAACTTTCAGAAAGTCGATGTTGATGAAGTCAAATCAAGACAGGAATACTTACGGGCACAACGAGATAAGATCGTTGCGTTAAAGAGAAGAGTGAGAACGGAACAATTGAATGCAAATGCTGAGCGTAATGGACGCCCAACTTCGGCTCAGGCTGCACAACGACTCCTTCTGAATGATGCAAAATTGGGTGACGGACCCATAGAAGCCTCTTTACAACTTCGGAAAACATTGGCCAAACGACTTCGAAACGAAGTTGTCAATTCAAAAGAGTAATCTCACCGCCAACACATTTAATAATGTCGTTTACCGCACACACTCACACGTTTGAAATATATAGCAAAAACACTTGCTTTAAAAAAAAACAAAGAGAGAAATAATATTCTTTTCTCATCTTTTTAACCACTATACTTTTTTACCACTAAAATGTTTTGTTTCTTTTATCATCCGTTTAACAAAAAAAAACAACATCTTTTTGAATATCAATGAAAAACTGTTTGGTTTAAAAAAATCAAAGAATTCATCCACGTACAATTGAAGTGATTTTATGCTGTTGTACATGTATAAGATTTGACGCATATACAGATTGGAGGTTAAAAGTTGGCTGGAACGATCATATGTGATGGCCAAAGGCAGATTCGATTAAAATTAAAATTAAATCTGAAAAACATATAATTAAAGAAACTATATTTTTAATTAATTAATTTTTTTTTTCACTTTATTTTTCTGTTTGTTTTTTAAATTTCTGTTGTTGTTGTTTTTTTATAAATACAATTGTTTGCATTTCAGTTTGTTTTATGTATCAATGACGGCGGACAAAACTGCTTGAGTTAAAAAATAAAGAAATAATTCTAAATTTAATTCGTGTTTTTCTGAAGGACACTATTTATAATTAAATAGCAAAAAAAAACAGATCACTGGGAAGTGTTTATTAAATTTCATCGAATTAGATGTCTTTTTTTTTCTATGGGATAATTTCGATTTAAATTTCAATTTCGATCGATACATATTTGTTTTGTTTAAAATCTTCAATGGAAATGTCGTTCAAATTAAAATGAAAATTAGTAGAAAAATTGAATAAATTGTGACATACATTTTACCGCACACAATGTCTATACAATTTTTTTAAATACATTATGCAAAAACGATTTTAAAAAAATGTCAACAACAAAATGTACAAAATGTACGTGTATGCGTTCAGTTTTACAATGCATTGCTAATGTATTTAGTCGCTGTGTTTTTATGCGGTTTATTTTCGTTTGAATTTAGGTTTATATTTTTGTTTCTATGAATGTATGGAAAATGTATTTGCGGTATGTGGTCACAATTGAATAAAATTGAGCTGTCCAGCTGTCTTGCCTTTTGCTTAAATTAAAGTGAATATTATCGTTCTTTCCCATTTGTGGCTGCCTGGTTTGGTTTATTTAATAACTAAAATTATGCATGATTTTCATTTACATTAAACATTGGGAAAAATGTAAATTTTTTTTTAGTTTATTTTTCCTAAATTTTTGTTTATCGCATTCGCTCAATTGTGAGCGTATATTGTGTTTCTTTCTGTTTAAATTATCGATTTGTTTTTTTTTCATTTTTTTTTTTCTTCATTTAAAAACCCTAAATAACAAAGGGTTTTTTGTTGAAATTCAAATAATTACTCCTTCTTGTATTGTTTTATTTTTCAGTATAATTTCTAATAATATTTATCCATACAATTATGCTTGTTGCATTTTTTTACTCCTTTTATCTCCTTCTCCTTCATTTTTTTCACTTATTTTCATTATTAAATAGACAAATTTCAGCAAATGCTCGAAGATTTTGTGGTTAAGTATTAAAAAGTCGTTAGGTGCCTTCTAGTGTATTTGAAATATAATAATAGCGTGTGATTAAATGCAAAATAATCGCAATTGAAGTAGGCACACACGCATTTTTGATAATGCTCTGACTACTATTACGGATTCATTTTGCATTTAGACTATTTATGTGTCATTTTTCAATGCGGGCAGGCACATGACAAATTTTTAATATAAATTCACACAATTTTTTTTTTAATTCGCTGTCTCCTTCTTTCTCACTTCCTCTCTCTCGCTCTTTTTCTAAAATCTTGAAGCAATTGCTAAATGAAACGTTTGGCAATTTGCCTCAACTATGTTTACGTTATCGATATTTCAATCATTATGATAAGATTGTTTATTAATGTCCAATTTATTCTGACGATACGTACAAAAAATATTTTGTTTGCTAAACAACATTAGCACATATTAAAAAAAGTTTGTTTTGTTTGTGTTTGTGTGTGTGTTTTTTTTTACTTTTATGAAAGAAAAAATGATTGATTTTTTTCTTTGCCTTTTACAATTTTAAACATGTTCATCCTCGTTCTATATATGTGTGGATTGATTTTGAAATAGCTTTAATTGCCCCTATAGATGTTGATAACTGATTGCCGGAAGATGAATTCTATGCGTACCAAACACAGATGAAACGGGTTATTCGATACGAGCCTTTTTCGGTAAATGTGAATTATCGTCATCATCGTCCTCATCTGAATCTCCCTCGTAATCCACCAAACACTGAAACATTTATTTAATTCAAAATTTGATTAAAAACGAATTGTTCAATGGTTTTTTGTTTTGTTTTGCTTAAACTGAACTTCGAGCGATTGAATCTTACCGTCTTCAAGGATACAGATGATGCGGCTTGCTTTGGGGAGTCGTCTGAACTTTCTGTACTTGTATGATTTTCTATCGCTAATGAATTCGAGTCACTCCGATGATTTTCTTCCGAGCTATTGTCATTGAATTCGGACAGAGGCTACAACATTTTGAGGTTAAAAAAAATAAAAATTGTACCAATGCCAAAACAAATGATTCGATTAGATTCGAATGCAATTTGCATTGAGGTACATACCGGTTTCGGCGGGCTTTGTGATTGATCTAATTGTTCCTGATCTGGTTCTGGATCATGTTCTGATTCTTCAGACAATTGTGACGGCCTTTCAGCACTTTCGGCTTCTTGTATTTGGTCTGTCTGATCTTCAATTGGTGAAGATGACGATGGCGAACTGGTTGTATTCGACGAAGGTGATGTATGTGCATTCGTCGTTGTTGTCGTCGATGTCATTGTTAGTTGCTTGCTGGTCGGACCATTCTTTTCGTTAAGATTTTTATCGGCTATACATGAAAATATGACTATAAATATTGATTGAATTGTTGCTTTGTTTTTCTTAGAGCACGAAATCGTCACTTACGAAGAGTCGCTTCAGAAGTATGACTCATGCTCCTCTCTTAACAAATTAAATTCTTAGATTAAAATGATTTTTCCCATTCCCCAAATTCCACTACCAAATTCATTTTTTTTTTTTCACTTTAATTATTAAACAGAGATTGTAATGCTTACTATATGTTTCGATATCAGTTTTGCTCGTTGGAACCACATCTGAAAAATCATCCTCTTCGTTAAACCAAATCTCCTCTTCTTCTTCGAGTTGTCTTTGATCGCGCCGATAACGAATATTTCTGATCATCGGAATACTGTCAAATAGAAATGGTTGATTTTTACGTTATTAAATGTTGAAATTATTATTTGCAGAAAAATCAAAAGTTACCTGTCCAAAATCTTGTCGCGTTCTTTCAGCATCTCTTGTTGTTGATCGTAGCGGGCTTTTATGTGCTTGAATAATTGAACATACTCAATTTCGTCGAAAATTTTCCAAAAATTCTCTACCACATATGTGTATAAACTCCGAATGTCCTCAACTTTGATAAACTCAAACAATTCAAAAATGGCTGACTCGAGCAAATTGTATCTGCCATTATTTCTAATGAATGCGTCTACAACTGGTGCGAATAAATTACCTTTAACTATATGCCTGTGAAATGAACATAAAAAATACCAATTGTTAGAATTTCAATCGAATTTCTACTTGTGTCACTCATACCTATTGTAAAATTCATCTTTAAGTGCTATGATTTTTCGTAGAAGCCTAAGTGCGCCCAATACGAGGAACGTATGTGTGCTTTTCATCAGTACAAGAACTCTTTTCAATAGATCCTTTTGTAGAATGAAATTCTTGATGTGATAAGTGTGATGCTCAACGCAAAATGAAAGCAATTCTAACACCAAACCGAGTAACTGAACTGTTTGATAATCTTCGTTCTGTGGCGTATCACCCATTGTGTTAAGTAGTAGTTGGGCTATTGTGAAACGGACAAAACGTATACCGTTAGGAAAATTGTCTTTTTTTCAAATGGACATTGTCAAATTTAATTTGAAATTGTCATTACCAATGAGCGTTTGTATGCTGTGTTTGTAGAAAAAATTCAGAAAATCAGTTTTCTCTGTCAGCATATTCTCCGGATCTAAAAGTAATCGAATGACTCCCATGAGTTGAACACCTAATTCTGGTTCCGAGTACGACAGCATTTGTTCAATCGCAATATTTATCAGCATTTGTTCCTGTAAATGAAATTAAATCGTAAAACGCTTACCGCTTTAATATTTGAGATGATCTTACCTCATCTGTTTTACCAACTTGTTGCAATGTATAATTTCGCACAATGGTTGGTGAATACTCAACGATTGCCGTGAGTATGTCAGTGGAAGCGGATTTAGTCTTTTGATCTTTCATTACAAGTGTAATTTCAAGTGCTTGCAAAATGCCCAAACAGGTGAGTGTTTTATAGAATGCATCTTTGCTGGGTGGTTGTAAATTTTGTGCAAAGCTACACAATTCTTTCAGAAAGAGCACAATGTCACGTCGCTTTTCATCGGTCGTATTATGATCGGTGAGAATCGAAAATAATTCCACCAAAAATTGTTCGTCCTCCTGTATCAGCGTCACAATTTCGACTTTATTAAAAAATATGAAACTGGCCAACGAATTTAGCATCGCATCTTCAACGAACACTGATGGTGCTGGCAATATTATATCCTGTATGTACTGAACGCGATACGTTTGATGGATTTTCGCAAGAAGATCTTGATTTTTGATGGGAATTGCCTCTCGAAAGCGGGCCAAATGCTTCAAATACTTTCGATGCTGTCGTGGCGGTCCGTCTGTTGATTCATACTCTAAACAACCGACGACATCAAATATCGTGTCTTCGGCAAACATTATTTCGAACAAAGCGTTTTTGTTCAGTAGAAAAATATTCTTAAATATTTCATATAAATGGTGTAGATCAAGAAGGTTCTCCAAATCTTCACATGTGCGAAAAAGGCCTAGTAGTTTCTTTATATAATTCTCTGATTCGATGGCCATGGCCAATTTATCTTTTCGTAATGGCGTTGTCAAACCGTTTGCAATTGTCTCAGCAATATCTTCGAGACGCGACAGCTCACACGGTGGCAACTCAATTGGCGGTGCACTGTCTGACATTTCTTCAAATCGTTCATCTTCTGATTCTTCTACAATATCCTGTGTTATATCAACCGATGGATCTTTGCCTTGGACCTTTTGAAAAATAATCGAAACAAATTCAATATAAATCAATCAATCAATCAATTAAATGACATTATTATTGTATGTAAAAGAACATTGGCAATTACTCACGATACAAATTTTCTCCCAAATTTCATCGCATCCAGCTTTCTCCTGAAAACTAAGCGCCAAGTCGAAATTGTCACCCTCAGACCATACAATCAATGTATCCTGCTGCTTTTGATATGCAGTTTCCGGTTGAATTTTACTCTCAAGCAATAGCGAACCATCTGCTTCGGCACGCACCAATAGTGATATGCCCTTCAATCGGTCCACATAGTTTGATGATACATGGCCAGTGCCTCTGTCGTCCCATTGACGCTCAGCATTTAATGCGTATAATTTAACACGTCGTCTCGTATCCGTAGCCATATTTTTGATGAAATACGTCTATGGATACGGATGCAATTGGTTTTTAATTGAACTTCGCTCTCTCTCACACGCTCTCTCTCTTTTGGCCGGTGTTCGTTCTTTTTTTTATTATAAACTGAAAAACGACAGTATAGAAGAGTGATTTTTGTCAGTTTCGGTGTTGATGTCGTCTTAATAATGCAGATAATAAAACGGTAATCTCATTGAGTCAACAAATATTTGCATCTTTACAAATGGAAAATGTTGTCAGTCCGATTGGCTAAAGATGGTTCCTTTTTTTTATGTATGAATGATGAACAGAAATGAGCTATATTTTGTAAGAAGAAAAAAAAAAACAGAAAAACAAAACATCCTAATCATTAGTCAGAGTATGACAAAGTGTTCAAAGTCAAATGTAAATATAAACACGTTACAAGGAGTGAGCGAGAAAATGATAAGTGTTTGTCCACATATGAAAAGAAGCGGAGAAGATCGATTTGCAATAAACAATTGCATGAAAATGACATCCGGATATACAGAGACGCTACATTCGACAATTTTATATAGTTTGATAGCAATGAAAAATTCGACACTATCACACGATATGTTGCCAAGAATCTCCCGTCAACACACGAATCGTAGTTACAAAAACATTGCACAGCACAAAGACTTTACTTACAAAAACGAAGAAGAAGAAGAAGTAAATGTACAAAAAGAAAATTGTGAAAAAAATATAGAGGGCGAGAGAGAAAGAGAGGGAATAGAACGACTTTGCGCGTACTACATAGAAATTTTTCACTGTGTACCATAACCAATGTTCGATTTTTAATTGGTAAAGTAGGTAAATGTGTGAGAGTGAACCTTCTTCGTATGGCAGTAGAGTGAATAGTGCGCGCGGCATCATCGTCTACAAAATACTACTAGTATATGTGTGTTCTGTATGTACTCTGTACACAATACTAAAACATTCATACACAACACAAAAATTGTGTAGTGAAAGCTGGCTGTCGCGAAGAAATAAAGCGAATTTGGCAAGTAAAAAATGACTCCATCTACTGTTTATCAAACTTTTTTTACTCTAATCTATTCAATTATGATCACAATTATTTGTTTTTGTTGCTAAAAAAATCATTTTCGATCTAAGTATGCGGCGACTTTTTTTTGTAACATGGTCTTTGCCAAGCGCCCATTGATTAACAGTTGTATATTCGACACATTGTGTGTCTACACTATATTTATGTATGTATTTTGAATGTATGCGAAACGTATACTTTCTATAAATGTGTATAAATGTTATTGTGTAATGTACAATAGGCGTAAAGTGTAAATATATAATTGCGTGCTGTTTCTTTTTTTTCTTCATTTTTTTTATTCATATTTCGTTTGAATGTAATTGTACGAAGAAAATCAGTATTAATTTTAGTTTTATACACACACTGCGATCAAAAAATGCATATTGAAAGAAACTATGAGTGAATAAGAGAGATATACACACACGATGAGCGTTTCTTTGGAACAATAACTGGATGGAACATTTTCTTGGTCCAATCAACTAAATTAACATGAATGCAACATTATCCAATTGAAATTTGTTCAATTTCCTTATGTATCCACCTTTCCACTTTTCAAAGTGAACACATGCAAAAAAATAAATACTCAATATTTCTCTTTCGCTCTTGTTCTCTTTCACTTCGTCTCAATCGGTGTGTGCAAAAAAAACGTTCAGAGAACAAAAAAAAAACGTCTTGAGTTTTATTCGTATTTCTTTTCGATGATTTTTTTTTTGCTTACACTATCAACCATTCAATATCGCTGTTGTTTAATTGCTCGATAGTTTTGCAGAACATTTCATCGCGTCATCGACAGGATGAAATGACCGAACAAACAAACGTTTGAAAACGTGAAATTGATTGCATTGAAATTAATTAGATCCTTGTCTGATTTGTTTTTTTTTTTTTAAATATATATTCTGGCTTTAGTGTACACCACACTGTCTTTTCCACACATCAACGCACATGTATATAGATATATTTATCCAAACACTTTTTCATCGACTCTCTCCGATTTAGCTTGCACAAAAAAAGAAAAAGAATTCGTTTCGGTGTAAATTTCGACGATGTGAGCAAATGCAAACAAAAACTCTTTTTCTCGGATGGATGTAAAACATTCACGTTGGTAACATGCAACTTAAATACTATTATTATTATTAACAAAACATTAATAGGCTTCAAAAAAAGAAGACCGTGGCCAAAATTACTTTTAAAGTTTATTCTGTTTGTAGATTTTTTTTTCTCTTTGCTGTCGCTGCAATAAATATGTGTGTGCTCGTCGTATCCAACAGATTTTTCTTCAAATGAAAAATTTCACACTTGATAATGAACGTAACAAATGTATTTCGAAATTAACTTGAAATTTAACGACTATTTATGTGGTTCACAAACGGAATTATAGAGTTAATTTAAACTAATAATTTGCATACTTTAATTTATCTGGTTATTCGAATGAATTACACGAATCAAAAGAAATAAGTTACAAAACGCCATTTTGTTTTTAACAACGCGATGCGATCGGAATGAAAGAAACAACATACGTCGAAACACATAAGTATACTGTATAATAAAACTGAAGTAGTAGATTTCAAGACACTCACACATTTCCAAAACCGTACAACACATGCTCATTTTGACCATTTCACACGCACACACACGTGCACACACAACACCACTTTGATTTTGATGCTCATGAGTTTAACATACGATATACTATTGTTTTTGTTTGCTTGTTGTTATGTTTTGGACTTTTCGTGTTCGTTCAACATCGAACAAAATATGACGTCACACACAACAGAATCGAATGCAGTCGCATAATATGTGTGTGCGTGAGTAAGATTATTTTGTACTTTTCCAATAACATCGCTTTGAATCCAGCCATGAATACAGTTTTATGTTATAGTACGTTGTTTTGGTTTTGGTGCCTGTTTTGACATGTCATGAACATGAACAAAATTGACTGCATTTATTTGTTTATTGGGGTTATGTTGGTTTTTTAAATGCCGAAAAAAAGACAATTCGACAAAAAAAATTGATCGACAAACAACATGGAAACAATTGGCGAACAGTTTTTTGAAACAATCGGCGGTCTGGCTATACGTTTTTGTTCATTTTCAAGTACAAATACCATCGAAATTCTAATTGAAAATTTAGAATTTACGAAAAATCGACGAACAATTATTCAACATATTCTGATCACTTTAGTTGTTTGCATCGCTTTCAATATTATTATTTATCAGAATGCAATTTTAGTTGCATTGAATATTGTTTTCTTCGTAACGATAGCTACCAAATGTTACCACTTAGTTAAATTAATCGAATTTGGTGAGTAAATTTTCGTCAGTAATGTGAATATATCTGTGTGTCACAACGTAACGGTAACTTTTTAATGTTTCCGATTTTTTTTTGCTCTCTCCAAAATGTAGAGAAATTGCATGTTATTGATGGCCTAAGTTTGCAATACACCACAAAGTATTGTTTCGGAAAGAGGCACACATATATACCGATTGAATGCATCCATGATATTATCATCAACGAGGTCATTTTTGGAGTAAGTTTTATTTTTCGATTATACAAAAGATATGATTTAAAATTTGTATTTGATTCTCAGTTTCGAACGATCTATATCTTACAAGTGCTGACGAAGGGCATTCAATTCCAACATCAACCCGTGATTCCATTGTTATCGGTTTGTTTTATTTCCAAAATCACATTTAAAATCTTCTAACTTCTGTTTTTTTACAATTTCAATAGGAATTGAATCCAAGGATTGCGTGCATTCATATCATTTACAACCTACTGCGAAAAAAGATCTCAAACATCGAAGAAAATCGATATAGTTAAAATAGGATAATTGAAAAAAAAAACAACAACTCTTGTGATACAATTAAAATGCCAAAATGAAACAGCTCGCAAAAATAATTATCTTTTTTTTTCTTGTTCTTGGGGTAATTTTGATATGGGTGGAAAATGTGGAATCACGCTGGTAACTAAATTCCGAGAAAATTATGATATATTATTATACAGGGTGGGCCAGTGAAACTGTCCTTTTTATATATGCTTAAAAAATGAGTTTTTTTGTACTAAAATTCAACAAAAACTTTATTGGGATTTAGAATAGGGTTCAAAATTTTAGATTCTTGTTTTGGTTTTGATTCTTCTTCCATTTGCACGGACCACCAAACGCAAACGTCGTAAAAACGCCATGACACTTGACAGATTTTGAAATCGTTCAACGACTAAATCACCTTCAGGAATGTCCTCAATTGACACTGCATAAACGCGATCATTTTGCGCATTGAGCTACTTGGCTACAAAAGGAACAACTTTTCGTCTGAAAAAAACAATGTTTGCTTATTTTTGACTGTTAATCCTTGTTTTCGGTTTTATTTTGAATGGTTTCACTCCCAAATCTTCTTTCAACACTCGCCGCATTGAAGTGTAACTGATATTGTGCTCACGAGCCAAGATTCTAGCGCTTCTTTTCCTATTTCGACGAATTTTCACTCGTATTTTTTTGACCAGATCTTTTGTACGTACAGATTTTTTTCTGCCTGGTTTTCGCTTCACATCGACTGTTCCACGCTCCTTGTATCGTTTTATAGTGCGCTGAATAAATTTCAAGTTGATATTATCGATCTGAAGACGTCGAAAAATATCCACTTGTCGCAAACCTTTTTTGTGCAAATTCAAAACGAGTTGACGTTTCACATCCATTATTGTTGCAAAGTAAATAAGAACTGCGCAATAATGTGCATCATCACAGTGCATAGCCAAAACATGAATAAACATAACGGTAAACAAATGGGTGATTGGAAAGCAATATAGTTGTAGCTACGTAGTTACGAAAAAAAATATCAGTAATTCTGAGCCACCCTGTAAATTGAAAAGAAATAAATTGACTCGTTGAATTGCGAAATTGTTACTTTTGCGATGTAAATGCATTTTCATATACAGTATATATCATTTGGAGAGAATAGTGAAAAAAAATCAATCGCCTAATATACGTGTAACATAGAGCGACACCTTTAGTCATTTTATTTGACAACTGAACTGAAGGGGCACATTGGATTGTTTATGTTGTGTTTTTTGATTTGTCAACACACATGTGTAGTGTATACATATTAGTTGCGCCCAAATGAAAAATTATATCATCGACCGAAAATAGTTCAAATTTGACATTTGATGGCACAGTAGCCTTAGCTCTAATTTTTGCTGCGACACATTTCTGTTGTCAAATGTGAAATGTTTCCTTTTTATCGTTATTGTACCAAACCGAAAAATGTGATTTAAATCTATGACATCAAACATTTTTTTTTGTATTGTATTTATATTATATGTTTGAATAAAAAAGAAAGAAGAAAAAAGAAAAAAATTGTAAAAAGTTCGATTGTTTGCCGGAATAAAAGATGAGTACACGACCGAGTCCAGCTTATAAACGTGCCACCGATAGTTTCTATCAGATTTGGGGCAACATCAAACAAAATGTATCGCAACAATCACAACTAAAAGCGGCCATCTACAATTTGGTCATCGCTTTGGTTGTTGCATCTGTTGTTGCGGCATGTTTGGTACTTGGACCATTTCTCCGACCACTGTTATGGGCTTTGCTAGTGGGTGCTGTGCTGTTTCCATTCAAGTATACGTTGTCGTCATCGCTGAAATGTTGGTTTGATCGGCTTGAGCAAGAGAATACACACCTGCTCGTCGGTATCATGCTGGTTCCATTGGAATCGCTCGAATCATTCGGTCAATATTTATGGTCATCGATCGTTAAGCACATGCATTTGTTGATTGGTGGCTGTATTGGTTTGACATTTTTGAGACTGTTCATTGCATACGCACCAAAGGGAATTTTTTGCGTTTTATGGCGACACATCAGATGGTGGCATGAATTGTGCAGTAGTTTTCTAAGTTCACTTGACTGTAAAATTGTAAGTAAATTAAAATATCATTTTCATGACAATTGAATCAAATATTCAATTCGTTTAGACTGATTCACTAATCATTGTGTTTTTTTTTTCAATCAGGTGATTGCAATTGTAATCGGGTATTTCTTGATTGTGATGATTTACTGGACAAAATCAAAGTCATTCTACTTTGTTTTGGCTGGCCAAAGTATATGGTTCATGTTACTTGCATACGTTTGTAGTTTTCTGGGTGCATTACAAGTGCCAGCACTCATTATCGCCTTAACGTATTCGGCTGTTGGCTTTGTGTACAACATGAAATACAGCGATGAAACAAATGATAGCACCATTTCTGAAACGAAAAATCAATCGATGTTCGAAAAATGTGCACACTTTTGGGAATCACCAATTATCAAATCAACACCAAATCGTCAACAAACAACGGTCACAGGTCAATCATCAGTTATTCAATCAGTTTCATCACCATTTGCTCCCAACGATGTTGTCGATCCAACTGTTGTGCTAAAAAATAAGCTTGAACTGAATCTTAAAACGGCCGGTGCAAAAGCATCTACGGCTGACCAAGACAATCAAGCAAATAAATCCCAAAGTGCCATTTATTTTAAAGCGCTATTTTTTGCCTGTTTAGTTACCATTTTGTACAAGCAACTTGTCGTGTTGGCTTTAAGTTTCATTCCGATTTTATTATACTTTGCAAAAAATATAATTGTGACCTTTGGAATCAAAGAGCATTTGGGCACAACAATTGCCGATTTATATGCTAATGTCCAAGTGAGTGAATCAATTTATTTCAACGAGGTCATTATCGAGAGCAATTTAATCAACATTTTTTTTGTATGTGCTTGTCAATTTTCATCAATTTAGGATTGGATTTACCAAAGACAGTCGGCAATATTACCATTGTGTTTACCAGGCATAATTAAGCTAAATAAAAAAGTGCATACTTATGTTCGTGTGACATTCAGAGACTCGATCGATACCGCATCATCAATACTTGTGATAATTTTGTTGATATTATTACTGATCTTTGCCAGTGTATTTTGTGCCGTTGAAATCTATTCGGAAACAATAACCGTTGTTCAACTTGGCAGCGATGTTGTTAATTACACCATAAATCATCGTCCAGAACTGATGGGCATGTTTCCAGAGGGTAAGTTTGCAATGACACGTTTTTTTTCTACTTCCTTGAATAATGACACATAATATTTCGTTAGGAATGATCGATTCGTTGGACAATGTAATTGAAAATGCTTATGAATATGGACGAAAGGGTATTGAAACATATGTTGATCAATTCCTCAAAGATGCTGATCAAGAGCAACGTCGTAAGCTAAAGCAACAGATTCTTGTCATTTGGGACCGAATCATACAGTATTGGATGGATAAAAAGACAGATAAATCGCATGGACCCATTACAGATACCGTCGCAATTACAGACTCAATTGGCGAAATCGTCTATAACGAAGGTATTCAATTGTTTATAGCTTTTAAATGCATGAAATTTTTTACGCTTTTGTTATTTGCTGCTTTTTATTTCATATTCATTTAATATTCATTTCTTTTATGTTTTAAATATTTCTATTCAGTTTGAATTTTGTGGTTATGCATTCATTTTATAATTTCGTGAGCCTACATACACACTAACATTGATTTTATGTACAAAAAAAATGTATTTCAAAAGAACTCTTTTCAGCTGCACAACAAGGATTGATCAGTTTGATAAAAACAAATATCGGCACATTGCTCGAAGTGACCGATTCCATTTGGTTGATTGTCAAACAAAATATTAACGTTCTGCTGACAATAGTCGGTTCATTGTTTTCATTGCTATTGGGCGGCGGAAATGCTGTTATCACCTTTTTAATTAATTCTGTAAGTGTTCACCTTTTTTACTATTTTCTCTGCACTTTTGTTTCAAAATGAAAAGCACAAAGAAATTTAAAAGTCACATCATAATTATTTTTGCATAAAATTAAATCATTTCAGATCATTTTCTTGACGGCACTTTTCTATTTGCTCAGTAATAGCGATGAAAAATACTATCCGTTGGCTGCAACAAATTATTTAGGTTTGTTTCCATAAAAGATAAAACATTTTTAATCAAAAAAAAAAAATGATGACGACCTATAAAATTATTTTTTAGGTTTTGCGTCTGGGCCACGAATTGCCGAAGCCATTGAGACATCAGTTTCCAGTGTTTTGATTGCAAGTGCGAAATTGGCACTATTTCATGGGCTGTTCATGTGGCTGACACATACAATATTTGGTGCTCGCGTTGTCTTTTTGCCGGCAGGTAAACTCATTTAACCAAAATTGAAAGCAATTGAATCCAATAATAGCACATTATAAATATATTCGTTTAGCATTTGCTGCGATGTTGGCAGCTGTTCCATTTTTGGGCACATATTGGCTTAGTTTACCAGCCTTTTTAGATCTTTGGTTGATTCAAGATCGATTTGTACTTGGTATCATACTCGTCCTTATTCATGTCATATTCCCGACAACATTTGTTGATCCAGCTATTTATGCAGATGTCAGCGGGTATGAATGGCGATGGTCCCCAAAAAAAACAAAATTTCAAACACTTGTTAAAAAAATAAATGTTCAATTCAAATTTTACAGTGGAGGTCATGCTTACTTAACGGGTCTATCGATAGCTGGTGGCATGTTCTTACTTGGATGGGAAGGTGCAATATTTGGTCCAATCTTACTTTGCCTAGTCGTGGTTATATTCAACCTTATGACCAATGCACTTAAGGACACACCGTCCACACCAAATCCACGGTAAATTAACCATTCTATTTTCTTTGATAACTCAAGCATAGGGCTTAAAATCAAATTCAATATGTTCTTGCACTTTACAGAAATCAAAACAATGAATTCCGCGCCGCGTAAGTATCAACCAGTCATCATCAACTCATTAACGAAGTAGATAAATTCCTGTCGTGAAATGTAGTTAGAAACAAAAAAAAATACTTTAGATTGATAACAAACTTACTTTTGATATTATTAGCATTTTTTTTTGCGTACTTAATATTGTAGCCTTTGTATACCATTTTTACCAATATTTTTAAAACGATTCGCTCAAAGCCAAAAATCATCTAAAATTGCATTTGGATTACTTTATGAATATGATTATTTCGATTATGTAACATAATATAGATCCCTAAATCCAGTCCGTAGTTTTCTGTTTGATTTTTTCGAAAGTGATATTTTATCAGGTTTTAAACCGTTTCAAGTCAGCTCGATTCGTCATTATAAAATATTGAACCATTGCAATCGATTTGGATTTCGTTAGATGTTTGAAAAAAAAAAACATAACGTATCTAAATTAACACATCAATTGACTGAACATTTTCATGACAAGCTTTGAATATGCATGTTTAGGCAAATGCTTTATTTGAATGTGTTTGTGGCCGATGACAAAGGTCATTTATGTTACTTTGTATATTTTATTCAATAAAGTGTCTTCACAATAAAAAAAAATAATTCGATTTTGCTTGCCTCAAAATTTGAATCCCAATAAATTGAACAAACCGTAACTTGATTCTCCCGTTGATGTTACTTGTAAGTAGATGAAACAAAACTGATAAACCGACTATATTCCACATTTAGATCATGAATTTATTTAAATTATCGTATATTCCCCCTTTTTGTATGTAAAATGTAATACTTTGCTGTTATTTTATTTTGATGTATGAACAATTAAACGGGTTAACTATTAGATCGTCTTTTACCAAAGTATCATAACCAAATTATTTCACGATTTCGACCTTTTAGTCTGTGCTCTATTCAATGTCATAATTATTATGTTTTCAGGAACCGTCGATATTCGACATTTGATATGAATTAAATTGATCTCGAGTTCAAACGATGCATACCAAAAAATATATAAAAAAAACCAGGAGCGCACACGTGTGATGTTAGTAAATAGAAGTAAGGACATTAGCAAAATTTCGACATTCCATTTGTTGCTTGACTCTTTTATTGTTTGCATTATTCGAAATTGTTATTATTTTTGTCATTTTATAAAAAAAATTAACACTTTTTGGCAATTACTGTTCCACAGTAATATCAAACGTTAATTTTCAATTTTATATTGTATTAAATTACACCAATAAAAGACTAATTTATTGAACTAAAATCAATGTGAAATTTTTCATTCTATCTACAGTCAATTTTCACCGTTATTCTTCAGAAATAATAGGAAACCATACGACATTTTTTGTTATTAGAATTTTTGAGAGTTTTCAAAATAAAACATACTTTAATGAATCCCAATAAGTTTATGGTCAGCAAAGCATTTAACTGTAATTTTATACCCCGCATACGATTCATCGAAATAATGGAGATACTTAATTAATAAATGCTTTTAGACAGATTTTTATACTATATATGATAGTAAAACTTTAATCGTTTTTATATTCTGGTTATATTAATATTCATACTTACAAATTTCTATTCGAATTTTTAATGGTGTTTTATGAACACTGGTTTTAGCATTCTTTTATGATTTTGTGTAATAAATTCCTAAGAGCCATACATGAGTTGATCAATTCTATTATCATAAGTCGCCACATCCGAGCAATGTAATGGTAATGTTGTATTTACGATCATCGATTTAATATTTCCTTTTCTATTGAATAGTATCGCAATTGATTTGAGAAGTGGCCATTTACACAGTTCATATTATTAACTAACTTCAATCGAAGTATTTTCAAGGTCATTTTTTTAACTATTTACTTGCCTTTTCTCATTATTGTCTCAAAGTGAGAGTGACTATACATTTTTCTAATTTAATTTAGTTGAATGAACCATATGGTAATAATAAGCCATATTACACCTACGTTGTAGTCGTCTTCTTTTACTGAACAATTGAAATATGAGTGAATCATTTTACGATTCAAACCTTTTATTCTGCATTTTATTCAATGTCATGCTTATTATTTCGGGAATCATCGATATTCGACAGTTGATATGAACTGAATTGATTTCGAGTTCAAAAGACACATGTCAGACAAAAATAAAACTTCGACATATTAATTGTTGTTTGACATATTTATTCTTTGCGTCAATCAAAGTCGTAACACTTTTTTTTTGTCATTTTATAAATTAAATTGCTGTTTCGCAGTAATCTCAGAAGTTAATTTACAATTTTAAATTGTATTAAATTATAAAGGACTAATTTATTGAACTGAAAAATATAAAACAATTCAACATTAATTTGAAATTTCATTTTTTTCTGTTTGTCTTCTTCTTTCTATTTAATGACTTTTCATTGTTTCGGTAACCTGAGGCAGTCAATTTTCGATATATATACTAAGCTCAATCGATTAAAAATCAAATGGAATGGCAGGCCGCGGATAGTGGTAGCCATCGCCTTTCGGGGTTACATATTTGGGTGGTAGGTATGTTGGCGCTGGTGTTGTTGTTGTTGTACTGATTGGTGGAAGATAGACCTGTGTAATGAGAGTTTTTTGGTGTTAGATAAGTAATCACTCATAAAAATCCACTTATTTAAAATGACACAGACAAAGCATATTTGGCCGTTTCATTTGATTTTAAAAATAGTTAATTGGATGTCAGTGCTTACTGCTGGAGATGTTGGAACTGGTCGTGGTGGTGTGGTAGTTGATGGAGGCAATGTGAATTTGATTGCTGGTTTTGGGTATTCATAACCTGTTGTTCTCGGAGGTATATATAGGGGCTGGAAGGAATTTTGGAAAGAATATCATAATAAAGCAAAAAAAAAGAAATATAGTCAAATTCATTGCAATGATGTTAATTTTTGAATATTAGAGATGAAAAAATAATGTTTTGTTTAAGAAACAATACATTTGATAAACGTCTCACTTACCGCTGATGTAGTTGGTTTAACACAATTTGGATATGATCCACTGTAGCCTGGAGGACAGGCAGGAAGCTGACAATTCGGATATGAGCCAATGAAGCCTTGTGGACATTTTGGTGGTTGAGTGGGGGGCAAATATGTGCTTGGAACCGGTCGAGGAGTGGTCGTTGATGGTGGTAATTCAAACTTGATTGCTGGCTTTGGATATTCATAACCCGTTGGTTTTGGTGGGATATAAAGTGGCTGAAAAGAATTTAGGAGGAAAATTCATATTAAAAAAAACAGTCAAACAACATTGAAATATTTTCATTTTTGAATATCAAACGAAAGAATAATATTTTTCTTAAGAACATTATATTTCTTAAATGTTCAATAAAACGTCTCACTTACCGCTGATGTGGTTGGCTTATTGCAGTTTGGATAAATTCCGGAATAGCCAGGTGGACAGGCAGGAAGTTGACAATTAGGATAAACTCCGACCTTTGGCGGTTGACATTTAGGTGGTTGAGTAGGGGGCAAATATGTGCTTGGAACCGGTCGAGGAGTGGTCGTTGATGGTGGTAATTCCAACTTGATTACTGGTTTTGGATATTCATAACCTGTTTGTTTAGGTGGTATATACAAGGGCTGCAAGGAATTATGGAGAAGAATTCATAATAAAGCAACAAATTACCCAAGTTCATGTGAATATTTTCATTTTTGAATATCAATCGAAAAATTATCTTTTGTTTAAGAGCAATACGTTTCTTAAAATGTTCAATAAAACGTCTCACTTACCGCTGATGTGGTTGGTCTATTGCAGTTTGGATAAATTCCGGAGTAGCCAGGTGGGCATGGAGGTAACTGACAGTTAGGATAAACTCCGACCTTTGGCGGTTGACATTTTGGTGGTTGAGTAGGGGGCAAATATGTGCTGGGAACCGGTCGAGGAGTGGTCGGTGATGGAGGCAATTCAAACTTGATTGCTGGCGTTGGATATTCATATCCCGTTGG